ACCCCCCGAGGGCCGCGACTGCGCAAAGGTCTGTGTCACCATTATGGAGCGAGTGAAAAATCATCTGTTTGTTTTGGAAAGAGAATGTAACTCTGGTGGCAGGTGGCGCCATAATAGTATTCGTTTGTATGATCATACAAATGGGGAAAACTGAGAACCCGCTTGGCACATGGCTGAGGGACCACGGCTTCCGAGTGCCGTCCGAGGAGGGAAAGCAAGATGGCGAATTGCGGAATAACCTTGGCTTCACCGGGCATAAAATGAAAACTACACTGCTTGACCACAATATTCCCGGCGCTTCTCAGGTTCGATCCCTACTTGACTGGGTGACTGAGGAGAGGGAAAAATGCTTCTCCGGGCAGCAAAAAGAGTGCCACAGGAATCGATGTCTTCGACATTGCCCACTGCCTCCGCGACCTTTTCAGGAAATACTATGAAGTATGTCACCATGAGCATATCGATTTGCCTAGGGCATCAAGTAACATCTACGATATGCTTCAAGTGGCTTGGTGGCCTGCGGTGGAATCCGATGTACAGCACACTGAAGGGGCACCTTAGGACATTGTTCCCCAAGCCCTTAAAAGATGATCCCAGAGATTACAAGGACATTCCCGCGAAGGACTTGAAACTGGAAGCGTATCCGAAGACAATCACGTATGACGACTTGAGCGATGAACTGCTGCAAAGTGTTTGCATATACGCCCAAGATGCGTTGATCGGCATACTGGGCCACGGTCACTCGGGCGGAATTTACGCCTGTGACTTTTTCACAAATGCACATAAGTTATCGTATCCTACTAGCGTCGGTTCATGCTTTGACATGCTCTTAGACATAGTATTTAAAGTGCAACATCAACTTCATTTTGTATATAAGCAGTGTTGCGATACAACAGCGCTCAGCGGTTGGCGTGACTGTGTATACGGCAACGGAGTTGGTGGCTCTGGATGGCAATGCAATCGGCTCCAATGCCCTAACCAAAAGGCTGACCAAAGTGCTACCCAAAAGCACAACCAAACATGTACCCAAAAGTGTGACCAAACTGTTAGTTGTGGCCTTAAGTCGCCGCTCCAATCCTTTTTGGAGGACGGTTTGCAGAGGTTCTTGCCGCACCATATGACGAAAGTTGGCTGCGGAGTTAAGTGCTCCGTCGGCAGCCACAGAGGTCAACCATGCAAAACGCCGATGGGCTTCTCGGACATAAGCGTTACAGCCTCTCATGTCAAAAAGGGGGCTCACCTTGCCGGCGTTCTTGACAATTTCTGCGGTCCTACATCCCACCTAAGTAGGTTGTGTCGTAAGCTGAATTGCCTCCTTCGTAGAGCGCCACAAACTCTTGGTGATATGCTTGCCTTTTACCATATGTTCCTGTATGAATGGAATGGACAGGGTCGTATGCACAGGCAGGATGCATTCTTGCAGGCCGTTAATGACGCAATGTTTGGCGAACAGTATGGAAAGATGGACGTTGTATCCATACAATCCAGCAGAACGCACACTGAGAAACATTCCAAAGGTGATCTATTTAGTTTGGTGGACTGTCATACGTCTCCAACAGTGAATACTCCCGTCGGTTCCTGCGGTCCATATTTGGAGTCAATTAGTAATGACATCCGCCGAACATTCTCCGAAAAGCGTGCCGGCAGCTATCTCTCGTGGATCGTTTATATCACAGAAACGTTTTACGATCTACTCAAAAAGTTATATGATGAGTGCAACAAATGTTGCGGCACTGATAAGTCGAAGTGCCGTGTTGCTAAATGTGCAGTAAATTGTAAGGTCGGTAAGGAGAGTTCTACTTCCGATCACGATGATTCATGTAACGCCATTGTAAATTGCAGTTATACCACGCCGACATTATTTACATATGGCTTTGTGCACGGAGATGCTCTGATACTTGCTGGTAAGAGGAGCAAACGTACGTGCAGAGACTTTTGCACGGCCCTGGGAAAAGTGATCAGCGACAAAATATCAGACGAATCGCCACTCGCGAAATTAATTTACGAGATAATTCCAGAATACATATGGGCCATCCGAACACCCTTCTCATACTTGCTGCTAGCCCTCTGGTCGCTGTCGCTCCTGTACCTGCTGCACATCACCGTCGTCCGCCTCGACGTCCTGAGGATACGCTCCCACCTGCGCTCACCTTCAAGCCACCGCATCGCCGCCCATTCCCTCCTCGCCGTTGCAAAGGTTGGGAAAATAGGCAACGTCAAGTACTTCTCACCATAATCGTGCCTTCACGTGTGATCTGTGTATCACTCACCTACTCAACCACTCACATACTCACTCACTCACCCACCTCACTCACTCACATACTCACTCACCTCACTCAACCACTCACTCACCCACCCACTCACTCAACCACCCACCCACCCACTCAACCACTCAACCACTCACTCAACCACTCACCTAATCACCCACTCAACCACCCACCCACTCAACCACCCACTCACCCACTCACTCAACCACTCAACCACTCAACCACTCAACCACCCACTCATCTACTCAACCACTCACTCAACCACCCACTCAACCACTCACCTAATCACCCACTCAACCACTCAACCACTCAACCACTCAACCACTCACACACTCAACCACTCAACCACTCACACACTCAACCACATACTCACCCACTCACTCAACCACCCACCCACTCAACCACTCACCCACTCACTCACCTCCCTCTTTCCCTGGTCGCTTCGCTCCCTCTCCCTCCCTCCTCCATCACCTCCTCCGTCGGCGTCCTTCACCCAAATCCTCAATTTCCACCTTTCCTCTCCACCTCCTAAATCGCCTTTGCTCCACCCATCTTCCTCCCTCATCGCCCTCTTTCGCCCCTTCACTTCCCTCGCCCTGTCCACCCACCTCCCTCGCTCCCTCACTGCCTCCTTGACCTAACATTGCCTTCCCCCAAATTCCCCCAAATCGCCCTGAAAATGTGCCTAAAATAATCCTTCAACATTTCTCAACTTCTTCACTTTCCTCTTATTAGCCCTCTGGTCGCTGTCGCTCCTGTACCTGCTGCACATCGCCGTCGTCCGCCTCGACGTGCTGAGGATACGCTCCCACCTGAGATCACCCTCAAGCCACCGCATCGCCGCGCAGTCGCTCCTCGCCGCCGCACGCGTCAAGGCACTCGCCAACGTCAAGTACTTCTCACCATAATCGTGCCTTCACGTGTGATCTGTGTATCACTCACCCACCCACTCAACCACTCAACCACTCACCCACTCAACCACCCACCCACTCACCCACTCACCCACTCACCCACTCACTCAACCACTCACCCACTCACTCAACCACCCACTCAACCACCCACTCAACCACTCAACCACTCAACCACCCACTCAACCACTCAACCACCCACCCACTCACCCACTCACCCACTCACTCAACCACTCAACCACTCACCCACTCAACCACTCAACCACTCAACCACCCACTCAACCACTCAACCACTCACCCACTCACTCACTCACTCACACACTCATCCACTCACCCACTCAACCACTCAACCACCCACTCAACCACTCAACCACCCACTCAACCACTCAACCACTCAACCACTCACCCACTCACCCACCTACTCACCCACTCAACCATTCAACCACTCAACCACCCACCCACTCACCCACCCACTCAACCACTCACCCCTCAACCACTCACCCACTCACCCCTCACACCCACCCACCACCCACTCACCACCCACACTCAACCACTCAACCACTCACCCACTCACCACCTACTCACCCACTCAACCACCCACTCACTCAACCACTCAACCACTCACTCAACCACCCACCCACTCACCTCCTCTTTCACTGGTCGCTTCGCTCCCTCCTCCATCACCCCTTCCATCACCTCCTCCGTCGGCGTCCTTCACCCAAATCCTCATTTTCCACTTTCCCCCTCCACCTCCTAAATAGCCTTACCTCAACCCATCTTCCTCCCTCATCGCCCTCTTTCGCCCCTTCACTTCCCTCACCCTGTCCACCCACCTTCCTCGTTGCCCCGCTGCCTCCTTGACCTAAAATCGCCTTTCCCCAAATTCCACCAAATCGCCCTAATAATGTGCCTAAAATAATCTTGCAACATTTCTCAACTTCTTCACTTTCCTCTTGTTAGCCCTCTGGTCGCTGTCGCTCCTGTACCTGCTGCACATCGCCGTCGTCCGCCTGGACGTCCTGAGGATACGCTCACACCTGAGATCACCCTCAAGCCACCGCATCGCCGCGCAGTCCCTCCTCGCCGCCGCACGCGTCAAGGCACTCGCCAACGTCAAGTACTTCTCACCATAATCGTGCCTTTACGTGCGATCTGTGTATCACTCAACCACCCACTCAACCACCCACTCACCCATTCACCCACCCACCTACTCACTCACCCACTCACTCACCCACTCACTCACATACTCACCCACTCAACCACCCACTCAACCACCCACTCAACCACCCACCCACCCACTCAACCACCCAACCACCCAACCACTCAACCACATACTCACCCACCCACTCGCCTACTCACCCACCAACTCACTCACCCACTCAACCACCCACTCACCCACTCAACCACCCACTCACCCACTCAACCACTCAACCACATACTCACCCACCCACTCGCCTACTCACCCACCAACTCACTCACCCACTCAACCACCCACTCACTCACCCACTCAACCACTCAACCACCCACTCAACCACCCACTCAACCACTCAACCACTCACTTACTCACTCAACCACTCACATACTCACTCACTCACCCACTCAACCACCCACTCAACCACACAACCACCCACTCACCCACTCAACCACTCAACCACTCAACCACTCAACCACCCACTCAACCACACAACCACCCACTCACCCACTCAACCACTCAACCACTCAACCACTCAACCACTCAACCACTCACATACTCACTCACTCACCTAATCACCCACTCACCCACCCACTCAACCACTCACTCAACCACTCAACCACCCAACCACCCACTCACTCACCCACTCACTCACATACTCACCCACTCAACCACCCACTCAACCACCCACTCAACCCACTCACCACCAACACCCACTCCACCCACCCACTCAACCACTCAACCACTCAACCACCCACTCAACCACTCACCCACTCACTCACCCACTCACCCACCCCACTCAACCACCCACTCAACCACTCAACCACTCAACCACCCACTCAACCACTCAACCACTCAACCACCCACCCACTCACCCACTCACCCACCCACTCAACCACTCAACCACCCACTCAACCACTCAACCACTCACCCACCTCAACCACTCAACACTCACCCACTCAACCACTCACTCCACACTCATCACTCACCCACTCAACCACCAACCACCCACTCAACCACCAACACCCACTCAACCACTCAACCACTCAACCTCACCCACTCACCCACCACTCACCCACTCAACACTCAACCACTCAACCACCCACCCCACTCACTCACATAATCACCCACTCACTCACTCACTCACTCAACCACTCACTCACTCACCCACCCACTCACCTAACCACTCACTCACCAACTCACCCACTCAACCACTCACTCACCCACTCACCCACACACCCACACACTCACTCACCCACTCACCTAATCACCCACTCACTCACCTCCTCCTTCACTGGTCGCTTCGCTCCCTGCCTTCATCCCCTTCATCACCTCCTCCGTCGGCGTCCCTCACCCAAAATCCTCATTTTCCACCTTCCCCCTCCACCCCTAAAATCGCCTTACCTCAACCCATCTTCCTCCTCCGTCGCCCTCTTTCGCCCCTTCACCTCCCTCACCTGTCCACCCACCTCCCTCACTCCTCCACTGCCCCCTTGACCTAATTTTACCTTTCTCCAAATTCCCCAAATCGCCCTGAAAATGTGCCTAAAATATTCCTTCAACATTTTTCAACTTCTTCACTTTCCTCTTGTTAGCCCTCTGGTCGCTCTCGCTCCTGTACCTGCTGCACATCGCCGTCGTCCGCCTCGACGTCCTGAGGATACGCTCCCACCTGAGATCACCCTCAAGCCACCGCATCGCCGCGCAGTCGCTACTCGCCGCCGCACGCGTCAGGGCACTCGCCAACGTCAAGTACTTCTCACCATAATCGTGCCTTCACTACTCACTCACCCACCCACTCACTCAACCACTCAACCACCCACTCACCCACTCAACCACTCAACCACTCACTCAACCACCCACTCACTCACCCACTCACCCACCCACTCAACCACCCACCCACTCAACCACTCAACCACCCAACCACCCACTCAACCACCCACTCAACCACTCACTCAACCACTCACTCAGTCACCTAATCACCCAACCACTCAACCACCCACTCAACCACTCAACCACCCACCCACCACTCACCAACCACCCACCACCCACTCACCTAACCACCCACTCAACCACTCACTCAACCACTCAACCACTCACTCACTCAACCACTCAACCACTCATCCGCTCACTCACCTCCTTCACTGGTCGCTTCGCTCCCTCCATCACCCCTCCATCACCTCCTCCGTCGGCGTCCTTCACCCAAACCCTCATTTTCCGCCTTTCCCCTCCACCTCCGAAATCCACTCTCCTCAACCCATCTTCCTCCTTCATCGCCCTCTTTCGCCCGTCACCTCCCTCACCCTGTCCACCCACCTCCCTCACTGCCTCGCTGCCTCGACCTAAAATCGCCTTTTTCCAAATTCCCCCAAATTGCCCTGAAAATGTGCCATTTCATCCCCCTTTACTTCTTCTAACTCTCCCTTAACCCACCTTCAATCCAAGTATAATGGCCATTACAATGAAGTTCATTACCTTACTGAGGATGCTAGAGAAAAAGCCTTGGATGATATTGATGAGAGACGCATCTCTCTTGGTCAGCTTGCCGGACAGCTTTCGGATTTTATTGGCGGTGGAGATGAAGTTAAAGATGCATTGTTGAATGGTTTGCACAGTAATGTAAACCAGCTTGTTGGGCTTTTAAATAAATCTTGCGGAGGTGAGGGGTGTTGTAAGGATGTTAAGAATTTCCGTGATGGACATCTTAAAAAACTTCAAAAGACATTTAATGACATTGATGAAATTGAGAGAGAAATTAATGGCCTTAAAAAGCAAAAAGATATTGCTGAAAAAAGGAAGGCGCCTGAGAAGGCGCCGTCCGTCGGTGAGTCTGAGATTGAGAGGCAAATTGAAGAAAAAAATAAGGAACTTGAAAAGCAAAAAAGTCTTGTTGAAAAGCAAATTAATGCGCTTCAAAATGCTTTAAATCAGCCTAAAATGAAAATTCAGAATACAATTGACAGCCTTACTGCACAAATTGCTGAGCTTCAAAAGAAAATTGATGCGCATAAAAAGGCGGAAAAGGCCTCTAAAAAAGACGATAAAAATATCTCCATTCCCTATGATCTTTCCAATTCTCTTGCAACTGCGCAGGCTAAATTGCAGTCTCATAATGCTTCGTTGAATTCGCTTGAAAGTCTTGAAAAGCTTATTACATTTCATCAGAGTGTTAAAAACATTCAAGATGGCAAATGTAAAGATATTTTGAACAATTTGTGCTCCGGCTTGGAGAAGTTCCTTGGTTACCAAGAAACTTCCAAAGGCTACGACGGCTCCGGCATCGTGTACTCGGACCTTGACAGGCTGTGCGACGGGGTGATGGCATTCTTGCACTCAGTGCTTAAAGATGTCCATGATAAACAGCCTTACATCGTTGGTAAAGAAGGCTTAAATGAGAATGTTGTTAAGCATTTGAAAGATAATTTGTGTTCAGGTCATGATGGTTTTAAGAGTGTCATTGGCCAGGTGGCCGAGGGTGTCGGGAGGTATAATAGGGAAGTGGAGAGTTCTAATAGGGAAGTCTCTGCTCCAATAATCAAGCTTTACAAGGAGATGGAAGACCTAAAAAATCAGGTGAGTGATTCAAATAAAACTAATGGTTTGCAGGTGACGGACACATCTTCATATCAAGATGTCGAGGCGGCAGTGACCAAGGCTGGAAGCTTGGTGGACGAGTGTCTTAGCCATGCCGATAATTTCGAAAACGAAATTGGCAAAGTACGTAGCGAAACTAATGATTTTAATTCTATACTTAAAACCGATGTTCTTAGATATGTGAATAGTGTTACATATGCTGCTAGTGTGCTTAAGAAGTGCTCCACCAAAGAGTGGAGGGACAAGGTGAACATGGAAAATGCAATTAAGAAGGTACTTGAGAGTCTTAAAACTGACGTTAACACAGATATTAAAAAGAAAGTCACGGCTTTAGTTGAGCAGCTGAGAACATGGGTCGCCGAGATTTTAAGAAAGCTTAGGGAAATTGATGGTATGCTTAAGGAGTACGTTAAGAGCTTGGCAGGATGGATCAATGATACAAAAGACTTCATTGATGAAGTGAGGAAAGCGCATGTTGCGAAGATTGAAAAAAATGAAGTTGGCATCAAAAATAGGGAATTGATCAAGAATCTTAGCACCGTGGTAACGCATAAGGCAGAGGAGATCATGAACGGATTTGATGCTGCGGAGAAGCACGTCAAGAAGCAAGTGACGCACGCACTGAATGCCGTTAAGGCCATGGACCAAAGCCTTAAAACGGATTTGTTTGAAGTGAAGAATAAGATTAAGGAAGGGATAACGGCGTTAGTTAAAAAGGCGCGCATGGAGTTTGAAACAATTAAGAACAGTGTTCAAAAAGGAACTGGTGAACAAGGCGTAACTGATATGAGTATTGATAAAAAGTGGGAAGAGTTTCAGAAGAAGATTAAAGAGATTGCGAAAGATATATACGATGAGGAAGGAGGTCCTGGGAAACTAGGTCACCTAGGTTTCATTGCGCAAGGGGTTAGAGAATATGCTGCAATGTTTGCCACAGCAGGACAATTCTGGAATACGGTTTTGCCGGGGTGGTTGACGGAAGTCTATTCGAAGGAAACGGTTAAAAGACCCATTCAGACGTATGCATTGTCTATTCAGAAGCCTGAAGCTCAAGTGAAAGCAGCCATACAACATCACATTACATCACTGGCAAACAAAGGTTCTAAAACAGCCAAATTCACGGAAAATGTGAAGGACAACTTGAAAAATATTCAGCAGTTTTTTACGGAATTCGCTAGTGCAGTCGACTCGACTAGGCCTGCTGATATGATGTGGGCCATACAGACGCATCTACGGTTGCGGAGTCTCCACCGTAACCTCTCACCTACGGACGACGATCTTCAAGCTGCTCTGACAACCATCCTCACCTCAGTGCAGTTGGCGGCAAAGGGCGCAGCCGACGAACTCCAGGATTTCATCCAGACATCGAACATAGACAAGTTTAAAGAGGCTATAGAGAAGGTCAAGGAACTTAACAGAACTGTTAACATCAACGGCAATATGATTAGTGTGGCAGTGCAGTCCATGACACAACCGATTACTGCGCTTGACACCGCCCTGAAAACCGCAGACTTTGACGGCAAAATTAATTCCCAGTTGCCGGACGTCCAGGTCAGTGAAGGTAGTCAGGAAAGTAAGTCACAAGTATACCTTACTAATCTCCGTACATATATCACCCACGTTAAATATGACGCATTTTCTAGTCACCCAACCGGCAATGTTCCCGACGCTATTGCCGAAATCGGAAACCACGGCCTTGATACTCTAAAAGGTATTATAGATACAAAAGCTAAGGCAGGCGATGCAGACGAAAAAGGCGAGCTGTATAAGTTGTCTGAGCAAATCACGCAAAACCTTACCGAGTTAATGAATGAGATTTCCAACATTGGCAAAGGCCTCGAATGGAATCTTATGAATATAAAAGATGATCGAATTGGCGCATTGCTTAATGAAATTAGGCAGAACCTTGATGGTCTCCGAAACGTCCAGTTGGCCAATGTCATCGCAGACGCTGAAGCCTTCGACGGATTTGCAGATGCATTGTGCAACATGACTATAAAAAATCTTGAAATTAATGTAAACAATTACATCGAACATGCCATCTCCACCCTCACCACCCGCGCCCGCCGCAACTACGTCACCTCCGTCAAGGGGCTTTTAAAGTCCTTCGCTGCGAAAGTCACGCAGGAGCTGGAGCCTTTGCCCGCACAGATCGACGAGGATCTGCGCATAGGATTCAAGGGGTTTATGAAGACGCTGGAGGATGGGACAACTGAAGCTAAAAAGAACACCGGAGCACAGCCGCAACAGCTTCAAGCTTCCGGTAGTGCATCTGCTGCAGATCAGCCAAGTACACTTGAAGAATTTAAAACAGTTATATCTGGACTGTGTTCGTCAGGTAAGCCTAAAACAGACGATTTAAAAACCTTGGCAGATGCCTTCAAAAAATTCTGGTGTCCAGTCGCAGTGTTTGTGAACAAAGAAATCATCGGCGTTAAAAGAGACGATAAGGAGAAGAAAGATTTTGTCGGCACACATGTAAAAGAATATTCACGTCAGCTCATTAAAGTTTACGACTCATTCAATGAGTTACTTGCCTACCTTAATCACAATAATAGGTATGACCATGAGCTTCATGGCCTTCTTGACAACGTTAATAAATTAATTGCCGTCTTAAAACCGGATGGATTTGCCAAAATTACCACTCCCATCCTCGACGCCCTCAAGGCCGGCATGGACAAATTCACAAAGGAGCTCGGACACGCGTACGTCAACGCTTATAGCGGTCAAAAACGTACAGATGACTGGGTGAAAGAGGAAACAAAAATGGTGGACGATCAACCACAAAAAATTACAGTCCTTTCCACCGAGGGCCGCAACTGCGCCAAGGTCTGCCTGACGATAATGGAGAGGGTGAGTTATGACTTTAGCAAGTTGAGAAAAGCATGTAAAAATGGCGGTGGATGCGAAAACCATAAGATTATTCTAGGTAACGAGTTCGGAAGATTTTTCAAGAAGCATGGATTTGAGGTGTCCAAGGATGACAAGACGCAAGACGGCGAGTTGAAGAGGGACAAGACAGGCAAGAAAATGTATGGTCTTCTTGTTAGCAATACTGGCGAAAATCACGTCTACAAGGAAGAGGCTGCCGAAAAAGATACTGGTCCAATGAGAGCTTTACACAAGCACCTCCGTGATTATTATCGTGTCTGCCAGCTCCGCCATATCCCGAATGCCCGGGCACCGAGCACTGTAAACCAGATGCTCAACTGGCTTGGTGGCCTGCGATATAATCCTATGCTTGCCAAACTGGAAGGGCAATTTAAGGAGCTGTTCGACAAGCCTGACGGAAAAGAAGAAAAAGATTACAAGGACATTGACGCAAAGGAACATAAACTCCCTGCCACCGCACCATTTAGCCGTGATACCACGACAACAATTACAGCTAAACAACTACATGAAACCCTTGACACTGTCTGCTTCCTCTCCGAAAAAATGCTTATCGCATTTCTAGGTCACGGCCACGAAGGTGGCCGGTATGCTTGTGAATTTAACACAAACTCAGATAATTTATTATATCCCAACGGTGCTAGTGTTTGCCTCGACATGCTTACAGATATTCTGAATAGAGTGTTTTATCAATTGCGCTTCTTATTTAGCCAGTGTAACAATTACACGTCTAGCTCCGGCTGGCGTGATTGCTGGTACGGCCGTGGAGTAGGTGGTTCGGAATGGAACTGCAACGCCCTGCAATGTCCAAATCAACAAGATGACCAAATAGATAACCAAACACATAAGCAAACATGTAACCAACACCCTAAGTGCGGACTAAAATCGCCACTCCAATCCTTCTTAGAAGATGGTTTGCAGGGTTTCCTACCGCATACATTTACTTCTCCGGGTTGCAAGTTAACCTGTACAGTGTCCAACCACTTTGGAAAGCCGTGTCTCACTCCCATGGGCTTCGCCGATATTGGAGTGGCTGCTTCGCATACCAAGGATGGCGAATATCTCAGGAAAGCACTTGAAGGTTTCTGCCGTCCTGGTTCTGACCTTCATAAACTGTGTAGCCAACTCAACTGCCTGACTCGTCGAACACCGCAAACGCTAGGTGATATGTTTGGTTTCTACTACAATTTCCTTGGGAATTTCAAAAATAAACCGCATAAGGAAATCGCATTTGACAAGGCGGTGAAGGAAGCCAATTTCGGTCAGGTGTATAAAGATCTCAAGGTCACATCCATACAAAACAGTAGTACCCACACCAGCCATTCAACCGACAAGAAGAACATTGCCCATCTCACTGGTGATCTCTTCTCACTTGTTGAATGCAAGGGTGAGAATAATTCTCCAGCCCACCCATGCGGTCCATATTTGGGGTCAATTACTAATGACGTTTGTGATATATTCTCCGAAAAGCACGCTGATAACTATCTCTCTTGGATAGTATATATTACCGAAAGGTTTTATGATTTACTTAAGCAATTATACGAGGACTGCAGTAGTAAGTGTGGCGGCGATAATCCGAAGTGTCGTACTGCGAAGTGCGCCGACGATTGCACGGCAAAGAATTTGCCGATGTCTGAACTAGGCAAACATCATAGTACATGTAGTTCAATTGTCAAGTGCCCGGATACACTACCGAATTTGTATAAATACGGCTTCACTTTTGGAAGTCCATCGTCGCTATGTGGTGAAAAATCTGAAGCAACGAAGCGCACGTGTCACGATTTCTGTAATACATTGCAAATAGTTGTGAAAGAAAAGAACTTACTACATAAATTGGCTCATGATATTATTCCACAATTTTTATTTGATATAAGGGCCAAATTCATCTGGACGCTTGTAGCCCTCTGGTCGCTCTCTTTGCTCTACCTGCTGCACATCACCGTCGTCCGCCTCGACGTCCTGAGGATACGCTCACACCTGAGATCACCCTCAAGCCACCGCATCGCCGCGCAGTCCCTCCTCGCAGCCGCACGCGTCAAGGCACTCGCCAGCGTCAAGTACTTCTCACCATAATCGTGCCTTCACGTGTGATCTGTGTATCACCCACCCACTCACATACCCACTCAACAACTCACTCACTCAACCACTCACTCACCCACTCACCCACTCACTCAACCACTCAACCACCCACCCACTCACATACTCACTCAACCACTCAACCACTCAACCACTCAACCACCCACTCAACCACCCACTCACCCACTCACCTCCCTCCTTCACTGGTCGCTTCGCTCCCTGCCTCCACCCTCCATCACCTCCTCCGTCGGCGTCCTTCGCCCAAACCCTCATTTTCCACTTTCTCCCTCCACCTCCGAAATCCCCTTACCTCCACCCATCTTCCCCCTTCATCGCCCTCTTTCGCCCCTTCACCTCCCTCACCCTGTCCACCCACCTCCCTCGCTGCCTCGCTGCCTCCTTGACCCAAAATCGCCTTTCTCCAAAATCCTCCAAATCGCCCTGAAAATGTGCCTATAATAATCCTTCAACAACATTATTAAATAACCTCTGCACAGGCCTCGAAAAATTTCTCGGCTACGAGAATGCTAATTACACCGGCGAGGGAATCGTGTACTCGGACCTCGACAGGCTGTGCGACGGGGTGATGTCCTTTATCCTCCAATGTCTTGAGGGCGCTAAAACACTTTTACATCATTATTTTCCTGATATTACAAGGGCAATTAGTGACTTGGAACGTTCAATAGGTAAGGGCCGTGGTGTTTCAGGATTTGCGCAGGCCATTGGGATTGTGCAGCGTGGGCTGGAGGGGTATGAGAGTGGGATGGAGGAGAGGATTAGTAACATCAAAGAGCCATTAACGACATTGATAAATCACGTCGAAACTCAATTGGAGCAGTTTAAGAAGCCCGATTATAAAGAGGGCCAAACACGGAAGACTGACGAGGAACTTAGCAAAATTTTTAATGTTGGCAATGTTGAAACAGTCCTGGCAAGTTGTATTCAAAAAACCAAAAAATATATTGCTGATATATTGGACGCTGAAAACTATGGTCTCCGACTCTTGGATCCTGAGTTTCGTAGTAAGCTTCGAGAGCCATTAATGAGGATTAGGCAGGAAGTAAAACGCTTCTCGAAATCGTCGGACAAAGATTTTTTGCAGTTGGAGGAGATGAAGAAGACGATAAAGACAACGCTTGAATCTCTTAGAAAGAGTGTGAAAAAGAAAATCTATGATGATGTTACTGATTTGGTTTACGAGTTACGTAAAAGGGTAGCTGCTATTAGGGTTCAGATTGAAGGTATTGAGATAATTCTAAGTAATCGCATTAAGGAGCTGGAAAAATGGATTGAAGAGGCGAGCGCAGTTGTCACAGAAGCGGAGACGCAGGTGGGCATCATTGAAAAGGAGGTTAATGATCCACCAAGTGGTCACAGTAATAATAAGAGTAAACTTCAGTCTATGGCGGAGAAAATTGAGAAGCAACTTGGCACGAAAGTTAAAGAATTAAAGGATTGGATCGAGAATGCTGATAACGTTATGAAGGAGGGGTTGGCGAAGGTGAGATCGATATTGGCACAGGTCAATCAGCCAGGTGATTTAGAAACAAATAATAAGAAAGATATAGAAGGGGCGGCTACAGATATTCAGGTGCAGGTCCCCATGCTTCATCAGAAGGTTACCGAGCTGAAGGACAAATACAATCAGTTTTACGATAACGTTAAAGGACCGGATGGGAACGGCGGACTATTAGAAAAGCTTAAAGGAGCTAACGTGGAAGTTAAGAAGGTGGTTAAAAGAACAACATTGAAGACGTTTAAAGATAAGGATAATGGTGGTTGGGATTTGACTGAGCAGATAGACGGGCTTACAGATCATATTGGAGACAATCTTGAGATGTACGTCAATAACTTGGACATGGTTTTGCAGAAAGGCGTGGGTGGCGTTGGTAACTACGTTTATGGATTTACGAAAAATGGCTTTGACGCATTACAGAGCGCCTTGTCTAATGGTACTTTAAAAAACGATTTAGGTAAATTCGGGATAAAACTTTATGAGTTGCTGCAGAATGCCACCAGAAATGGTCTCGAGTATATTTTAGAAGATGTATTTCATGCTATAAAACAAGCAAAAGATATCTGGGGTGACGCTCAACCAGCCTTTGCGGAACTTATCTCCGAACTTCAAACCGATCTTGATACAAAAATCACCGCCGGCAAGTTTGAAAGTCACCTAGTTTCACTTCTGAAAACTACGGCAAACACTGCAATTAATAAGCTTCAGGCGGCGGTTACGAAGATGATCATTGAAGAGTCTAATAAGAATCTCGTTATGAGTGGTGTGGGTACGTTGTTATCACAGGCCAAAGATGCCAAAGAAGCAATTGAGAGGCAGGCGAAGCTCGTCGCCGACAAGCTTCGCCTCATGTGCACTGCTATTAACGATGCTGCGGGAGATCAAGCAGGTCTGCAGAAGGTATTGTCAGATTTGCAGACGCTGGGCCTTGCTGAAGGCGACCAAAAATGGCAAGGAAAGGATCATTCTGCCAGGGGTCTCAGAAAAGTAATGAGTGAGGTTGAAGAAATGGAAATAAAGGATGCGCCAGCTGTCACAACCAGCCTCAGCCTCCTGTGCACTGAAATTGCCAACGCGACCGAAAATATAAAACTTAAACTGAACAATTTAAAAAAGCAGAATATTAGTGGTACTAAAGATAATGAACTTGCTGGGATTAGAACGAATATCAATAAATTGAAGAATAACGAGGTAAAATCAGCCATCCAGGCCGCCATGAAATTTATCGAATCTGAAGCCAATGAAGAAGGGAAAAAGACTACTAAGAAATTAGAAGAACACGTCGACTACGAGGTGAATGCCGCCATATCAACACTCACCGATCTGGCCGAGAAGCAGTACGTCGACTCCCGGATCCACGAGCTGACTATATTTGCTGCCGTTGCTAAGAAGCAGTACGTTCGCATAATAGACATTATCTATCAAGACAAAATTACTTGCACGAAAGGATTCTTAGGAACATTTAATTCTAAATTCATAACCAGAGTCTCGGAAATAAAAGACGTTCAGAAGTACATTTCATTCGTTGAAATCCCCCCTAATGCACCGAAGAACTCTCCACTGAGCCAGGCGGCTAAAATAGTTAATGACGGTTTTCGCAATTTCCTTTCGGACTTGGGACAGCAAACCGATTTTGAACCTGTGTCATCCAATCTCTTCCCCTCGGCAGATGCACTGGGCAATTTGCTCAAAGGTCTTCACACTTCTGAACACTTCGACTACAAATTTAGTGAGCACTTAGATGCACTAGACAAAGCACTAAGCACTTTCACTCCTACCAAATTCACCGATCCCTCTAACGCAATTCTGCAGTGCCTTAAAGATGGCTTCGAAAAACTATACGAACAGTTGAATATGGCCTACGTTTCCAAGTACTCCGGAGCATTCAAAATGTTCAACTGGGACGCCGACGGGCCAAAGGCCGCCCGGGCATGTCTGAGTTTTCTACCCACGCTGGCCCAGGATTTGATCACGTTGAAGAGTTACAGCAACAGTGACTGGCAAAACAAGCAAATATATTTATATGAACGTACTAAAAATACCAATAGCCTTGGAGTATTCCTTGCTAACCGTGGCTTCAGTGTTTCCAAACGTGATAATGGCTACGAGGGGGAATTGAAAAACAAGCCAAATTGCAAGGGTTCAGACATCTTCGGCAAGCTCACCGGAAAAATAAATGGCGGTGCAGATAGACTCTTCACCTCCATAAAAGGGGAGAAAGAAGAAGGCTTAATTACGAAGCTGTTCAATTATTACGAGATGTATTTGCGTGTTTGCCACCAAACGCTTCCGTCCCCAGCCAGATACCCTTGCTCAGTTAGGGACATGCTCTCTTGGATGTCCGGCGTTCCGTATAGTCACGTGTTCAGTAAAGTACATGGACATGTAAAATCGTTGCTCAATGAGGACGCCAACAAAAAACACAGTCATGACGACGGTCCTCAAATCCCAAACGTATAACCCTCTTAAGGACTCATGTAAGAGGTCCGCTCACCTACTCGTCGCCATCTGCGGCAACGGTCACGGCGCAGAGGAATGTGATTATCCGTACAGCGTGTGTTTCTCCAATAACCACGGTAATTTCTATTATCCTTCAGACCCAGCGACGCTCCTCGGAATGGTGTATGACATAGTCAGACGTCTATGTTACGTGCTCTATTTCCTGTATGCACAGTGTAAGCGTACTGCGTCCGCCGGCAACGGATGGAAAGAGTGCGCCTACGGTCAAAATGTGCCTTCGGCAAACTGGTCATGTAAGGACCACTCAAACATTAGACCAAATGGTCAACCAACTGACCAACCTAAGTGCCAACCAAATGGTCAAGCAAATGGCCAGGCAAACACAAAACTGAATTGCCCACCTACGTCTCCACTTCAATCTTTCCTTAGAGACAGCTGTGCTGGCTTCCTACCGCATGTCCTCACTGCAAAGAACAATGCCATTCAATGTTCTAGTTGCAAACACAACCAACCGGGTCAGCAATGTCTTACCCCAATGGGCTTCCGCGACCTTGACTTCGCTGCCTCTATAGAACATACCGGCGAATACCTTACGTATTATCTGGGTCAACTGTGCAGTGATGCAGATGCGTGCCTCTTCGAACTGTGTCGTTCGTTGTCGTATATCTGTCCCACAGCGCCGAAGACATTGGCAGATATGTTTACGTTATACACCCAGTTGTTTAGGAAGTGGGAGTTGGACAAGACACGCAAAGCATCATCGTATTATGATAATAGTGCATACCTTACTCACATTAAGGATAGCACTATCGAAAAGTCCTTCCCACTTAACAAAATGTTCACGATAACTTCGACAACTCCAGCCTGACCACCGCTATCACGGCGCTTGTTGGACATGGCCATCGGAGTCACGATGCGCTTTCCAGTCTTTTTACTACAGATGCCTGTACAGGAACTGACCTATGTGCCCCTTTCATAAGACCGCTGGCATTTTCTACTTGTCACACCTATCCACAAAAGCACGCCAAATCGTACCTTTCATGGATACTGTATTTAGCGTGGGATTTGTGGAAATTCCTAAAATCGTTTTTCGACGCTTTTGAGCAAATTGAGTGCAAAGCGCACGGTTGTTCAACGTGCAGTTGCAGGCCAGGTAAACATGGCCATTGTGATCAAGACACGTCGTCATGTAAATGCCCATCTGTCGTTAAATGTCAATCCGTGCTTCCGTTGTTGTACAAATATGGGATGACATTTGGCAGCACCAGTAGATTGCAACCCACAGATGGAGTTAAAAGACAATGTCACCATTTGCACAAGCAGCTTAACAGCGTGCTGAAATCGCAACTATTCGATACATTATTCAAGGAATGCGATAATTTCTTGTGGTACATAAGATTACCATTTTCTTTCATCCTCCTCGCCCTCTGGTCGCTCTCGCTCCTGTACCTGCTGCACATCGCCGTCGTCCGCCTCGACGTCCTGAGGATACGCTCCCACCTGCGCTCGCCCTCAAGCCACCGCATCGCCGCGCAGTCACTGCTCGCCGCCGCACGCGTCAAGGCACTCGCCAACGTCAAGTACTTCTCACCATAATCGTGCCTTCACGTGTGATCTGTGTATCACCCACCCACTCAACCACTCACTCACCCACCCACTCACCCACTCAACCACTCACTCACCCACCCACTCACCCACTCACCCACTCACCCACTCAACCACTCACTCACTCACCCACTCACCCACTCACTCACCCACTCACTCACTCACCCACTCACCCACCCAACCACCCACTCACCTAATCACTCACATACTCAACCACTCAACCACCAACTCACCCACTCAACCACTCAACCACCAACTCACCCACTCACCCACCCACTCAACCACCCACTCAACCACCTACTCAACCACTCACTCACTCACTCACATACTCACTCAACCACCCACTCACTCACCCACCTAATCACCCACCCACTCACCTAATCACCCACTCACATACTCACCAACTCAACCACTCAACCACTCACTCAACCACCCTCTCACCCACTCACTCAACCACCTAATCACTCACTCACTCACCCACTCAACCACCTAATCACTCACTCACTCACCCACTCAACCACCCACTCAACCACTCACTCACCCACCCACTCACTCACTCACCCACTCACTCACCTCACTCACTCAACCACTCACCCACTCACTCACACCCACTCAACCACCCACTCAACCACCCACTCTCACCCACTCACCCACTCAACCACCCACCCACCCACTCAACCACCCACTCAACCACCCACTCAACCACCCACTCTCACCCACTCACCCACTCAACCACCCACCCACCCACTCACCCACTCACTCACATACTCACCCACCCACTCAACCACCTACTCACTCACTCACCCACTCACCCACTCACTCACCCACTCACTCACTCACCCACTCACCCACCCAACCACCCACTCACCTAATCACTCACATACTCAACCACTCAACCACCAACTCACCCACTCAACCACTCAACCACCAACTCACCCACTCACCCACCCACTCAACCACCCACTCAACCACCTACTCAACCACTCACTCACCCACCCACTCAACCACTCAACCACCCAACCACCCACTCACCTAATCACTCACATACTCAACCACTCAACCACCAACTCATCCACCCACTCACTCACCCACTCACTCACCCACTCACCCACCCACTCACCCACCCACTCACCCACCTCCCTCCTTCACTGGTCGCTTCGCTCCCTGCCTCTCGCCTACATCACCTCCTCCGTCGGCGTCCTTCACCCAAATCCTCATTTTCCACCTTTCCCCTCCACCTCCAAAATCGCCTCACTTCAACCCATCTTCCTCCTCCATGGCCCTCTCTCGCCCCCTCACCTCCCTCACCCTGTCCACCCACCTCCCTCGCTGCCTCCTTGACCTAAAATCGCCTTTCTCAAAAAATTCTAAAATTCTCCAAAAGTGTCCCTTTCGACCTCCTCTAATTGCCCTCTAACCTTTTTTTCCACGTTCTTCTCTCACCTTAATTGTCTCGGACATTACTCCTTTAATAACTCTCCTAAGTCCCACTGTCAGTCTCTTAACGACGAAATTGACTCACTTAAAAACTCTGATAAATCCACTGGTAACTCACAAAATGACTCTAAAATTGCCGACCTTAAATCCCAATTGAAAGATCATGTTGCCAAGTATCATTCCCTTTCTGAGTCTGACAGGGCTGCCCAACTCAAGGACATCCGCTCCAGGATGGTGTCCCTTGCTGAGCTCAGTGGAAAGCTTGGCCAATTTATTGGCCCTGAAAAGGCTGTTACTACAGCAATTAAAGATTGTATTGACGCTATTATTAACAGTAATGAAGACTTCAAAAGCCTTAAAAAGTCTCCGTCTCCGCCTGCGCAGCCTTCCACTGCCGTGTCTGCTGAGCTTATAAATGAAAAGATGCTTGATGAGAAAATTGAGCATTATAATAACCTTAAAACATCCCTTGAATCTAAGAAAACTGACAAAAATCCTCCCCTCTCCTCTGAAGATTCTCGCCTTTTATCCTCTCATCAGTCCAAGTTGCAGTCTCTTGAGAAGCTGAATGAGCTTAATGACTCCTTGAATTCTCTTAGTAATAATAATGATGATGCTTGCAAAAACCTTTTAGATAACCTCTGCACAGGCCTCGAAAAATTTCTCGGCTACCATGATGGTAATTACACCGGAGAGGGAATTGTGTACTCGGACCTTGACAGGCTCTGCGACGGGGTGATGGCGTTCTTGCATGGTGTTTTTGAGACTGTGAAGGATGATGAAAATATAACAACTTATGATAAAGATGTTTTGAAGATTGGTACAGTTATTTCCTCTCTTGACACTTCTGTAGGTAAAGGCCGTGAGGCCTTCGTGACTGCCGTGCGTCAGGTAAGTGGGTGGTTGAATAGACATGGTGAGCAGGTGGACAAGGCAACGGGAGCAGTGACTGCGGAATTAGGTGAGTTGATTAATAAATTATCATCTTCTGCAGGTGAAAATAATAATGAGTATTACAAGAGTGTCCAAGATCAGCTAGGCGCTACGCTTCAAGTGCAGTTAACGAGGTGGACGGACACCGTCGAGAAGATTCAAAAAGAAGTTCAACGCATAGAGACTGACCACGTTAAGCCACTTGATAACTCACTTAAATCACAGATAACGCACGAAATTAATGTGATTCATAAGTCGGTGAAAATGTTGCGTGACAGTGCTGAGGTGCCGGGGTTGAGGCAGCAGGTGGTGGCAGTAGAGACAGAGTTGGACAAGCAGAAAAAGCAGTTGCAAGAGAGGATTAAAAGCGAGAATGAGAAACTGCAAAAAATCCTGTTCGCCCAGTTCGCAAATATATTGATGAAAATTGGTGACTTAAATAACGAGAAGAAGGAACACGTAATGTCCCTCAGGGGAGTTATTGAAATTGCTAAGAAGAAAGTGCATAGCGAATTGTCTGAGACCATTGGAACAACACGGATTAATGTTTCTGAAAAGTTTGAAAGCATTAAAACGTCATTAATGAGGTTGGATCCCAAGGGTGGTGACGGCATAAATTCACTGCTGCGAAGGGATGTAATGGGAATTCGAAGGGATCTTATATCAATTAATGACGATATCCACGGGTGTGTCAAGAGTCTGGGAGAGTGGATTGAAGAGGCAACTAGGGTCTTGGACGATGCAATAAATTCTGCTTTGTTCATCATGGAGAAGAAGCCTGGAGAGGAGAATATGTTCTCTGTCAAGAGGAACGCACTGGCGTTGAAAGCCAAAGGTGAAGAGCTTTATTGGCATTATGACTGGGCGAAGAGGCGTGTCACGGAGCTGGTGAGGGAAGTTCAGACAAAAATTGGAGCGCTCTACGGCGCTGTTAATGGTGGACAAGGCAGCGGAGATAATAATAAAATCTCGGAAGTACTAAAAAAAATTAAGCAGGACGTTGATGGGATAAAGGGGCAGAATGGGGGAACTGATGGAAACGGCCTTGATGGTATTAAACATAAAGTGCATGAATATGCTCAGACCTTCGCTACGAATGGTGTTAAGAATGCATTCGAGGAGAAAGTGCAGGGGTGGGTGGATGGTATATTGAAGAATGAAGTTAAGGGTGCGATTGGTTGGTATGTTAGTGCAAACAAAAGTAATGGGACGCTGAGAGAGAAATATGCATATAAAGACGGCAGTGCAAAGTACGAGGAACTTAACAAAAAAATTGCGGAACATGTTGTTACCAAGTTTAACGGCATGATTCCGGTAGTCGGTGGCGCGGTTACGAGTAAGATCGCAACTGTCGTCTCCAGTCCCAACGAAGCAATCAAAATACACGTGGAGGCTGTTAGGTACGCCTGTAATCAATTGGTCGGCGCAATTGCAGGTACGATTGCGGCCTCTACGATGGCTACTGCAATCGGCGAAGAAGTTTGGAAAGTTAATGACGGTGCGAGACTCGACAAATCGTATCTCCAATCCGCCATAGAGGACATTAAGAAAACTCTTGCTGACAGAGCCAGAGAGGTCGGCAACGGTTTTGCATGGTTCATTGATAATGATAAGGAGGACCTGACGAATAAAGTGGATGCGGTTAGTAAAATTACTGATGATCTTGAGAAAAGGCTCAATGCTGCTACTCAGGCCTCCGGCGGCAGTAACCACGCCCAAGCCGTCGACGACGCGATCACTAAAATTGATACAGAAGTAGCCGCGGCATTTGATAACAATGTTAAAAATATATACGTGAAAAGCCCACCTGTCCCCGTACCTACGGTTGGCAAAGAGGACAAAGGAGTGCTGCATCAGTCGTACGAAGATATCACCGATAATCTTGAACAGCTTACAGAAGAATTCTCAAAAACTGGAAACGCTGTTAAAGATGAATTAATGAAATTGAAAAATAAGAATATAGCTGTCTTGCTCAGGCAAATTAAAGAATTAATTGAGAGTGTGCGGTATAACAACGTTAATGGTGTTACCGCCGAAGTCCAAGGAGCGCTTGCACAAATTCACGAGTTGGAAGCTGTGCCCGGCCAGGTTGAGGAAAAAAGAAAGGAAGTAGAGAAGATCATGGACAAGTTGAAAAGTGGAATTGAGAATGAAATTCATCTCATCGAAGCGGCGGTTAACAACGCCGACAGCGCTTTGACATATGCCATAGAAGCCCTCAAAAACGCCCATACAACGGCGTATGACATATGCAAACAAGCCGTCGACCAGCTCAGCGCAAACCTGAAGGACGCCGTCAACTTGGCATTCTACAAGGTCACCAACGCAGTCCAAGAAATGTTTGTAGAGCAGCACAAGGCGGACTTGGACGCACTTAAGAAATTGGTCGAAGACGCGAAGAATAAAATCGGCGATATAATTTCCCTAGACAGCATGACAGGCCTGAAAGGTCTAATCAGGGAGATGAAGGCGCAGCTGGAAGGCAGAAGTCTTATACACATACAAAGCCCGGTGGAATTTACAGGAACAGCCTCCGATCTCAAGACATTTTTGGACGCGCTTTTAAAATATGTTGAAGGCCAACTGAAGACCGTGGTTCCACCTCAGCCTCCGACTAGGAGGCAACCACCGGCTTCCACCCCGGACGATGGCAAAGTTAATAGGCATCTTCCTCCCCGGTCGTCTAGATCCAATTTAGAATATCATGGTCCAACTTTGAAGTCAAATACCCAATCCAGTCAGGTGTCAGTACTGGCCACCACTCTGGAACATTTATGGTATTTGCTTAACGACTCCAGACGTTTTGATATTAGATTCGAACATCATCTTACCAAAGTCAAAGATGCGCTTGGTCGCCTAAATCCCAAGACGTTCTCAGGATTTAATAATCCGGTTCTGCTTGACGTTGTGAGGAATAGCGTGGCACCTTTAGTTGCGGAATTAGGCAGGGCTTACATGAATTCGTATGAAAGTGCCCATCCGATTGAGTGGGAACGTGATACTGTCAATGCCGAACGGTGTTCTAAAGTTTGTCTTACCATACTATTTAGCCTTCACAACTCGTTACGTACATTAAGAAGGAATTGCAAGTATGGTTGGGATACACATCAAATAAACACATCCACAGCACTTGGAACATTTATGGCCGATCAAGGTTATGAGGTGTCCGAGAAGGGAAAACAAAACGGCCATTTACGGAATAAAACAGAATTCAAGGGCGAGAATATTCATAGTGTTCTCGTCGGTGATGAAGTCTATAATGTTTTCAGAGAGAACGGCAAGCGCCCACTTGACTTCTTGTACGACTACCTCCAAGACTACAATGCTCTCTGCCATTACAGGCACGTCACTCAGCCCAGAGTTCCATGCAGTGTATATGAAATGTTAGTATGGCTTGGCGGCTTACCGCACAACCGCGTGTATAATAAGCTGGCAGACCAGTGTAAAACGTTGCTCCAAAACGAAGATTACATTGATGTAGCATCCAACTTTACAAACATTTCTAAATTACACTTACCTAAATTATGCTCATATTCATATGACATACTCACCAAAGTCCTAGGACACGGCGACGAATATACCACGTATGGATGTGACTACCCGAACAATTCACATAGTTTGAAATATCCCACTTCGGGAGAGGAATGCCTTGGAATGTTACTTGACATCCTCCATCGACTTTTCCCACCACTTATGTTTTTGTTGAGTCAGTGTAGCAATGTTGCTTCCGAGCATGGCTGGCATGACTGCTTCTACGGCAAAGATGTTCCACCATCTAACTGGCCATGCAATGACCATACTGCAACGGCATCTAACTGTCTTCCCAGATCACCCCTTCAATCATACCTAACCGATGCTCTCCCTGGGCATCTGCCTCACCAGCTCACCAGTGTTGGATGCAAATCGACGTGCAACACCTGTCCCAAATCGACGCCTGGGATGCCATGTTTGACACCTCTCGGATTCAGAGGTTTCTCAGGAAGCAAAAGGTCAGGTAAAGAGCTATGTAACGTGTTAACCAAATTGCTGACCAACAAGCTTGTTTCGTTGCTGTTCTGCGTGCTGCCCAAAGCGCCAAGAACGTTGCCAGAGCATATCGTTTTCGCACGCTGCCTTGTGAACGAATGGCATGATGGTAATCCACAAGACAAAAATGGTTTACAAAGAGGTTTCGAAAAGTCCGTTACTGAGGCCTCAATTCGCCTGTATGAAAACACTGGTAACTTGGCTAAAGTATTCATTGACGCGTATGGCTCAGAATCTGTAAAACATCCTGAGTGCCAGCATCCGCATCTTTTGAATATCACAAGCGACGGTATCTGCAAAAACACCAAAAATAAAATTGAGTGCGCGCCATATCTCTCATCTCTCTACTCCCACGCATATCCTTACTTCACCAAAAAGCATTCTAACACATACCTCTCATGGGCCATATACCTCCCATGGACATTCTGGGATCTACTCAACAATTTATATAACGCTTTCTGTGGAATCACTTGTGCAGATTGGGGATGCAGAGGATGTCTCAGAGGAGACAAGTGCAAGAATGGCAAGCATGGCGTCATTGAGGATGAGAAGAAAACAGATGAGACTTGTCAGTGCACTTCCATAGTAGCCTGCAGAGGCGTAGCACCGACGCTCTACCAGTATGGATTCAGCTTCGGCGAGGCGTCGACGTTGAATGATGGTAAGACGCCGAAGAAGTGTAAGGATTTCTGCAGTCAGTTGAAGAATGTGCTAAAATCAGAATATTTCCAGGCTCTGTTCAAGGAGTGCGACAATTTCCTGAAAGAAATCAGATGGCCATTTATGCTAACGTTGTTAGCCCTCTGGTCCCTCTCCTTGCTCTACCTGCTGCACATCGCCGTCGTCCGCCTCGACGTCCTGAGGATACGCTACCACCTGCGCTCGCCCTCAAGCCACCGCATCGCCGCCCAGTCCCTCCTCGCCGCCGCACGCGTCAAGGCACTCGCCAACGTCAAGTACTTCTCACCGTGATCGTGCCTTCACGTGTGATCTGTGTATCACCCACTCACCTAACCACCCACTCACTCACTCACCCACCCACTCAACCACTCACCCAACCACTCACATACTCACCCACTCACTCACCCACTCACCCACTCACCCAACCACTCACTCACTCACCTAACCACTCACTCACCCACTCACTCAACCACTCACCCACCCACCCACTCACTCACCTCCCTCACTCAACCACTCACCCACTCACTCACCCACTCACTCAACCACTCACCCACCCACCCACTCACTCACCTCCCTCACCCTGTCCACCCACTCACTCACCTCCCTCACCCTGTCCACCCACCTCCCTCACCCCCTCGCTGCCTCCTTGACCTAAAATCGCCTTTTCCCAAACTCCCCCAAATCGCCCTAATAATGTGCCTAAAATATTTTTTCAACATTTCTCAACTTCTTCTCCTACCTCTTGTTAGCCCTCTGGTCGCTGTCGCTCCTGTACCTGCTGCACATCGCCGTCGTCCGCCTCGACGTCCTCAGGATACGCTCCCACCTGCGCTCGCCCTCAAGCCACCGCATCGCCGCCCAGTCGCTACTCGCAGCCGCACGCGTCAGGGCACTGGCCAACGTCAAGTACTTCTCACCATAATCGTGCCTTCACGTGTGATCTGTGTATCACCCACTCACCCACTCAACCACCCAACCACTCACCCACTCAACCACCCACTCACCCACTCACCCAACCACCCACCCACTCACCTAATCACCCACTCACATACTCACCAACTCAACCACTCAACCACTCACTCAACCACCCTCTCACCCACTCACTCAACCACCTAATCACTCACTCACTCACCCACTCAACCACCCACTCAACCACTCAACCACCCACCCACTCACTCACCTAATCACTCACCCACTCACTCAACCACTCAACCACCCACCCACCCACTCAACTCACTCACCTAATCACCCACCTAATCACCAACTCAACCACTCACTCAACCACACACTCACCCACTCACTCAACCAAACACTCACCCAACCACTCACTCACTCACCTAACCACTCACTCACCCACTCACTCAACCACTCACCTAACCACCCACTCACTCACTCACCCACCCACTCACCCACTCACTCACCCACTCACCCACTCACCCAACCACCCACCCACTCACCTAATCACCCACTCACATACTCACCAACTCAACCACTCAACCACTCACTCAACCACCCTCTCACCCACTCACTCAACCACCTAATCACCCACCCACCCACTCACCCACTCACTCACCCACCCACTCACCCACTCACCCACTCACCCACTCACTCACCTACTAACTCACCCACACACTCACTCAACCACCCACTCAACCACCCACTCAACCACCCACTCACCCACCCACCTCCCTCCTTCACTGGTCGCTTCGCTCTCTGCCTCACCCTGCCATCACCTCCTCCGTCGGCGTCCTTCACCCAAATCCTCATTTTCCACTTTCTCCCTCCACCACTAAAATCGCCTTACGTCCACCCTTCATCGCCCTCTCTCGCCCCTTCACATCCCTCCCTTGTCCACCCACCTCCCTCACTGCCTCCTTGACCTAAAATCGCCTTTTCCCAAAGTCCCCCAAATCGGCCTGAAAATGTGCCATTTCACCTCCCTTTACTTCCTTTAACTCTCCCTTAATCCACCTTTGATCCAACTACAATGACCACTATAATGATGTCCATTACCTTACTGAGGATGCCAGGGGGGAAACCTTAGATGACATTGATGCCCGCCGTATCTCTCTTGGCACGCTTGCTGGACAGCTTTCGGGTTTAATTGGTGGGAGTGACGAAGTTAAAAATGCAATTTTATATGGTTTGCACAGTAACGTAAGTCAGCTTGAAAAGCTTTTAGAAGCATCTTGCGGAGGTGAGGGGTGTTGTAAGGATGCTGGTGAGGCAATTAATAACCTTAATGAATTCAATGAGAAGCTTAAAAAACACCTTAATGAGGAACCAATAGCCGCTGAAAATCTTGATAACATCCTTTCTGACTGCAAGTTAAATCCGTCTGATGGTCCCTTAGATAAGCTTAATAAGGAAATTACTCAAAAAATTGATGACCTTACTAGGCAAATTGATGAGCTTAAAAATGACAATAATGATGTTAATAAAAGTAAAAATGCCTCTGAAATTGACAAACTTAATAAGGATCTTCAGTCTCATAATGCTTCCAAGAGGTCTCTTGAGACACTGAATGGGCTTTGTGAAATTGCTGAGAAAATTGATCAAAAATCTGATAACACTAAAAACCTTTTAAATAACCTCTGTGGAGGTTTAGAAAAGTTTCTCGGCTACCAGGATGGTAATTACACCGGAGAAGGAATTGTGTACTCCGACCTTGACAGGCTGTGTGACGGGGTGATGGCGTTCCTGCATTCCGTGCTTAAAGATGTCCACGCTAAACAGCCTTACAATGTTGGTAAAGAAGGCTTAAATGATGTTATTAGTAAGCTTTTTAGTAATTTGTGTTCAGGTTATCAGGGTTTTCAAGGTGTCATTACTGAGGTGGCCGCTGGTGTCGAGAGGTATAATAGGGAAGTGGAGAGATCTAACGACAAAATCAAGACTCCAATTACAAGGCTACAAGAGCAAGTTAACGACGATTTTAAGAAACGGGTAAGTGATGTATTGAACGATTATCTTGTTTCAGGTACTAAGAAGACATTGTCGGGGAAGGACATCAAGAAGGTTGAAGATGCTGTAGAGCAGGTGAATGATCTGCTAAAGCGGTGTCAAGAAAATGCAGCACAATTTAATGAAGCTTTAAACACTGATAAACAAAACATTAAAGACGCGATTAATGACCTAAATCCTAATCTTAGAGATAAGGTGAATAAAGCACGTGACACCATTAAGCTTGAGACTGAGCAACTCACTGCGTTGACGAGTAAGCAAAAGACAAATTTAGATGAGATGGTTGCGAGAATCAAGACTGTGCTTGAAGAGCTTGGCACTTGTGTGAATAAAAAGATTAGAGAAAAAGTAACGGAGCTTGTTAACAATCTGAAGAAGAAAGTTGAGGAGATTAAAAGACAGTTGGAGAGCATTAAAAGGGATCTCACCAGTTATGTTGAGGAGCTGCGGAAGTGGATGGAGGACGCGAAAAAGTTTATTGATGAAGTGAAAAAGTATGTGAAAAAAGAACTTGAGGAAAAAAATGTTGGCAAAAACATTAGGGAGAAAATTAACACGCTGGCGACGACGGATTTGGATGAGAAGAAGGATACGCTGGATAAATATATTAGGGAAACGAAAGAGGCAATTAAAAAGAAAGTCTCCGAAGCTAAAGAGCAAAAAGTCGGTGAGCTAACAAAATGGAAAAACGCGGCGGAGGCTGTGATCGAGAAGGCGCAGGGGAAGTGTACGGAGATATTGAAGAGGGTGGATGAAAGTACTGGCGGAAGTGATGTGCAAATTAAAAAGCAAGCTGAATTGTTGCAAAATAAAGCAAAAGATCTTTTGGACGCTTACAGCCAGGCGCATGGGAAAGTTGAGCAGTTGCCTAAGCAAGTTGAAGATGCCGTTGCAGATTTGCATAAGGTATATAACGAAAAATTGAAGACAGTAAATAAGGAGGTGATTGCGGCGGTGAAAACGGCTTTGAATGGAAGTATGGATACCCTTGACGAATTGGATAATCACGTTAAAAGGGGCCTATTAAAGATTAGGGAAAGGATTGAGACGGAAGTAATTGATGCGTATGTTCGTGGTATAGTAAGCAAGGTGATGGAGGCGGCGGCAGCGAATGATATCGGTGGAGTTGGCGGTATGTATGCTGGCGCTGAAAAATTGAGAAGGGATGCGGATCTGCAAAAGCTAGGATCATTAGGTCGAAGCCTGTATGAAAGTGCTAGCAATGGTAATCAGAAAGAACTGGAAATAATTTTATTCTGCGTAAATAAAGCAAAGGAACAATGGAATGGAATTAAGTCTGGGTCTGACCTTGCCAAAATCCTCACCGATGACATTAAGGCGGAACTAAAGAAGATCATCAAGGGTGATCAGGGAGGAGAAAAATACAAAGCAGAAATAAAGTTCACTAAAGAAGGCGCAACAGGACCCGATAAAGAACTCATGTCAGACTATAAGAAGCAGACAGAAAAGAAAGGTGTGAATGGCGTGGATCCAATGGAAGACGGTAAGCTTAGACAGAAGATTGATGCAATAAAAGATAAGGTTAATTACATGAAAAGTGACAGAACCGAAGAAGTCAACGTTGAGAGCTTCCAAGGTTACAACAATGCAGAACCATCCATAGGCATCAACGGAAAAGGCGCAAAAGCAGCGTTGACAAGTGCAACAGCGAACGTTAAAACTGCGCTGTCTGACTTCCACAATATGAGCGCTTTCAAGGATATGCCTGAATTCGAGGGACACACTGGACTACAAACCGAACTTGCAAAAGGAACCATAGAAAATTCTAAAAAAGCAGTCACCGCCCACTTCTCCACAATCACCGACGAACTCCAGGCCATCGCCCACTTCGTCGATAAGAAAACGCCGGCGCCGTCGGGACAGTCGGATAATGACAATGGCATCCAAGACTGGTTAACTGAGTTGAAAGAGAAGGGGCTTAAAAGTGAGGAAACATGGACACCAGTTACCGATCAGACTTCCAAAGGCCTCTTGAAGATCAAGGACGAAATTGACAAAGCGCTCACGGTCATAGAAAATGAAGTGTCCGCCATCTCCGTCGGCGTAACTACTAAAGCGCTGGAAGATCTCTCCACCAAAATTAAAGAAAATCTCGACACTCTCGCTATAGAGTTGTACATTGCTGGTAAAAGCATCAACGAGAAATTGGAAAATTTCAAGGTTGACAAGATCGGCACGAAGCTCGACGCCACCAAAGCTTTGACAGGTACCCTGCAACAAATTCACCAAGATTTCAATACTCTGCTGACCGTTGATGTGGAGAAAGTTATTCAGGCGGCCGATGAATTTATTCGACAAGCACCTGGAATGGCCGAGAAAACAATTTCATCATTAAAATTCGACGTCGAATATCAAGTAAAAACAGCCACCGAGAAGCTCACCACAGAGGCCCGCAAGCATTACATTTCCACCATCAAGCTGCAGCTTGAGCAATTCGCCGCCAGGATGGCCGAGCATCTCAAAGGACTCCCCGAGGCAATTGAAAAGGACAAGCATATTGGGTTCAAGGGTTTAATGGAGAAGTTGGAGAGCAAGCCGGAGAAGAAGCCTGTGGACAAACATGCTTACATTATTCCGAAACCAGAACAGAGTGGAATGGAAAAGTTGAAGACCGCTGTGATGCAAGTGTCTTCGTCACCCGAGCAGAAGAAAGCAGCGTTCAAGACATTAGCAGACGCTTTCCCTAACTTCGTCTTTCCTCTCTACAAGTATTTCCTCGGAGAAATCAAGAGAGTTCACGACGACAATATGTCGAAGCATAATCCTCCACGCACCGACGAACAACTCTACGGTCGTCACCTAATAGCAATATTTGACTCCTTCGATGCTTTACTTAGGCACCTTAAGGACACAAATAGATTCGACCATAAGGTTCCAGGCCTTCTTAACATGCTCAGCGATGCCGTCAACGGCCTTAAGCCGGACGGCTTCTATAAGAACAATACACCTGTAATTGATTGTGTACCCACCGGCCTGACCGACTTTGTGAAGGAACTCAAAAAAGTGTACATATCTGCGTATGACAGGCAGCCGTTTAATGGTCCGTTAACAATACTAGACTCTACAAAAAATCTCACCGACCAACAGCAACCCACTGACCCTGTTTACAAATTAACCGATGAAGGAAGAGATTGTGCAAAAGTGTTCATGAGTATGCTCGAAATTCTTAACGAAGACATGAAGTATTTGAAAAAACAATGCAAGTCTGAATGGGCTTCACGCACAATATATTCAGGTAGCAGCCTTGGTACATTTTTGAGTAATTGCGGCTACATTGTCCCCAAGAATGAGAAATCTCAAGATGGCGAATTGAGGTATAATAAGCAGTGCGACGGTAAATACATTTATGATACACTTCTTGTTGGCAATTTCCCTTGTCTGTTCGACGCGGATAAGAATGCCAAGCGTGCATTCGAAACTGTTTACGAATATCTCCAAGCGTATTACGTTGTGTGCCACGTCGCCACTTCCTTCTCCAAGAAGCGTCCGTGTTCCATTTATGAGATGCTTGCCTGGTGTACCAGTCTGCTACATCATCCCGTATACTTCGATTTGACAACAAATGACTTCGGTTACCTGTTTGATGAGCCGAAGAAAAAGGAGGCGGACAGCATGGAGTTCGATGGCATATCCCTTGAAGAGCCAAGCAGCTTATCGTTAGCGGCCTACCCACAAAAGATCGCGCAGAGTGAGATACACGATGCAATTGTACATGTCACGTCCCTTGCTCCAGTGATCCTGACTACCATAGTCGGATACGGCGACGAGTTCACCACGTACGCTGTTGACTACCGCAGCAACGCCCTTAACTTCACGTTCCCCTCATCGGCCGGGGAGTGCCTCAACATGTTGCTTGAATTCCTTCGTAGAATGATGCCTGTGTTCAGATTCTTGCATCATCAGTGTACCAACTTGGTGTCCGAGCACGGCTGGTACAGCTGCAAGTACGGCAAAGATGTCAAGTCAGCCAAGTGGCCGTGTAGTGACCACTCAAACAGCAAACCAAATTGCCAGGCAATGTGCCAACCAAATTGCCAACCAAATAGTAAACCAAACTGTCAACCAACTTCGCCTTTAATGTCCTATCTAAATGATTGCCTGCCAGGGCATCTGCCGCACCAACTGGTGTCAGTTGGTTGCAAATCTATATGTAGCACTTGTCCCAGAAGTAAGCCCGGGATGCCATGTTTAACGCCACTTGGGTTCCGAGGTTTCTCAGGAAGCACAAAGACAGGCAAAGACTTATGCAAAGTGCTGACCAACTTCTTTGGTAACGGTGTAACTTCACCCCTGCTCTCCGTTGCACCCAAACCGCCGAGCAACCTAGCAGAGCACTTCCAATTTGCATTGTCATTTGTGAAAGGCTGGTCATATGGTGGCAGTAACGGACTCAAAACGGTGATCGAAAATTCCGCCAAAAGTGTGTCCATTAACCTGTATGACCAACCGACGAAACTAACAGCTGCACTTACTAATGCGTACCGTAATACGCATAGCAAAAATGGAGGTAAGGATCATCTTACTGCGTACGCTGACGTGTCTAGTCTAGCAATGACACCAGCGTGTGATGATCGTGTCGGAAAAGCATTGTGCGCTCCATATGTTGCATCACTCTGTGGCGACACATATGCTTACTTTGCTGAGAAGCATTGCAACACATACCTCTCCTGGGCAATATATCTACCATGGACATTTTGGGATCTACTCAACAATTTATATAACGCTTTCTGTGGAATCACTTGTGCAGATTGGGGATGCCGTGGATGTCTCAGAGGAGACAAGTGCAGGAGTGGCAAGCATGGCGTCGTTGAGGATGAGAAGAAAACATATGAGACTTGTCAGTGCACTTCCATAGTAGCCTGCAGAGGCGTGGCACCGACGCTCTACCAGTATGGATTCAGCTTCGGCGAGGCGTCGACGTTGAATGATGGTAAGACGCCGAAGAAGTGTAAGGATTTCTGCAGTCAGTTGAAGAAAGTTCTTGATTCACAATATTTCCAGAAGCTGTTCAAGGAGTGCGACAATTTCCTGAAAGAAATCAGATGGCCATTTATGCTAACGTTGTTAGCCCTCTGGTCCCTCTCCTTGCTCTACCTGCTGCACATCGCCGTCGTCCGCCTCGACGTCCTGAGGATACGCTACCACCTGCGCTCGCCCTCAAGCCACCGCATCGCCGCCCAGTCCCTCCTCGCCGCCGCACGCGTCAAGGCACTCGCCAACGTCAAGTACTTCTCACCGTGATCGTGCCTTCACGTGTCATCTGTGTATCACCCACTCAACCACTCACCTAATCACTCACCTAATCACTCACCCACTCACATACTTCACACACTCACTCACACACTCAACCACTCACTCAACTACTCAACCACCCACTCACATTACTTACACACTTACCCATTACACTTAACTCACCCACTCATTTTAACCATTTCTACTACCACTTAACTTACTTATCATCTATTTACTTACCTACTTACCCACTCATTTCACTCAATTATTTACTTAATTTATTTACTTACTTACTTACTTATCACTTTACTCACTTTACTCAACCATTTCACTTAACCATTTACTTAACCACCCACTTCACTCATTTCATTTTTTTCATTATTGAGCTTTTGTTTCTCTTTTCCTTTCATTTTCTTTTCTGTCGAGCGTTTCACTTAAATTCATTTTTTAATTTTTCTTCACTTGAATTGTTTTATTTCAATCGATTTTCCCCCTTCATCGCCTTTTCTTTTTCCCCTTCACTTCCATCACTCCACCCACCTCCCTCACTGCTCTCCGTCACCTAAAATCGTTCTCCAAACTCCCAAATCGCCCTCAAAATAATCCATTTCATCCCCTTTTTACTCCTTTTAACTCTCCCTTAATCCACCTTCAATCCAACTACAATGACCATTATAATGAAGTTCATTATCTTACAGAGGATGCTAGAAAAGGAGCCTTGGAGGATATTGATGCCCGCCGTATCTCTCTTGGTCAGCTCGCTGGTCAGCTTTCAGGTTTAATTGGTGGGAGTGAAGATGTAAAAAATGCAATTTTGAATGGTTTGCACAGCAATGTAAATGAGCTTGTTAGGCTTTTAGGAACGTCTTGCGGAGATAAGGTGTAATGATCATCGTGATCAAATTAACACTCTTAATGAGAAGCTTAATAAACTTAAAAATAAGCTTAAAGATGATCAAAATACTCCTGTAAATCTTACTGTAATCCTTTCTAAGTGCAAGTTAAATGGTCTTGATGGTCCCTTAAAAGAGCTTAAAGATGCAATTACTGAGAAAATTGAGAAGCTTAATAAAGATATTGAGAGCCTTAAAAAAGCAGATAAAGATGCTAAACAACGCAATGAAACTCCTCAAAATGCCTCTGAAATTGACAAGCTTAATAAGGATCTGCAGTCTCATGAAGCCTCCAAGAAGTCTCTTGATACACTGAATGAGCTTTGTGGATATGCTGATAAAATTAATAAAAAGCTTGTTGACGAAAATCCCTCCACAGAAATTCTTAAAAGCCTTTGTGGAGGCCTCGAAAAATTTCTCGGCTACGATAATGGTAATTACACCGGAGAAGGAATCGTGTACTCCGACATTGACAGGCTCTGCGACGGGGTGATGGCGTTCTTGCACGGGGTGTTTAATGAAGTTTATAAAAATGATAATCTTTCTCCTTATAAAACCACATTAGATGCTGCGGTAAAGGCTCTAGAAACTCATCGTTATGAAGGCAAAACAGGTTTGCGTGATGTGATTGACAGTGTCAAGGAGGGGATTGCGGGGTGGTTGGAAGCTGTCACGTTGTCTAACAAAAAGGTCACTGGGCCGTTGGAGAAATTATTAAACGGCACAGATGAAGATAAAATCTCAAAGTTACTTGAAAAAATGAATACTATGAAGGACGATAAAAAATTGGAATACAAGGAAAATTCTCTTGAGGATTGGATAAAAAATGTTTCCATGCTTTACGTGTATTCTGATCGTTCGTTTGACAAACTTAATAATCTCGATCAAAACCTCCAAAAAGAATTATCTCCACACGTCTCCCTTATTAAAGACAGAGTGGACACTTTCGTTGACTCCACTAAGCAGGATCACGAGGGGCTTGTTAAGGTGTGTGGGAGGGTGGATGAAAGGATGAGTGAGATTATTAACCATGTTGATATGATTTCTAAGGGCGTAGAAGAAAAAATTGGAAAAATAACTGCAATGTTAAATAGTGAAATTAATGCGCTTCAAGAGCATATTCGGAAAGTTGTTCCGGGTGTGGAATCGGCAATCAAGGAGCTGGATGGATGGGTTAAGGACGAAGACTTTTCGAAGTCCAAGCTTCTCATAGCTATGCAAAAGTGTGAAGATATCGTTAGATTGCTGAAAGCCGATGATAATCCTTTGAAAAAGCAATTTGACGCTATTGAGCAAGCTAGACAGACGGTTGATGCCGTTCATACAGCTCTGCGAGGAATTGACGAGGACCTATTAGGTTGGATTAACAAGGCGGAGCCTTTGGTAAGGCAGTCTATTCCATTGGTGACTGCAATTTTGAATGAAGTGAATGGTAAAAATGTTGATACGAAGTATCCTGATGGTATTACTACAGCGGCTGAGAAGCTTAAGGAGGATGCACTGAAACTTGAACAGGCAATGAGAGAGGCGCATGGATATATTAGTGGCAGGGTCGGCGACGCTCTGGGAGCGGTAGAAAAGCAGCTTAGAACGGCAGTTAATAAAGACTTAAAGAGACTTAGAAATGAAATTACAGCCATAGTTGGAACTTATTTCGACGCGTTGAAAATGGCAGAATTCAGTAAGGCCGATGGAGATGGTAACGTTACCGGACTGGAAACATTTAGTAAGCAATTTCAAGGTTGGCTCAGGGAAGTAAAAAAATCTAAAATTAGAAAGCGTTATATAACAGGAATCGGCGACGGTGACGACGCCTTCCAACGTATATTGTACGTTTTAGATGCGCTTAGAAACAAGGATCTAAGTATAGATAATAAAATGGGTTTCGATGCAATGGGGGATGATGCAGAGTGGTTTATTGGGGAGTCGTTTGGTAGAGAGGATGCAGAGGTGACGGGCGATGATGATTTTAATCCCACCGAGAATTATGACGGTGAAGGTGGTAAAGACTCTGTTACTGGTCCCTTGAGTCTGATAGAGAGTAATCCTGATGGATTGCGGAAAATCCAAAATATAGAGGGGAGTGATAACAATAATATCACCCCTGTCTCCTTAGGCCAATTACATGAAAAAATAACTTCCAGCCTTCAATTTCTCATTAAGATGATCAATGAAAAGGCGGACAACGAAAAATCCGAAGGTCTCAAGCAGAAATTGCAATTGCTGGAAATTTTGATAATTAATAGTACTGATGGCAATAAGGTAGAAGGCCAAGTTGGCCTACAAAAAATAAAGAGTGACCTTACGAACCAAAAAAAAATGTTGTCTCCCCAATCCCATGCCATCCAACAAGCCGTCCAAGCAGTTCAGGAACAACTCACCAAGATTTCCGAAATGGTTGAAAAAAAGACCGAAAAAGATGATGGTGTGAAGGACCATTTGGGAAAGCTCAAGAGTGAAATGCAGAGGCTTCAGAAGTCGCTTATGGAATTGAAAGTAGGCGACTTGACTACCGAAATTAATACTGTTCAACGTGACTTTACTGCAGCAAAATCTACAATTAGATCTTACATTCAAAGCATTACTAGAGAGGTCAAACATAATGCTAATATGGCTGGAAGAGATATCAAACGCCACGCCCTCTCCCAGTTCGCCGTGTCCAAGGCCCGCGCGCTCGAGCAGCTCAAGGAGCTGGTGGAAGAGGAGTCGGCAAAAATAGAATATCTTATCTCTTTAGACAAAATGGCAGGACTAAAAGGATTCATGAAAATATTTAAAGAAAAGTTTGTTGAGAAAGTTAAAAACATTGAAACATCGCCCACCGCCAAACTAAAGGATGGAGCAGACAAATTACATGAAGGCTTCGCCAACTTCTTCGAAGCACTTGGGAATGAGGGAGAGGAATTAAAACAACACTCCAACGTGATACGTCCTGACGCATTGTTCCCTGAGCCCTCTATTTACGGAAGATTGTATGACCCCCTAAAAATTCTGCTTCATGATATTAATGATTCTGGACATATCAATTACAATTTCAGTGACCACCTAGAATCCCTCAACGCAGCACTATCTACCTTCACCCCCGCCAAATTCACTGACTCCTCCAGTCCCATCCTGCAAGCGCTCAAGGACGGAATCGGCGCCCTGGCCAAGCAACTCGGCTACGCATATGTGAGCACGTACTGTTGTAGAAAGTTTGACGGTGCGTTGCTTGATCCTCAGGATCCCACTACGTCAGACGACAAACGCAAATTGACTGAGTACGGCAAGCAGCTGTCTAAGGTTTTCATGACCTGTATCCCTGGTTGGGCAAGATATCTGTACGATCTGCAGAGGAACTGCAGCGGTGAGTGGAGCCAACAAAAAATTCATACGCCTGATGACAGCAATAAGATGGCCCTCTGGTTCCACTCCCGCGGCTTCACAGTGCCGGAAGATGACAAGAAGCAGAATGGTCACATGAAGAGGGGCATGACGGGTGAACAAATTAATAGTGATATTTTCACCAAAGAACTTACGAAGGCTTCCCAAATGAAAATCAAGATTAAAGGCAGAAGCAATGATGCAATTTATCTTATGGACATTCTTTCACTGCTTCACCCTACGCTCGAAAGGTACCGCAAAGTATGTCACTACTACATCCCACCAAAGCCAAGAGCGCCGAGTAACATCTATAACATGCTCCAATGGACTGCCGGCCTCAAGTACAATCACATGTACGGTGAAGTCAAGAGCCAGCTTGGCAGTGTGCTTAAGGGCCTACAAAAAGAGCATAAATTGGAGAAGACAGAATTACCAGTCGCCGTGCCATACGATATGCAACGCGTGATTCAATCACCTATAAACTCTGCCCAATTAACCAACGCACTTGATAACGTCTGCTACTTCGCCGGAGAAACATTAGTCGCCGTGCTCGGCCACGGCCATGCGGACGGTGTGTATGCCTCCGATCACCTCACTAACTCAAGTAATTTATTGTATCCAGGTAGTGGTGGTGCGTGCTTAGACATGTTAGTTGATGTGTTATTTAGACTGTATCAGCAACTGTGGTTCCTGTGTAGGCAGTGCCTCGGTGACAAAAGTCACAGCGGGTGGAAAGACTGCTCGTACGGCAGGTACGTGTCTGGCTCAGGTTGGCAGTGTAACGATAAGCAATGCCCTAACCAAGAGTGTAAGCTAAGTGCCAACCAAAAGGTGAACCAAAACCCTGACCAAACACTAAAGCAAACAGCTGACCAACGCTGTGACCAACACCCCGATTGTGGTATGAAATCCCCTTTGCAGTCTTTCTTAGAGGACGGATTGCAAGGGTTCTTGCCACATTCATTTAGCACTCCCGGCTGCAAGTTAACGTGTACGGTATCCAATCATAGGGGACTCCCGTGTAAGACGCCCATGGGCTTTGCCGATATCGGTGTCCTTGCATCCCATACTAAAACAGGTGCGTATCTCGAGGGTGCGCTTTACAATTTCTGTGGTCCAAAGTCTCACCTCAGTAAACTCTGTAACATGCTGAACTGCGTACTCCGCCGAGCGCCTCAGACGCTTGACGATATTTTCGGTTTCTTCCGTGGTTACCTGGCACACTGGATCGACGCTAGAGAGCATAAGATCTCTGCATTTAATAAGGCCATCAGGGAGGCGTATTTCGGCAAGGAATATCCCTTTGACCCAACTAGTATTTCCTATACAAGAAACCACTCCCATCATATGCAAACCCATTCCAAAGGTGATCTGTTCACCATATCCGAATGTGAGGGTAGCGCAGTAGATACATGTGGTGTCTACGTCGAATCACTATCATCCAGCACATATAGCATTTTCTCGTCGTACCATAATAAGCAATACCTGTCGTGGATCCTGTACTCGGCTGAGACCTTGTACAATATGCTGGACAGATTGTATAAGCAGTGCTGCGGTACGTGCACGTCTCCGGGAGCAAAATGTCACGGCACAAGATGTGATAAGGAATGTGAAGTGAAAAAGGCATATGATGCTCAAAAATCTGATGATGCAACGCCAGAGAGCAAGTCACTCAACGGCAAAAATCACACTGAAAATTGCACATCCATTGTCAGATGCCAAAACACACTGCCCACGCTATATATGTACGGCTTCAGTTTTGGGAAACCATTGGGATTATGCGGCACAGGTGACGCATTGGAAGCTAGAAGAACGTGCAAGGATTTCTGCAGTGCGTTGAAGAAGATCCTAGAGGAGGAATCCGCACTTATTCAACTAATCAAGCAAATCGATGAATTCATTTGGAAGATAAGAGAGAATTTCTCTTACACCCTCCTCGCCCTCTGGTCGCTCTCTTTGTTGTACCTGCTGCACATCGCCGTCGTCCGCCTCGACGTCCTCAGGATACGCTCCCACCTGAGATCGCCCTCAAGCCACCGCATCGCCGCGCAGTCCCTCCTCGCCGCCGCACGCTTCAAGGCACTCGCCAACGTCAAGTACTTCTCACCATAATCGTGCCTTCACGTGTGATCTGTGTATCACCCACCCACCCACCTACTCACTCACCCACCAACTCAACCACTCACTCAACCACCCACTCAACCACCCACTCAACCACCCACTCAACCACTCAACCACTCAACCACCCACTCAACCACTCACTCACCCACTCAACCACCCACCCACTCACTCACATAGTCACCCACTCACACACCCACTCACTCACTCACACACCCACCCACTCAACCACTCACCTCCCTCCTTCACTGGTCGCTTCGCTCCCTCCCTCACCCCCTTCATCACCTCCTCCGTCGGCGTCCTTCGCCCAAAACCTCATTTTCCATCTTCCCCCTCCACCCCTAAAATCGCCTTACCTCCACCCATCTTCCCCCTTCATCGCCCTCTCTCACCCCTTCACCTCCCTCACCCTGTCCACCCACCTCCCTCGTTGCCTCACTGCCTCCTTCACCTAAAATCGCCTTTCCCCAAATTCCCCCAAATCGCCCTAAAAATGTGCCTAAAATAATCCTTCAACAACATTATTAAATAATCTCTGTACAGGCCTCGAAAATCTTCTCGGCTACCAGAATGGTAATTACACCGGAGAAGGGATTGTGTACTCGGACCTTGACAGGCTGTGCGACGGGGTGATGTCTTTCCTTCATGGAGTTTTAAGTAACATTCATGGTCATTTAGGCTTACATAGTTATCACATTACAACAGCAATTGACTCTCTTGACACCAATAAACACCGTGGTAAAGAAGGTTTTAATGCTGCGATTCGCGCAGTGGTCAAGGGGGTGGGGGAGTATAATGAGGGTGTGAGGAGATCCAATCAGGAAGTTAAAAAACCTATTGAAGTATTGTATAATTACGTGAAAGACAACGGTGCGTTTGACACTGATTTCAATAAAATTCAAGTTGATAAAGTGACTTCGAAGCGTGAGGACGACGAGGTGAAGAAGGCTGAGACGTTGGTGACGGAGTGCCTGAAAAATGCCAAGCAGTTCAATGATGCTTTAGATGTCAGCACAAAAGATGAGGTGAAAAATGCAATTGAAGATTTAAGTGGCAACTTGCGTGATACAGTGTTGCGTGTTCGTAAGACTGTTGAGTATGAGACTCAGAGTCTCAGTGAGATGTCAAGGAGAGAAGCTGTGGTGTTGAAGGCGACGAAACGCAGAACTGCGGAGATACTCGGCCATCTTGGGAAGCAGGTTAATTATCAGATTGAGACGCGGGTAAATGGCCTTGTTTACGGGTTGAATGTAAAGGTTGCCCGAATTCAAAAACAACTTGAGGATATCAACAGAGAGTTAGTTGAGCACGTCAACGAGTTATATAAGTGGATTGAGCAGGCGGAGAGTGTTTTGCAAGATGCGTTGAGTAAGGTGGATGAAATATTGAAGAAAGTGGAGTGGGATGATGGAAATGAATATCCCAGGCAGATAAGGTCAGTTGTGGAGCAGATCAAGACATCAGTCATGGTGTTGCACAGTGCCGGTGAGGCGGCAAGGGAGAAAGTTGAGGAGAAGGTTAAGGAGGCGCTTACGGCAGTGAACGCAATGAACGAAGCGGTTAAAGATGGTCTGGGGCAGATAAAAATCCAAGTTCAGAGTGTGATCGGGGAATATGTTTATAATTATGTCACGGCTGTTCAAACTAAGGTTAGGCAGATTAAGGGCGGGAAAAGTTCACACGACAAAGGTCTTGAGGATATTGTTAACGCAATGAAGGCGTGGGTGCAGACGTTCACTAAGGATGGCAGCGTTAAGGGATCGTTTGGGGATAAAGTGGCGGACTGGGTGGAATATATTTTGGTGTATAATGAGTTTGTAAAAGGTTTACTGAAGCAGTATGTTGAGGATCTTGGTATGGAAAAGAGTAAGCTGAATGACAACTGGGATGAACGTGAGGAGCAATTTAGTCGAGACGGCAACCTGCAAATCGCTGAAACAATAAAGATTCAGCTTAAAGATCACGGTATTGACGATGCCGGCCAAGAGGTCCAAAGTCACATCCGACTTGAAAGTGATGGCACCAACAAAATTGATACATACGTCGTCGCGGTTCAGGCAGGTTGCCAGACTTTTGCCAGGTTACTTGGGCCGAAGATTAAGGAGGAAATAGGCGTGAATGTTAATGGTTTTGTCAAGGGTATTGCCGCTAAGGTTGAGGAATCAGTTAGGAGTGATGATGTTTCCACCAGCAATCCCAATCTACAGTCCGCTGTCCAATACATTCTACACCAGCTCGTCGTTGCAGCCAAGCAAACCGGAGAGGAACTTGGATCATTCACTGGTGACGATGCCTCTAAGATGAGCGCAAACGTACACGCTGCGCTCGGAGTGGCCACCGTTCTCGACAAGGATTTTGACAAAGCCCTTAAAAAACTCGAACCCCATGAATACCAGTCCGCAAAAACCTTCAAATCCGGCTCTTCAGCTACGGATCAGATTGATGCCAATATACAACAGACTATCAGCGATGCACTGGATAAGCAGATTGGGCCGACTGGTGCTGATGGTAAGGTAAACATACCGTCTGGTAAATTCAGCACGTATCCTACCTACATTGTCCAAAAAAACCTTTCGGCCAAATCAATTCTACAAGGCAAAGAAGAGGAGGGCAAACTTCCAAAAGCCATCGGCGAGATCAGGACAAAAGTGACCGAGGCTCTGACATCAATCGAGCAGCATAAAAAGTTTGCCGACGACGATTTGCAATCGGTTACACAAAAACTTAGTATGTTCTGCGGTGCCATCAAGCAGGCAGCGGGGGAGGATAACGCAGAAGGGCTGAAGAAGAAGCTGAAGCAGTTGAAGGAAACGTATTTCAAGACAGGCGGCACCGACGCCACTAGCATTTACAAGATTTACAAAGATCTCAGTGCGTTGCAGAGCAGGCTAGCTGAGGGACCGATAAAGGACATTGAGACATTCCTTAAGGACGCCAGCCGGCTACGCGATGAAACCGTCGAGTATCTCAAGGAAGAGGTCAAAAAGGAAATTATTGATGCGCAAGCCAAAATGGTCACGCACGCACGCAAGCAGTACGTCACGTCTATTAAGGACATGTTAGCCGCGTTTGCTCAGAAGACAACGAGCGAGTTGACACTCCTACCTCAGCAAATAGAAAACGACAGACATGTCGGCGCAAAAGGCTTCATGAAGAAACTCCACGGCCAATTTATTTCCAGAATAGAAGATTTCTTCCCAAAACGAGACGTCTCTCCTGACCAGCAGAAGAAATTAAAAGACTTCGCCGACATCATACGTTATCTATTCAATGATTTCGTTGAGTTACTATATGGTCAAGATGATTTTGGCAAGAGTGTACATAAATTCTTCGAGCCGTCACGTCAAGCATTGCACCGTCTGCTTACTGACCTTATCGCTTCACAACACTTCGACCGCACATTCAATACGAACATAGATAATTTTAATACAGTTCTGCATAACTTTGCACCTAAACAATTCGCCGGTCCGTGCAGTCCTCTGCTGGACGCGCTTAATGCCGGTCTTAACAGGCTGGGCACCGAGCTTAATAAGGCTTACGTTAGCGCGTATGACGGTGAGAAACCTACAGATGGCTGGGTGACAGAGGTCACTGAAACATCCAAGTCGTCTGATGTTGCTTCACCGAAATACAAGTTTACCGATGAGGGGGAGAAATGTGCAAAAGTATGTGCGACGCTGCTCTCTACTCTATACACGAAGTTGAGTGACCTGAGGCAAAGATGTAAGAATGGTGTCAGAAATGGTTTCAATAAAGATACCATTAACAAAACTACGCGTCTCGGAAGATTCTTCGACGGGGAAGGATTTGTTGTTTCTGACCCCGATGACCAGAACGGTGAGCTTCAGCACAAAAAAGGTTTCACGGGTCAGAATATTTATGCGAAATTGATTACAGAAATTACCGGTCAAAATTCCCAAAAGTATAAGCTTGTCAGCGATGACGATGATCAACATGTCGACAAGCGTCAAATTGCATCTGGTGAGACAATTCCTTCACCAAAGTACAGTGTCCTCAGAGATCTCGTCGGACATCTCCACGATTATTTCAGTGTTAACCACTACGCAACTTCATTCTCCACTAAGCATCCATCATCCATAAAAGATATGCTTCAATGGCTGGCCGGCCTCCCGCATAATCACATTTTCACCAAACTCCCGCATCACGTTAAGACATTGTTCGACAGGCCTAAAGAGCGGGAGCATGAAGATTATTCCGCATTCCAGCCACACGAACTTAAACTAGATGCCACAGTTCCGTTGTCAGCCGAAACAATAATCAAGGAATTGGGAATGGTATGCTCACAGTCTCACTCAGTTCTCACTTCCATTCAAGGCCACGGTCACTCGGGCGGAATTTACGCCTGCGACTTTTATACCAACTCAGCAAAATTAGTGTATCCCTCTAACCCCGGTAAATGCTTAGATTTACTAGCAGAGATATTAAGTAGACTGTTCCACCAACTTAATTTCCTATATAAGCAGTGTACCTATCCTATGGACCTCGGCGGCTGGCGTAACTGCTGGTACGGCCAGGGAGTCGGCGGCTCTGGTTGGCAGTGTAATGAGAAACAATGTGCTAACCTAGAGTGTAAGCTAACACCTAACCAACGCGCTAACCTAAGTGCTAACCAAAATGGTAACCAAACGTGTGAGCAGCATCCAAAATGTGGCCTTAAGTCGCCTTTGCAATCCTTTTTGGAGGATGGCCTTCAGGCTTTCTTGCCACACCGATTCTCTCAAAATAATTGCAAAATAACATGCGACGCTCCAAATCACAGAGGCGTCCCTTGCAAAACGCCATTTGGCTTGGTGGACCTTTCCACTGTTGCATCGCATACGAGCAGCGGCTCTAGACTATACCGTGCGCTTAAGGAACTCTGTGGCACTTCGGCTTCACCGCTCAGTAAATTGTGCTCCGACTTAATATGTGTGTTAGGTAGGCCACCTCAGACATTAGGTGATTTGTTTTCATTCTACCATAGTTTTATTACAACCTGGGGAGACAAGGGCAGAAAGCACAAAAAAGACGCCTTTGATTTAGCCGTTCAAAAGGCTCACTTCGAACGTCCTTATGAGGACCTTGATGTCTATTCCATATTTAACGGCAGCCACTCAGCAAAAGTGGCGGGCCATGGCAACGGTGATCTCCTCAGCCTTGTATGCAGCACACAGTCGCCAGGCAAATGTGGTCTATATTTGAGTTCTCTAAGTGACCATATCAGCGCCACGTTCTCTGCAAAACACGGTGACAAATACCTATCGTGGATCGTTTACATGACAGAGACGTTTTACGATCTGCTTAAGAAGTTGTTTGATGAGTGCAACGGTAGTTGCGGCGGTGACAGGCCCAGATGCCGTATCGCAAAATGTCCAGAAATCTGCAAGGTTGCCAAGCAGCCGACCAAATCCCATCACAGAGACCCATGCAAATCCATTGTCAACTGCAATAGTACACTGCCGACATTGTGCAAATATGGCTTCACAATTAACAGCCCATCTAAAATGGCCGGTAAGGATGACCCAGCACTCAAACGTACGTGCCACGATTTGTGCACAATATTGGAAAAAATTGTAAAAGAAGGCAGTGTACTCTATAATTTAGTACACAAAACAATTCCGAAATACTTATTTGAAATACGTTCTAAGTTCATCTGGACATTATTATCCCTCTGGTCGCTCTCGCTCCTCTACCTGCTGCACATCCTCGCCGTCCGCCTCGACGTCCTGAAGATACGCTCCCACCTGAGGTCGCCCTCAAGCCACCGCATCGCCGCGCAGTCGCTACTCGCCGCCGCACGCGTCAAGGCACTCGCCAACGTCAAGTACTTCTCACCATAATCGTGCCTTCACCCACTCACCCACTCAACTACTCACTCACCCACTCAACCACCCACTCACCCACTCACCCACTCAACTACTCACTCACCCACTCACTCACTCACCCAACCACCCACCCACTCAACCACTTACCCACTCACCCACTCAACCACTCAACCACTCAACCACTCAACCACTCAACCACCCACTCACTCAACCACTCAACCACCCACTCACCCACTCACTCAACCACTCAACCACCCACTCACCCACTCACTCAACCACCCAACTCAACCACCCACTCACTCAACCACCCAACTCAACCACCCACTCACTCAACCACTCAACCACCCACTCACTCAACCACTCAACCACCCACTCACTCAACCACTCAACCACCCACCTCCTCTTTCACTGGTCGCTTCGCTCCCTCCTCCATCACCCCCTCCATCACCTCCTCCGTCGGCGCCTTCACCCAAAACCTCATTTTCCACCTTCTCCCTCCACCTCCGAAACCGCCTTGCCTCCACCCATCTTCCTCCTCCATCGCCCTCTTTCGCCCCTTCACCTCCCTCGCCTTGTCCACCCGCCTCCCTCACTCCCTCGCTGCCTCCTTGACCTAAAATCGCCTTTTCCCAAACTCCCCCAAATCGCCCTGAAAATGTGCCTAAAATAATCCTTCAACAACATTATTAAATAACCTCTGCACAGGCCTCGAAAATTTTCTCGGCTACCATGATGGTAATTACACCGGAGAGGGAATTGTGTACTCGGACCTTGACAGGCTCTGCGACGGGGTGATGTCTTTCCTTCATGGTGTTCTCAGTGGAGTGAAGGATGATGACAGTGTAAAGAAATATGATGATAAAAATAATGACATTAATAATGTTCTTGAGAAATTAAATGATAGTGTAGGTAAAGGCCGTCAGGCCTTCGGGAACGCCGTGACTCAGGTAAGTGAGTGGTTGGAAAAACATGGTGCGCAGGTGGAGGGGAAGATGAAGAATGTTACGACGCCGATAAATGACATTGTACAACAGATTGCGAGAGATAAGACGTCAATTGAACGTGAAAAGATTGATCCTCTCACCGACCAAATTCAGTTGTGGATTGGGCGGGCTCAGCAGTACATCGGGAAAGCGCAGAGCGCCGAAGGCGCCTTAAGCAAGATTGATCGACAACTTTCCGGTAAGTTAAAATGCAATGTTTCATTGGTTGTGCAGGCGCTGAAAAAGTTCCAAGACGAGGCGGCGAATGAAGACTTGAAGGACCTCTATATGCTGCTAAGATATAATTGGAACGAGCTTAAGCAGCAAGTTACTGCAAAAACTGAACAACGTTCTAATGAACTTCAGGGCTATTTGAAACGACAGATTGGTAACTTGCATAGACAGCTTGAAAACTTGCGTCTTAATCAATTTACTAAGCTTGGTGTATCTTTGAGCAATGATTTACATTTTGCTCTTGAAACGGTGCAGAGTGGTATTAGAGGGCTTGATGTGAGGTATAAAGAAGAGATTGTTCCGGAACTTGGAAGGATTTTGTCAGATGCATACGTGCTTCAAGAGTTTGTTGCAAGGGAGAAGAGGAAGCTTAAGGGGCAGGTGGAGACGTTGACCAGTCAGATAGACCTGCTTAAGAACGTTAAGACGCACGTGACGCCGCCGAGCGGCGATCTAAAGCATTATCAGTCCAGCCATGGTGATTATGATGCATGGAATTTGAAAACTCACATCAATCAGCTTAAGACGCAGATTCTATGTGAGGTGAAAAACCATGTTGGTGCTATGCTCGAACAAATTCAGGAACACGTTGAGAAGATTAAAAAACAGATTGGTGATAAAGAAAAGGCACCGGGGATATATTATAATTGGGATAAGCTAAAAACAGACATTACGAGTCTTCTTCTAGGTATATATGGTGAAGATACCGATGGCGCTAAAAATAATAAGGGTCTGAAACAGATTGTTCAAGGCGCTAAGCAGTACGCAAATCTTTTTAGCGGCCAGGAAAACGCAGGATATAAATTTGGGAATATTGTGCATAACTGGATTTTGGATATATTGCGGGAAGACACTATCATTACATGGCTTGATCAGTGGTTTAAATGGAACAACATGCACACGCTGAGGAGTACTACTCTGAAGGGTACTAAGCTGGAGAAAATTCCTAATGGCAATAATGACGTACTGCGCAGTGTAATTATGTCAGCGATCACGTCTGAGCTTAGCGGTATCATTGGGGAAGCAGGTGATATGGTCAGACAAGGCATCGAAAAAAACAAGGGAGGCACAATTGAAGGATACATCGAGGCTGTCATGGCTGGTATCCATGACTTCGTCAGTAAGTTTTGGCAAACGATAGATAAGAAAGGTGGTGATATGCTCAGTAAGATCGAGGAGATGTTGGGGATTAAAGACAAGAAGTCCAAGATCACGGGATACAATGATCAACACCTCCTTAACACTGTGCAAGCTGCCTTAGTCTCTCTCTACTCCAGAGCTAGGCAAACTTGGGACGCATTAAATTCCTTCGCCTTACAGTACTCCAAGATTGGTAACGTTAACGATGCCATAAAGAAACTCGAACAAATTGCAGAAAAACTGATAAATGACGAAAGCCAATACGGTAATCAAATTACTCAGGCACTATCTACCGTGCATGGGAAAATTGGTAAACTCCACACTAACCTTGAAAAGGCGATTAAGGAAGCTAAACCCGATAACGTGCTGCGTTCCGATCTAGGCCCTATCGCCGAGCAAGTCAAGGCAATAAGTACAAAGGTGTACGGAGACGAAGTCAACAACAAACTCAAAGAGCTCCTTAAAGAGGCGTGCAACAGAGGCATCAATGAGCTGCAGAAGAAAGTAAATGGAATCGTTGGTGATGAAATTCAAGCCGCCAACGATACGCTTGAGGGCATTAAAAAGGAGCTTACATTGCTTCAGACTAAAAAGGAGAGTGACGTGCCCGAAGGTGTAGATGGAGGTGAATCCCTCCTCCAGAAGCAAGCCAATGCGCTTCACCAAAAAATCCAAGACTTTTTAAAAACAAAGGTTGGCCAAACTGGAGGCAAATCGGAAAACAGTGTGTATAAGGATTTGTCGGAATTGCAAAAAAATATAACAACACTTGGTGAGAAGGTTGCAGACGTGAAGCAAAAGGTCACGGCAGTGGGTGATGAGTTAGCGCGTTGCATTTTACAAACCGAAAAACTGCTTGATGAGGCGCCAAGAATGGCAAATGCCATAATGTTCAGATTACGTGACGACGTGAATGAGGAAATTAGGAAGGCAGTCAGAGAAGTTCTAAGAAAAGCTAAAAAACTTTATACGGAGCGAAAGAAAACAGAGGTGAATGCACTGGAAGCAATCGTTAAAACACAGTTTGCAGAGATTCAAAAAACAATCAAGCACGACGGCGAAAATGGTGTGAAAGGTCTTTTGAAAACCGTCCATGGTAATTCATTCAGCAGGCATCTTGATGGTAATTACAGCTTTGGATCGTCGACGGAATTGCTTGATGACCTCAAGGAAGATGAAATTAAGAATGACTTCATTAAGCTAACAGGAAAGTTCAAAGCATATGCAGAGAACATTCTAATTTATATTGGCAATCAAATTAACGATGCATTCAAGGAGCCGATTAAAAAGGCGTATTACGATAGCCTTCAGAGCATCTATGATCAGCTCTCCAACTTGCTCGAACACCTCGGCAAAGGCGATAGGAAATTCCACTTCGACTCTGAATTCTCCAAACTGCTTGCCGAACTTGAATCGCTACTCGAGAAATTCACGTCAACGCAATTCGGCGCTACCGCCTGTCCCATCCTGGACGCCATTAAAGGCGGACTGACAATGTTCTCGGAACAATTAGGGAAGGCGTACATAAATAAATACTCAGGAACTAATGACATTACGTGGGAGGACAAGAAAGAGTTAACAAAGGATGGCAAGAATGGAGCCAAAGTATGTATCACTGCGTTATTCATATTACAGCGTGAGTTATTACACCTAAGAAAAAATTGCATAGACAGGTGGAGTGGTAGGAAAATTAATTCATATAATAATAACCCCTTGGGTGAAATATTTACGCGTCTTGGTTATCAAGTCTCGGATCATGAGAGTAAGCAGAACGGGGAATTGCGAACTTCTTTAGATATGCAGGGCTCAGATGTTGTCACCAAACTCGCGCATTTGATAGACGGCACCAACAGCAACGAACATCTGCCAATGTGCTCATCAAATGAAAAGCAAAATAAATTCCATGTAATGGATATCCTGACGTGTCTTGTCAAACATGTTAATCAATATTATAACGCCTGCCACCTGAACACTCCACAGTTACCTAAATATCCGTGTTCCGTGTTTGACATGTCGTCATGGCTTTGCGGCCTTAGATACAACGTACTCAATGATAAGATTATCGGCCAGTGCAGAACATTGCTCAATACTGAAAAGGATGCCGCAATCAGGCACATATTATCTGCCGTAATCGAATTACACTTACCAGCAATATTCACTCCTATCTATGATTTCCTTGTTACGGTTGCCGGATACGGTGACGCTTCTACATACTATGCTTGTGAATACTTATCCAACACACTCGGCTTGCATTACCCATCGAATGCCAACAGTTGCTTTGATATGCTGCTTGACATCCTACGTAAATTATATCCCGTGCTTACATTTTTGCTTACTCAATGCCGTCTCGGTAAATCGCATTTCGGTTGGAATGAGTGCAAATTTGGTAACGGTGTCCAAACGTCCGATTGGCAGTGCGGCCCAGAGGGTGACCAATTACCATCTTCTAAAGTTGATTGTTCCATAAGTTCGCCGTTGCACTCATACCTAACCGACGGCCTTAGGGGCATGCTCCCTCACGCTGTCACCTCTAGCAACTCCAAACCTGTATGTTCAACGTGTGGTAAAGGCGCAAGCAAAATGCCATGTTTAACGCCACTCGGCTTCAGAAGTTTCACGGGAAGCAAAAGGGCAGGCAACGACTTATGTAACGTGCTAGGCAAATTGTGCGGTAGTGGAGGCGTGATGACGGCACTGTATTCATCACTCACATGCGTCACTTTTCGTCCTCCTTCTACACTGCCTGATATACTCTCGTTTTACTGCCAATTCACACAGTCATGGGATTTAATGCCAACAGACCACAAAACGAATCATCCTATCCAATGCATTATTTACGATAAAATATTAGCCACTGTAGCATGTGATGCTGGAGATGCACGTGACCTTCTTAGTCCTTGCCGCCTTTTGTATCATTCCTCATCGCACAGTGAACATAATACTAGAGATAACGAACCTGATATCATGTATCTATTAGGCTGTAGCAATGGTGGTTGTGGCAATTATTTAAAACCCCTCAATTATGCTGCGTACTCCGATTTTTCACAGAAGCACGCCGAGAAGTACTTGTCGTGCCTGGTGTACGTTTGTCCCCAACTTGTCGACTTACTTGCCCGTTTAATCGATGCCTTCGCATCAGTCTCTTGTCATGATTATGGATGCAGTGGCTGCAATAAGTCGTCCAAGTGCTCACCTGGAAAGCACGCCACTGACGAATGTGGGTGTGAATCCATTATGCGATGTAGAGGCATAATGCCCACCCTATATAACTTTGGATTGACATTCGGTAACGTCAAAAAATTATTAAACAGCAAATTCGGCAAATGTCACAATCTCCGAGATATACTCGACAAAATTAGAAAATCAGACTTAATGGTCAACTGGTTGAAGGCAATCGACACATTTATGTGGGCCATCCGCACACCCTTCTCCTACCTCTTATTCGCCCTCTGGTCGCTGTCGCTCCTGTACCTGCTGCACATCACCGTCGTCCGCCTCGACGTCCTGCGGATTCGCTCCCACTTGAAAACACCCGCAAGCCACCGCATCGCCGCGCAGTCGCTGCTCGCCGCCGCACGCGTCAAGGCACTCGCCAACGTCAAGTACTTCTCACCATAATCGTGCCTTCACGTGTGATCTGTGTATCACTCAACCACCCACCCACTCACTCACTCACCCACTCACTCACTCACCCTCTCACTCACCCACTCAACCACCCACTCACTCAACCACCCACTCACCCACTCACTCAACCACACACTCACTCACCCACTCAACCACTCACCCAGTCAACCACCCAACCACTCACCCACCTAATCACCCACCCACCCACTCAACCACCCACCTACTCACCCACCCACTCAACCACTCACTCACCCACCTCCCTCTTTCACTGGTCGCTTCGCTCCCTCTCCCTCACCTTCATCACCTCCTCCGTCGGCGTCCTTCACCCGAAACCTCATTTTCCACTCTCCCCCTCCACCCCCAAAATCGCCTTACCTCAACCCATCTTTCTCCTCCATCGCCCTCTTTCGCCCCTTCTCCTCCCTCGCCTTGTCCTCTCACCTCCCTCACTCCCTCGCTGCCTCCCTGACCTAAAATCGCCTTTCTCAAACTCCCCCAAATCGCCCTCAAAATGTGCCTAAAATAATCCTTCAACAACATTATTAAATAACCTCTGCACAGGCCTCGAAAATTTTCTCGGCTACCATGATGGTAATTACACCGGAGAGGGAATTGTGTACTCGGACCTTGACAGGCTCTGCGACGGGGTGATGTCTTTCCTTCATGGAGTTCTTGAGAGTGTGAAGGATGATGAAAGTGTTACAACTTATGATAAAGATATCTCTGGTGATAGGATTAATAAAGTTGTTAGTGATTTACATGATAGTGTAGGTAAAGGCCGTCAGGCCTTCCGTGACGCCGTGTCTCAGGTAAGTGAGTGGTTGAAAAATCATGCTGCGCAGGTGGACACATTGACCAAGAATGTTACTTCAGAATTAGGTAAGTTAAGTACTAAATTATCATCTGGTGCAGGTGGACAATATTATGAAGAGATCAAGGGTCGACAAGGCTTGAAGCTTCAAGATCAGATGGACGGGTGGAGGGCTGTACTCGGCTACATTGCGGGAGACATTCACAAAATAGAAACACAGAACATTAATATGTTAGACGACACATTAGCATCACAAATAGCGCACAAAATAGAGCCGATACAGAAATCGGTGGAGGTGCTGCTGCGGGCGGCGAATGATGATGATCTGAAGGGGCAGGCGCAATTCGTGGACGAGCAGTTGGAAGAGCAGCAAAACATTATTTGCGAAGCTGTATCCACAGGTTGTGAAGCGTTTCAGCAGACATTGAAGAATGAATTCGAAAGCATTCTTGACGAAACGCATCGTCTTAGTGAGTGTAAGAGGGAGCACTTTGCTGTTACTAGAAACGTGTTGAAGGAAGCTCAAAATATGGTTGAAGGGTATATTGGAAAATTTGACGAGGAGTATAAAAATGAGATTTTCCACGCGTTCACAAATATTAAAGGCCAGCTGGATGTAGTTGATCCAAGGAATGACAAAGTTGGCGGCGACAGCATCAAATCCAAACTGCGCAGGGACACCGAAGCAATTCACGGCGCGATTCATGAAATTGATCAGCGACTGGGAGGTTACGTTCGAGTATTAGGAGAGTGGATGTATAAGACTAAGAAATTGGTAGAGGGTGCACAGACAGATGTAAAGAAAATTCTGGATGAGGTTGACAATCCAAATGAACGTAAGAATGAGACAGGAATTACAAAGGCGGCCGAGCAGATTAAAGTGGAGACTGAAAGGTTCAACAGGCAATTTACTCAGTTAATGGAAAGGTACGTAAAAGTCTCTGAAACGCTTAATGGAACGGGTGGGAGTGCACACCAAGGCGTGTTGACACAGCTTGGGGCGCTTCAAAGTAAGGTGGCCCTACCAATTGCCGTTGAAACGTTTAAGCAGAGTGGCCCTAACGGATGGGATTTGAGTCGCGATATTGATGGGCTCACAGCTGCGATCACAGGGAACGTTCAAAAGTATGTGAAAACCAATATTCTTCAGAAAATTAAAGCGCAACTTAAGACCATTAATGGTACAGAGGAAAGTGCACGTCAAAACAATGGTCTAAAGCAGGTAACTGATAAAGTGCAGAAGTATGTGAAGGCGTTTGCTGAAGAAGGCGACAAGTTTGCTGGTGTAGTGCAGGGGTGGATTGATGACATATTGAAGAATAATGGTGTGGTTAAGTATTGGCTTAAGAAATATGTTGAAACAAATATTGATAGAATAGGGAACCAATATAAGGCGCATGGTGCAATTAATGATGCGTTCAGAAAGCAAATCGCCGATAAAATTAAATCAGCGCTTAGCGCCCATGTCGTATTAGCGCAGGACAAGATTTCAACAGTAACGGATAAGTTGGAGGAGAAGGTTAATAATATAAAGGATGGTATCGATATGTTTGCCAGCGGCCTTAGTGAGAGCCTTGATAATAACAAAGTTGGTGTTGTTTCTGCCCTCATAGTAAAAGCTATAGAAGAGGGAACAGAATTGGGAATCACCAAAACGTCACCCTCTAGTGACAAATTCTACCTCGAAGGTACCTTACAGGCAACCCTCACGGCACTCGTGTCCAAAGCAAGACAGGCCTCTAAAGAGCTTGCATCCTTCACTGGGATCAGCGATAGCCCCACCATCAACATTGTGAGCAACGTCAAAAGTGCGCTAGCCACAGCGACAACGCTTGAACAGAAACTTGAAAATGCGACTCTGCCTTCTCCCTCTTCCCTTAGCGGTCCCGGTTACGAAATTGCCGTGCAGATTGAGGGCATTTCGACGAAAGTCGCCGATCCCATCGCAGTTGACACTCCACTCAACGATCTCCTCCAAGCGACAGCAAAAAAAACAATCGAGAAGCTGCAAACGGCGCTCAATGATTCCGCTGTTTCCCAACTTAACAGTCTTAACAATAATGTAGAAGCCCTTGAAACTGAAGCAAAAGCGGCCAACGCACAGCTCATAGACCAAGCGGGACTGGTCACCAAAAATCTCGATGCGCTCTGCCGGGAAATTAGAGATGCTGGTAAAAACTTGAAAATGCACTTTGAATATCTGAGGGAGACTAATATAGATGGTACACAACCTAATCAACTCAACGGCTTTAAAAGTAAACTTACTATACTGCAAGAGAAAAACATCAAATCACTGTCAGACGGTGTCCGCAATGCTCTTGAGTTAATTAAGGACCTTGATAAAGTGCCAGACGACGTGGAGGAAAAGAGAGGTGAAGTTGACGAACTTATGGCGCAGTTAAAAGCAAAACTTAAAGCATTTCAAAGTAAACTTAACGAGCTTGTAGATATTGTAAACAACGCACACACATATCTGACACTGGCCATTGATGCGGTCAACAACGTTGTTCGTGGAGCTCTTAATGCAGCTAAGCAAGCCGTCTCACAACTCGAGACGAATCTTCTAGTGAATGTTAAAGGCACATTTCACATACTCACAAAGCAAATGCAGAAGCTTTTCGCAAACAGTCACAAAGCGGATTTACAGGCTCTACAATCTTTAGTCGAAACGCAAAAATCCGAGATCACTAATATAATTAGGCACGATTCTGAGAATGGTTTGAAGGGTTTTCTCAAAAAAGTCAGGATGTGTTTGACTGTCATGGTGCCGCAGCACAGCGTTAAAGATTATGCTGACCTACTTAAACAGATTTTTGATAAGTTGTTCGATTACATTAAACAGCAAATCACCTCCCATATTAAGTCTCAGGCGTCAGACACAGCCGCTGGCGCCAACCGTAATGGGCGTTTGCCGTCAAACTCCACTCCCCAATCCAATCAGGTATCCTCCTTGCATTCCACCCTAGATAAATTGCTGCAATTCCTCAAGGATTCCAATCATTTCGATCCTCTATTCCAAAACAATCTGGATTATGTTAAAGAGGCGCTATCGGTTTTGAGAAATTTAAATTTCTCGGGATTTAATAATTCTGTACTGCTTGATGCAATTAACGGTGCCGTGAAATCCCTCGTCGGAGAATTCGATAAGGCATACATAAACGCCTATGAGGGACACAGGGATCATATTGACTTCGATAAATTGCTTGAAACTAAAACTGTTGATACTGTCGGAAAATCCGATCTACAATCTCAGACCACTGAATTAACCATTGCAGGAAGACAGTTGTCCAAAATATTCCTCACATCATTAACGATGCTTCAGGAGAATTTAAGTCATCTGAAAACGAAGTGCGGCGATACGTCAAGATATTCATGGAAAGACAAAAAAATAAGTCTAAAGAATAGTGATGACGATAATCCACTCGGCACATTCCTCAACGGCTGTGGCTATGAGGTTGCTAAAAATAAGGCTTCGAAGGAAGGCGAGTTGAAATTACCAATGAACGATTTCACTGGTAAAGACATTCATGAGAAACTTGATGCAGAAATTCAAACCACCGATACTCTTAAACACATACAAGAGTGTGTAATAGAAACGGTAAAGAAAACTCAACCAAGTAAAAAGCAATGTAATGTCATGGATATCATTGACTGCCTTGTGAAACATCTTGGCGAATACTATAACGTTTGCCACACTACGCACATTCCTAAGCCTAAGTCACCGTGTAGTATCTTCGATATGCTCTGTTGGATGTCCGGCCTTCCGCACAACGCAGTCTTTAAGAAACTCACAACACATTGTATCGCATACGATACAAAAGACGACACGTATTTAAAATCTCATATGCGTAACGCTGTGGCTTATTCGTTACCCAAATTATGCACATACTCACATAAGTTGCTTAGCACTATCCTCGGCACAGGGGACGAATACACCATTTATGCCAGTGACCACTGCACCAACTCCCTCAGTCTAACATATCCTGCAGTCCCATCGCAATGCTTAGAATTACTTCTTTACATCCTCCGTAGATTGTATCCTGTGTTGCAATTCTTGCGTATGCAGTGTCTAATGAGTGACGAACATGCCGGTTGGGCGTCATGCCAATACGGCAGAGACATCCCAACGACCAAATCACAATGTAACAAGCAGCTAAGTGGCCAACCAAATAGCAAACCTAAGTGCCAAGCAAATGACCAACCAAACTGCCAGGCAAATAGTCAAGCAAACAGCAAACCAAACTGCCAACCAACTTCACCTTTAATGTCCTATCTAAATGACTGTTTACCTGGTCACTTACCACACCATCTAAGTTCCATTGGCTGCAAATCAGTTTGCAGTAATTGCCCCAAAGGCCAGCCTGGAATGCCGTGCCTTACTCCATTAGGGTTCAGGGCGTTCTCGGGTAGCACGAAAACAGGGTCTGATTTGTGTAAAATTATTGCTATAATTTTCGACGACATAAATCTATCATCCATGTACTGCCTCGCTCCTAGGCCCCCGACCACATTGGCAGAACATTTCTATTTCACGACGTCCCTTGTAAAGTCTCTAAACGCTGAGAAACCGCAAAAGGGTGCTGACATCAAGACATTCGAATCTGTGTTTACGTCCTCAATCACCGAACGCTCTATTCAGCAATTTGACAGGCCAAGTCAGCTTACTGATGCATTCCGTAATGCTTACGGTTTGGCTGCGACGGACCATAGCAACTGCAAACATCCTCATCTTTTGAATCTAACAAGAGGAGGTCTATGCAAGAGCGGAGAGAATAAAATTGACTGCGCTCCTTACCTTCGGTCCATGTGCACCGATGCGTATAACTACCTTGCCGATATGCATTCCAACCTCTACCTCTCATGGGCCATATATCTTCCCTGGGATTTCTGGCTATATCTTCAGAATCTATATGATGCTTTCACACATATATTCTGCCAGGATTGGGGATGCATTTCATGTTTACACGGCGATACATGTAGGAAGGGTCAGCATGGCCTTACCGATGAGAAGTCTAAGGCGCCGCACTGCCACTGTTCTTCCATCGTAAATTGCAGAGGTGTCATGCCGACGTTGTACCAGTACGGATTCACATTTGGGAACGCTTCAAAATTGAATGGATCTAATAAATGCTCTGATTTCTGCAGCCAATTAAAGAAAGTGCTCCACTCCGAGTATTTCGTAAAATTATTCGACCAATGCGATTATTTCCTGTATATCATCCGCTCACCATTCATGACATTATTGTTATCCCTCTGGTCCCTCTCTTTGCTCTACCTGCTGCACATCGTAGTCGTCCGCCTCGACGTCCTGAGGATACGGTCACACCTGAGATCGCCCTCAAGCCACCGCATCGCCGCGCAGTCCCTCCTCGCCGCCGCACGCGTCAAGGCACTTGCCAACGTCAAGTACTTCTCACCATAATCGTGCCTTCACGTGTGATCTGTGTATCACCCACTCACTCAACTACTCAACCACTCAACCACTCAACCACCCACTCCAACTCAACCACTCACACCACTCACCCATCAACCACTCTAAACTCAATTCACCAACCATCAAAACCACTCAACCATCAACCATCCACCACTCACTCAATTCAACCCACATCAACCTCACCACTCACCCACTCAATCACCACTCAACTACTCACTTCAATCATTACTCTTTCATTGGTCGTTTCGCTCCTTCCTCATTTCCATCATCTTTTCTCGTCGTCCTTCACCCAAATCCTCATTTTCGTTTCCTCCACTCCGAAACTCCTTCAACCCATCTTCCTTCATCGTCCGCCCTTCACCTCCCTCGCCTCCATCCACTCTCCTCCTCACTGCCTCACTGCCCTAAATCGCTCCTTCTAAAATTCTCCAAAAGTGTCCTATTTCACCTCCTCTAATTATCCTCTAACCTTTTCCCCACTTGCTTCTCTCACCTCTTTTGACCTCCCTCCTCGGCCTCCTTCGTCGGCCTCCATCGACTGGTTGATCCAGGTTAAGCATGGCAACAATGATGGTCTTACCAACTTGGCCAATGCTTTAAAAAAGTTGATTGGTGACGCCATATCTAAGGCTACAACTTCCCTCCAACACAAATCCGGCAAGCTCTCTTGCTCCCCAAATCCACATGATCCTCTCTCCTACTGTAGTCAGCTTGATGGACTTATTAAGTCCAAAAATGAAGAACTTAATGAAGCTAAAAACTCTAATAAAACTTCTGAAATATCCTCCTTAGAATCTAAAATTAAGCAATTACAGTCCAACAAAGATGACTGCACTAAGTCCCATTACATGGACGACCAGCGTCTCTCCTCCCTTGAGGGGGAAGTGCGTCATGGCATTGATGTTATTGTGAAGCTTACACAGTTTAGTGGCTCTGAAAAGAGCATTGAAACACTAATTAATAAAGAAATTGACAGACTTAATAAGCAGCATAATACCTGTGAAAATCCTCCGCAGTCTCATCCCTCTTCTGACTGTCCTCAGCATAAACTGCTTGAGGAGCTTAAAGAGAAACTTGAGACTTTGAAGAAGAATAAAGATAATAGTCCACATGATTTATTAAATAACCTCTGCACAGGCCTCGAAAATTTTCTCGGCTACCATGATGGTAATTACACCGGAGAGGGAATTGTGTACTCGGACCTTGACAGGCTCTGCGACGGGGTGATGTCTTTCCTTCATGGAGTTCTTGAGAGTGTGAAGGATGATGAAAGTGTTACAACTTATGATAAAGATATCTCTGGTGATAGGATTAATAAAGTTGTTAGTGATTTACATGATAGTGTAGGTAAAGGCCGTGAGGCCTTCGGGAACGCCGTGACTCAGGTAAGTGGGTGGTTGAAAAATCATGCTGCGCAGGTGGAGGGGAAGACGGGAGAAGTGACTACGGAATTAGGTGAGTTGATTACTAAATTATCATCTGGTGCAGGTGGAGAAAATGTGTATTACAAGATGGTTGAAGGCAAGGCGTCCAAGCCGCTGCAGGAGCAGCTGGAGTGGTGGAGCAAGATGCTCACTTGTATTCTCACTGACATAAATAACATCGACATTAATCACGTTAATATACTAGATAGCGCACTTAGAGATAAGATTAAAAATGAGACTCGGTCGATAAAGACTGCAGTCAGAATGCTCCGTGAATCTGCAGTGCAACAGGAATTCAGGGAGCAGGTGAAGCACGCGGACAGGGAGTTGGAAGAGCGGGAGACACAAGTGAAAAGAAGCATTCATATTGAGAGTGAGAACGTTAGAGACACATTGTATAAGGAGTTTTTTAAAATACGTGAAAGTGTTACGGCATTGGAGAAAGCTAAGAGGATAGGTTTTCATAATATTTACAAACGTTTTGATGCTGCGCAAGATTTTGTGAATGAGTTTGACAAGAAATATAAAACCGGAGTAGAGAGTCTTTTTGACTATATTAAAACGGCATTGGAGGATGTTGATCCCAAGAATGACAAGGGCGGCGCCCTGAATAATGAATCCAAGTTGAGACAGGACGTTTTAAAATTTAGAAGAAACCTTGGAGACCTTAATGATGATCTGAAGGGGTGTGTTAATAACTTGGAAAACTGGACGGCGCAGGCTAAGCAGTTTGTAGATGAAGCGATTGGAAAGGCTATGGATATCAAAAGGTTAGAGACAGGAAAGGAGCATCAGGAAGCGTTAGCAGCCATTCCAACACAAATCAGGAGCAATGCAACTGGGCTACACGGTCACTTTGCCGCAAAAAAGGGACAATTTAATGCAGCTGTCGAAGCTATCAATGGTGCAAGCGCGAAGCTGGAAACACTTTATGCAGAGGTTGAAGAACAAGTGACGGATACGTTGACTGTTTTCCAAGGCAGAGGTTATTTGAATGTGGAAGCGAATATCACGGAGCTTAAGACACAGCTTAAGAAAGGAATGAAGCAGTATGTTGAGGAATTGCTGTTAAAGAAGATTCAGGCGGCGGTTGAGCAGATAAAAGGTAAGGTTGGGGAGAAAGGTACAAAAGACCAAGACAATAGTATATATCACAACTGGGTTAAGATGAAACATGAGATCAGGAGAATTGCCGAGGAGATTTATACGGAAGGCATCACAAAAACTGGAAAGCTCGGTGAAATTGTGGAAGGCGTAAAGGGCATTGTAGGGAGGATTTCCACGCAGACGTTTCATACGACCATTCAGGGGTGGATAGAGAAGTGTTTAAACAGCAGTGGAATCAAAATGTACGTAGAATGGTATGCGCAACGATACCAGAATGAATTTTAAAATTCGAAATATAAGAGCAATGGCGGCGCGGAGACTATTCCGAAATTGATCGCACTTATTAAACAGCAAATTGCCGATGACGTTGTTAAAAGTGTGACTAGCAAAGGGGGGATCAGCAGCGACGGTAGTTATAACCAAAATTTGAAATACATCCAAACCCTTCTTAGCGAAGTCGCCAAAAGGGCTGACCCAATTAAGACTGAAACAATAGCGGGGCAGATTGAGAAGGAGTTGTGGGAGAGCTCCATACCTGGAGAAACTGATTACACCCCGTATAAAAGTTATCTCCGAGGCTGCATCCGGTATACTATGCTTGCACTCGCTGCTATCGCCAGTCAAGCTGGTGGTGAGCTTATAAAGGAGTGCAAGTTCGAGAACGTAAAGGATGCAATACAGAAGGTGGGAGAGATAAAAGATCAAATTACAAGCGTCACCGGGGCAAATATTGACAAGGCGCTGGAACAGGTGAAACAGGAAATTGAGGAGCTGGTCCAGAATTTAGACACGGAGGCACCACACTCTAGCTCCCCCGGTCCGCATAATACCTTTGGTAAAACCGTTGATAGCAATATTGCAGAAAAGGTGAACGCCGCCGAAGTCGACAACCAGCTCGCCAAACTACTGAAAGACACAGCGCACAAAGGCATTGAGGCGCTTCAAACGCCAATCATATCTCAGGTTATTCCCACACTCAAACATGTTGATAAGGAAGTGGATAAGCATGTCATTGATGCCTCACGGGCACAATCTGCGCTTGAGCATCAAGCGCAAGAAGTCGAAACGCATCTTAAAAAGCTCACCGAGGTATTTTCCAAAACGGGCGAAGATATAATGTACTTACTTGATTTGCTAAAGAAGGAAAGAATTGACAATCGTCTTTTTACAGGCATCAAAGAGAAAATCGGCAATCTGCAAAAGGAAAATTTCCCAGGTGTCATTAAAGACATAACCTCCGTTGTTGCCCAAATCGATAAGCTGCAGGATGCCGCCACGTTTGTCGACACGCATAAGAAAGAAGCCGGAAAGCTTATGAACGATTTAAAAAATGACATCCAAAACCACATCAGTCTCACACGTGAAGCGGTGGCAAAGGCCGATACTAACTTCGACAACGTCATGAGAATGCTCCGAAAGATTATCAATGAAGCCGATAAAATCTGCAATCAAGCGGTATCGCAACTTCAAAAACGTCTACTCGACACGACCGAAGAAGCTTTCCAGACCGTACGACTCGCTGTACGGCTATTTTTTGCTCGTCAAAAAATGGCGGATTTAATAGCACTGAAATATCTGCTTGAACGGCGCTTGAGAAAGATGAGAGACATAATCGACGACGATTTCATTAACGGCGTCAAAGGTCTGATGGGCAAGATGCATGAAATATTGCCTACTTTAGACGCCGTAGAAAAACAGAGAACTTTCGGCGACATGGCCGAGAGATTAGGATGGTACCTCTCCCCCCTCCTCTCCTACACCGCCGAACAGGTCAAGACGCCGGGCAAGGCGAAGAAGGGAGAGAAAGAAGACAGTGAGGGGTCCAAGAAAGTTCAGGACATCAAATCGGCCGTCGACAAATTACTCTCCCACCTCTCCAAATCTGACAAACTCTACAACTTCGACTATGAATTCCAACTAAAACTCTCCGCACTCACCGACGCAGTCAACGCCCTGTCCGCCGAAAAATTCGCCGGCCACCAGAATCCCGAATTGCTCGACGCCCTGAAGAAAGGGATGCTTGGCGTTACCGGCGAGTTGAAACACGCGTACGTCAATAGGTATGATAGTCAGAAATTCACGGAAAACTTAGTCGACGCTAAATATGAATTAACCCCCTCAAATAATACCACAATCATAACGCTGAGAGATTATGGACGGAAGTGTTCTAAAGTCTTCCTCACCATCTTAAACATTGCTCAAGACGCTCTAAGTAGGCTGCACTATAAGTGTAATGGTGACTGGAAAAACAAAAAACTCTGTAAAATTGAAAATAACGACGAGAATCCCCTTGGCAAATTCTTACATGACTGTGGTTACGGCGTCGCCAAAAATGAGTCATCCAAGGACGGCGAATTACATCATGAGAGTGTATGGACTGGGAATAAGATACATACTGATTGCGTTAAGGCCGTTCAAGACGCCACCAACAATGAACATCTTAAAGCGTGTGTATCAAAACAAGATCAATTAGACGTATTAGACATCCTTAAATGCCTTATGACTCATCTTAACCAATATAACCAAGTCGGTCACATAGCAACATTCACCGCCACTAGTACACCCTGCAGCATTTTCGATATGCTGTGTTGGCTGTCCGGCCTTCCGCATAATGCAGTATTCCAGAAACTCACAGCACACTGTAACGCATACGACACAAAAGGTGACACCGATTTACGGAAACGTTTGTTAGATGCCGTTGCATATAGTTTTCCCAACATCGGCAAGTATTCGCATAATATGTTGACCACCATTGTTGGCACTGGAAACGCCGATACCATATATGGCTCTGACCTCGCTAACAACTCTCTTAAATTTAAATATCCTTCCTCGGGCGAGGAGTGCATACATACTCTGCTTGACATATTGCGTAGATTGTTGCCGGTATGTAGATTCTTGTATAAACAATGTGGAGTCCGTCCATCTCATTTCGGTTGGCGTGATTGTCAGTACGGCAAGAACATTCCCACCGCCAAGTGGCCGTGTACCGACCATTCAACCGACAAAGCAAATAGCCAACCAACGACTAAACCAACGTGCCAAGCAAATGATAAACCAAACAGCCAACCAAATTGCCAACCAACATCACCGTTAATGTCCTATCTAAATGACTGTTTACCTGGCCACTTACCACATCAATTAATGAGTGTTGGATGTAAGTCGGTATGCTCCACCTGCCCTTCCACTTCCAGGAATGGTATGCCATGTTTGACACCATTAGGCTTTAGAGCCTTTTCTGGGTCAACGAAAACTGGTAAAGACCTATGTGAAATTATAAAGAAATTCTTCGCCAACGTGAATCTTTCATCCATCTTTTGCCTGGGCCCCAAACCTCCAGTTTCCCTTCCAGAGCACTTTGGTTTTGCATTGTCGCTTGTCGGTCAATGGGCTGATGGGTCCAGGTATGGCGTCGGCAGCCTTCAAACTGCAATTGAATCCACAATTAAGGACAAGTCCATTGCACTTTATGATCAGCCTGCCGACCTTACAAACGCTCTCACCAACGCTTATGGGCATGGCATAGAAGGCCATGACGAATGTGATGATACGCATGTCACTAGTCTCACATCGTCTGGTACGTGCAACAGCAAGAACACCCACAGCGCTCCCTATCTGTCGCCACTTTGCTCCGATGCATATAAGTACCTGGCCAACAAAAATGCTGGTCTGTATCTATCGTGGATTGCATATCTCCCATGGGCGTTCCATCAATACCTCGAATGTTTGCTTGATGCTTTCAAGAACATCTTCTGCCACGAATGGGGGTGCCACGTATGTTTCTATCACGATAAGTGCAAAAAAGGAAAGCACGGTGAATCGGAACATCCGTGTCAATGCAGTTCCATAGCAAAATGCAAGGGTGTTGCACCAACTCTATATAGTTACGGATTCACATTTAACGATGTGCTTTCATTGAACGCATCGAAGTTTGCAACAAAATGCTCTGACTTCCAACAACAGTTGAGTAAAGTAACACGATCTAAATATTTCACATATCTATTTGATGAGTGCGACAATTTCCTTTGGAAAATAAGAGAGCCATTCTCACAGACATTGCTAGCCCTCTGGTCGCTTTCTCTGCTCTACCTGCTGCACATCGCCGTCATCCGCCTCGACGTCCTGAGGATACGCTCCCACCTGAGATCGCCCTCAAGCCACCGCATCGCCGCACAGTCACTACTCGCCGCCGCACGCGTCAAGGCACTCGCCAACGTCAAGTACTTCTCACCATAATCGTGCCTTCACCCACCCACTCACCCACCCACTCAACCACTCACTCAACCACTCACCCACTCACCACTCAACTTACTCAACCACTTCAATTACTCTCAACTCACTAACTTACTCAACTACTCAACAACTCAATTCATCACTTACTTCAACTACTTCAACTACTCACCATTTCAATTCAATCTACTCAACCCACTCAACCACTCAATTTCAATTACTTGCATTTCATCTTACTTACTTACTTACCTTCACTTTAACCACTTAATTAATACTCATTTACTTACTCATTTAATTAACCATTTAAACTTAACCACTTAACCACCACTTAACCATCCCACTTTTTACCCACTCATTTTATTTCCACATTTCATTTACTTAACATTTACCATTTACCCATTTACTTCAATTCATTTAACCATTTAACCACCCACTCACCTCCCTCCTTCACTGGTTTTTGTTTCTCCTTCTCATTTTCCTCACCTTCTCCTTCGGCGTTCCCTTACTTAATTATTATTTTTCTTTTCTTCACCTTCAAATTGTTTCCTCCTAACCCATTTTTCCTCCCTTATTGCCTCTTTATGACCTTCCTTGTTGTTTTGAAAATTGTTTTTTCAAAAAATTCTAAAATTCTCCAAAAGTGTCCCATTTCACCTCCTCTAATTGCGCTCTAACTTTTTTTTCCACTTTCTTCTCTCACCTCTTTTGACCTCCCTCCTTGGCCTCCTTCGTCGGCCTCCATCGACTGGTTGATCCAGGTTAAGCATGGGAATGGTGGTGAAGGTAAAGGGCTTGAGGAGTTGGCCGAAGCTTTGAAAAGGTTGATTGGTGATGCTATTTCAAAGGCTACTAGTAGTCTTGAAAATAGGAAAAATGAACTCAATTGCCCTGATAAAACTTCTATTGAGCATTATAACAAGCATTGTAGTGACTTGAAGCAGAAAATTGATGAAGCCAAAGCATCTGGAAATGACTCTGAAAAATCTAAAATGGAATCCGACTTAAAGAAACATTATAATGGCGTTCATTACCTTACTGAGGATGCGAGAAAAGGAGCCTTAGGGGACATTGAGGAGAGGCAGAAGACTCTTGAGAAGCTTAAAGAAAATCTTGAAGCTTTTATTGGAAAAGAAAATGATGACGCTGGAAAATGTCAAAATCTTTTAACAAATCTCAGTGAAGGCTTAGAAAAGTTTTTAGGTTTCAACTCTGAGTCCAAAGGCTACTCGGGTGAGGGCATCGTGTACTCAGACCTTGACAGGCTGTGCGACGGGGTGATGGCGTTCCTTCATGGAGTTTTAAGTAACATTCAGCCTAAATTAGGCCAGCATAAAACACAAACTGATAGCGCAATTAACTCACTTAAAAGCACAAATAATAATGGTATTACTAAATACAAGGCGGCGATAGCCGCGGTGGAGGAATGGGTCAGGAGGTACAATAATGAAGTCGCCGAGTCCAACAGAAAAGTAAGTGAACAAATTAATTTGTTGCAGGTTGCCGTCAAACGGTACGAGCAGAAGACTCTAGATGTAGAATTCTCAGAGACTGCATTAAGTACGGCCGTGAAGGTGGAGCACGCTGAGAAGTCTATTAATGCCAAGCTGCAAGAATGTCAAGAGCACGCTAAAAAATTCACTAGCGCACTTGACATCACTGTAACAGATAATCCACTTAACAACGCAATTAACGACCTAAATGCTAAATTAAAAGATAAGCTTGAGAGCGTGCGTAAGACAGTGGAGTATGAGAGTGGTAGGTTGGGGAGGGTGAAGGTGCAAGAGGAGAAGGTGTTGGAGGAAAGGAAAGCGGAGATTAAGAGGGTGTTGGAAGCGATGAAATGCAGTGTGGATAAAAGTGTTGGTGAAGACATAACAAGAATTCTGGCTGAGTTGAAGCGGAGGGTCGAAGAGATTTTGGAGGCGCTTAAGCAAGTGAGTAAAGACCTCGGCAGTATGTCATAGAGTTGCAAACATGGATGGAGAGCGCCAAAAGACATTAACGATATAAAGAATACGGATTTAAAGAGGATTTATAACGAAATGAACGACAGTGTTACTGGCAAGAAACGTGATATTGAGGACGATGCGGCCAAATTGGTGAAGTGGAAAGAACAACTTGACACATACATCAATGTTACCGTAAAACCGCAGATTGCTCAGTTGGTTGAGACAGCAACGCAGGCCGTTAAACAGATAGATGCTGAGATTAAAAAGGATTTGGGGAGGATGGAGAAAAGTATTACTGAGGGGTTGAAGCCTATTGTGGAGAAGTCGGGGACGTTTTGCAAGAATTTCAGAAGACTAGAAGTACGCTGCAGTGGACGGTTCAAGGAGTATATGAAGATATATTGAACCTTTGGAATATCACGGTTCATGACCGTATTAAAGATGTCTACGGCTCCACAAGCATCTCGGCTCGACTGCTCCAGTTTATTGGCAAAGGCAAAGCGTTCGAAAAAGTGACTACATATTTCCAGCTGCTTGACTCTCATATTATGCAACACGTTAAGGGAGCTATGACGAAATTAGGCAACGCATTGGGGAATGGTGGGAGTGTTTTCACGGTTAGCTTGGGAAGTGAACTCACAGCGCTACATACAGACCTAGAAGCGCTGCAGAATGTTGTTAACGGAGAAGTTGAAGAGCTCAAATTCGATGTGATTACAGGAAAGCTAAAGACAAATTTAGGCATTGAACTTAAGAATATCGGTATGCTTAATCTCGGCGCTAGCGTCTCAAAATTCAAGATTTAATCCCTAAGTTAGGGTCACCTCAAACATTAACTCATGGCGATCTCCAATCACTTCTTACCGATCTTGCAAATATTGCAGAAGCCGTGTCGAATCACTCTGCAAAGGTAGTTAAAGCTGTCATAGATAAGATTATAGATCAAGTGAGGCAGGAAATTCAAGCTGTGGTTGGGGCCATTGGGGATAAAACTTTAGATTTTAGTCAGCTTGTTACTGACACCAATGAGAAGGTTACGCTGAAGCAATTAAATGGTGTTCAAAGTGTCACTGGTCCTCTCCAGTCTTCCGTGGTTAGTAAAAAAATTTAAGGACGAAATTCACACTAAACTCACAGCCCTCCAATCCACCACTCTCCCCGGAGTGTTCAAGAAGAATCCGCCAACTGGAAAAGACATCGACGTCGAAGGGACCTTGACGGACTACGCCAGCCACAAAACCAGCACGCTCACGCCGGCCGTCGAGGCAATTAAAGGTGAAGCGGCAAGCATTTTCGTCGGCCACATAACACAGGGCCTCACTGCCGTATCGGACAATGTCACGAAGCATCTCAAGGCTCTCTGTGACGGGATAACAGAGGCCGCCAAGGGTGTCGAAAAGAAACTGACAGAGGTGATAGATGACAAAATCGGCAACGCTCCAAATATCAAGAGAATAAAAGAGAATACTCTCCAAAAAATCCACCATAACCTTGACAAACTCCAAAAACGTCTGGAGTGTGATCCCATTAAAAACGCCGATGAGTTTATAAAATACGTCGAAAAGGCCGAAACTCATTACATCAATGAACTCAAACGTCACACCAAAAAAGCGGCGGAGGATGCGTGCAACCAACTCACCACCCACGCGCGCAGGCAGTACGTCGAGGCCCTCAAGTTCGCGCTCCAGCAGTTCGCGGAGAAGGTGACGGAGGAGCTCAGAGAGTTGCCTAAAGAAATTAGTGATGACTTGGATCAAGGCCACAAGAAGTTTATGACGACGTTCCATGACACTTTCCTTACCAAAGTTAATGGTATCAAGGAAATTAAGTCTCACATTTCGCTCATCGATCCTCCGCAATATTCGCCGCTGAGCCAGGCAACAAAGATTTTGAATGCCGGTTTCGAAAATTTCTTCCAAAATTTGCAACTGCAAGAGGATTTCGCTGATGACTTCAAGAAAGTTGCGGACTCCAAGGAGTCCTTGGCCAAATTACTTGATGGTCTCACAACCTCCGAGCATTTCGACAACAAATTCAGTGACAACCTGGAGGAACTTGAAAAGAAAATCGCCGATTTCCAGCCTTCGAAATTCGGCGATGCAAAAAGTCCGTTGCTTCTCGAAGCTCTGAGACATGGCTTTACGCCCCTCGTTACAGAGCTGAAGAATGCTTACATAAATAGTTACTCGGGGAGAAAATGGCATGAGAGTGAACTGGGACACTACGCGAAAATAAGTTTGAGCATAGTTCCCCTTTTATTTAGCACGTTAGAGGAGCTGAAAGGAAAACTTGAAAATGATGGTTGGAAAAATCACAAAATCTACAACTCCACGAATCGCAAGTCCAGCTTATATGCCCTTTTCCTCCGTGACAACGGCTACGACGTCGGCCGTCGTCGCAACACCGAACATGGCGAACTAAATCACACAGAAACCTTTACAGGCAGCAACATTCTTAGTCATCTCACCACCGGTAATAATAAATTATTTAATCCTAAGCCTACTTCCCCTTCAGCTTCCAGTCCTGTAGATCCAGATGAGCCGACCATCGAGGTTGTCGACGAAAATGCTCTGATCCATCAACTTAATTCTTATCTCCAACTTTACTTCGAAGTTTGCCACCACACTCATTTAGACTCACCTAAACTGCCGTGTAATATATATCAGATGCTGACATGGTGTTGCGGCCTCCAGTTCAATCCCGTATTTGACAAACTTAAGGAGCACATGCCCTCCGAGTTCCTCGTCGAGGATAAGGCAGACCCATATGGCAAATCAGTTAAGCCCTTTGAAGCGCATCCATCCAACTTCGAACACACAGATATTGACGATGGGATTCATAAAGTCGCTTCCGATTCCCACGCTGTCCTCACTGCCATCTTCGGATACGGTCACTCAGGCGGCGTGTACGCGTATGCATTTAGCACTAATTCACAAAAATTACACTATCCTACTAATATGGTACAATTACTATGTACGCTGTTCGAAATCCTCCAACGCCTATATCACCAGCTGTATTTCTTATACACACAGTGCTCGTACGGAACACATCTTGGCGGTTGGGAAGACTGCTGGTACGGTCGTGGAGTAGGCGGGTCAGCATGGGTGTGCAACGATAACCAATGCCCTAACCAAACGTGTGACCAAAAGCACAACCAACATTACCAATGCGGTCTCAAATCCCCTCTACAGTCCTTCCTAGAGGACGGCCTACAAGGCTTCCTACCGCACAGCCTATCATCAACCAACGGCAAACTCAACTGTGCAACCAAAAGCCATACCAACGTGCCATGTAAAACGCCGATGGGCTTCTCTGAAATCACTACTGTAGCATCGCATATAAAAACAGGCCAGCACATAAGAGATGTTCTTGCCGATTTTTGCGGCAAAGTGGAATCACCTCTAACCAAGCTGTGTGCTCAACTTTCATGCCTCCTCCCTAGTGCTCCCAAAACATTAGGTGACATGTTTGCTTTCTACTTCAATTTGATCAAGGGCTGCAAGAGCAGCAGCGCTCTTTCGCAAGATGGGTTCAATCAGGCCGTCATCAAGGCCAACTTTAAAGATCGCACTACAGAATTGGACATCATCCCCATGCTTGGATCGGAAAAGCACAGCTCTGGCAAGCACACAGACGGTGTCCTCCACTCTATAGTTGGTTGTAATCAGATGTCCAATGCAGCCAACACCTGCGGTCCGTACATGAAACCGCTATGCTCTGACATATGTAACATGTTTGCGAAGAAGCACGCTGATAGGTATCTTACGACAGTTGTATATCTCACAGAATCATTCTACGATTTGCTTAAGCAGTTGTATGAAACATGCAACAGCAACTGTGGTACGACGCAGACAAGATGCTATGCAAAGAGCTGTGCAAATGGCTGCGCAAAGAGGCAGTCAAATGTGAAACCAAACGACAAAATTCACGATGCTTCATGCAAGTCGATTGTCAGTTGCAGGTCAACGCTTCCCACCTTATACAGCTATGGATTTGTATTCGACGATGCCAAAGCGCTGAACACTATGGGCACAAAAAGAACGTGCGCAGATTTCTGCAGAGCGTTAGAAAATATCGTAAAAGAAGGCAAATCCCTGTATATGATTGTTTACAAGCACATTCCAGAATTCTTATTCAAGATCCGCGAACCCTTCATCTGGACATTGCTAGCCCTCTGGTCGCTGTCGCTCCTGTACCTGCTGCACATGGCCGTCGTCCGCCTCGACGTGCTGAGGATACGCTCCCACCTGCGATCACCCTCAAGCCACCGCATCGCCGCACAGTCCCTCCTCGCCGCCGCACGCGTCAAGGCACTCGCCAACGTCAAGTACTTCTCACCATAATCGTGCCTTCACGTGTGATCTGTGTGTCACCCACTCACACACCCACTCACCCACTCACCCACCCACCCACTCAACCACCCACTCAACCACTCACATACTCACTCACTCACCTACTTCAATCACTTCAACCACTTACCATTTAACTACCTAACCCACTCTAACTAATACCATTTCACTCTACCCACTCACTTTACTCTACTACTTACTTTACTTCAATTACTTAATTCATTTTAACCACTTTAATTTCACTTTCCTTTTACTATCGCTTTTTCCTTTTCCTTTCCATCACCTCCTCTGTCGGCGTTCTTCACCTAAATCCTCATTTTTCCTTTTTACCTCTGAATGCTTTCCTCCACCCATCATCCTCCTTCATCGCCCTCTTTGCCCCTTCACCTCCCTCACCCTGTCCACCCACGTCCCTCACTGCCTCGTGCCTCCTTGACCTAAAATCGCCCTTCTCCAAACTCCCCCAAATCTTCCTGAAAATGTGCCTAAAATAATCCACATAATTTACTCACTAACCTGTGCTCTGGCTTGGAGAAGTTCCTTGGTTACCAAGAAACCAAAGGCTACGATGGCACTGGCATCGTGTACTCGGACCTTGACAGGCTCTGCGACGGGGTGATGTCTTTCCTTCATGGAGTTTTACATAGCATCCAGCCTAAATTGGGACAGCATAAAGGCACTTTAACTAGCGCACTTACGTCACTTAAAAACACAAATGATAATGGTATTAGTAAATACAAGGCTGCGATAGCCGCGGTGGAGGAATGGGTCAGGAGGTACAATAATGAAGTCGCCGAGTCCAACAGAAAAGTAAGTGAACAAATTAATTTGTTGCAGGTTGCCGTCAAACGGTACGAGCAGAAGACTCTAGATGTAGAATTCTCAGAGACTGCATTAAGTACGGCCGTGAAGGTGGAGCACGCTGAGAAGTCTATTAATGCCAAGCTGCAAGAATGTCAAGAGCACGCTAAAAAATTCACTAGCGCACTTGACATCACTGTAACAGATAATCCACTTAACAACGCAATTAACGACCTAAATGCTAAATTAAAAGATAAGCTTGAGAGCGTGCGTAGGACTGTAGCGTATGAGGGTGGTAGGTTGGGGGTGGTGAAGGTGCAAGAGGAGAAGGTGTTGGAGGAAAGGAAAGCGGAGATTAAGAGGGTGTTGGAAGCGATGAAATGCAGTGTGGATAAAAGTGTTGGTGAAGACATAACAAGAATTCTGGCTGAGTTGAAGCGGAGGGTCGAAGAGATTTTGGAGGCGCTTAAGCAAGTGAGTAAAGACCTCGGGCAGTATGTCATAGAGTTGCAAACATGGATGGAGAGCGCTAAAAAAGACATTAACGATATAAAGAATACGGATTTAAAGAGGATTTATAACGAAATGAACGACAGTGTTACTGGCAAGAAACGTGATATTGAGGACGATGCGGCCAAATTGGTGAAGTGGAAAGAACAACTTGACACATACATCAATGTTACCGTAAAACCGCAGATTGCTCAGTTGGTTGAGACAGCAACGCAGGCCGTTAAACAGATAGATGCTGAGATTAAAAAGGATTTGGGGAGGATGGAGAAAAGTATTACTGAGGGGTTGAAGCCTATTGTGGAGAAGTCGGGGACGTTTTTGCAAGAATTTCAGAAGACTAGAAGTACGCTGCAGTGGACGGTTCAAGGAGTATATGAAGATATATTGAACCTTTGGAATATCACGGTTCATGACCGTATTAAAGATGTCTACGGCTCCACAAGCATCTCGGCTCGACTGCTCCAGTTTATTGGCAAAGGCAAAGCGTTCGAAAAAGTGACTACATATTTCCAGCTGCTTGACTCTCATATTATGCAACACGTTAAGGGAGCTATGACGAAATTAGGCAACGCATTGGGGAATGGTGGGAGTGTTTTCACGGTTAGCTTGGGAAGTGAACTCACAGCGCTACATACAGACCTAGAAGCGCTGCAGAATGTTGTTAACGGAGAAGTTGAAGAGCTCAAATTCGATGTGATTACAGGAAAGCTAAAGACAAATTTAGGCATTGAACTTAAGAATATCGGTATGCTTAATCTCGGCGCTAGCGTCTCAAAAATTCAAGATTTAATCCCTAAGTTAGGGTCACCTCAAACATTAACTCATGGCGATCTCCAATCACTTCTTACCGATCTTGCAAATATTGCAGAAGCCGTGTCGAATCACTCTGCAAAGGTAGTTAAAGCTGTCATAGATAAGATTATAGATCAAGTGAGGCAGGAAATTCAAGCTGTGGTTGGGGCCATTGGGGATAAAACTTTAGATTTTAGTCAGCTTGTTACTGACACCAATGAGAAGGTTACGCTGAAGCAATTAAATGGTGTTCAAAGTGTCACTGGTCCTCTCTCCAGTCTTCCGTGGTTAGTAAAAAAATTTAAGGACGAAATTCACACTAAACTCACAGCCCTCCAATCCACCACTCTCCCCGGAGTGTTCAAGAAGAATCCGCCAACTGGAAAAGACATCGACGTCGAAGGGACCTTGACGGACTACGCCAGCCACAAAACCAGCACGCTCACGCCGGCCGTCGAGGCAATTAAAGGTGAAGCGGCAAGCATTTTCGTCGGCCACATAACACAGGGCCTCACTGCCGTATCGGACAATGTCACGAAGCATCTCAAGGCTCTCTGTGACGGGATAACAGAGGCCGCCAAGGGTGTCGAAAAGAAACTGACAGAGGTGATAGATGACAAAATCGGCAACGCTCCAAATATCAAGAGAATAAAAGAGAATACTCTCCAAAAAATCCACCATAACCTTGACAAACTCCAAAAACGTCTGGAGTGTGATCCCATTAAAAACGCCGATGAGTTTATAAAATACGTCGAAAAGGCCGAAACTCATTACATCAATGAACTCAAACGTCACACCAAAAAAGCGGCGGAGGATGCGTGCAACCAACTCACCACCCACGCGCGCAGGCAGTACGTCGAGGCCCTCAAGTTCGCGCTCCAGCAGTTCGCGGAGAAGGTGACGGAGGAGCTCAGAGAGTTGCCTAAAGAAATTAGTGATGACTTGGATCAAGGCCACAAGAAGTTTATGACGACGTTCCATGACACTTTCCTTACCAAAGTTAATGGTATCAAGGAAATTAAGTCTCACATTTCGCTCATCGATCCTCCGCAATATTCGCCGCTGAGCCAGGCAACAAAGATTTTGAATGCCGGTTTCGAAAATTTCTTCCAAAATTTGCAACTGCAAGAGGATTTCGCTGATGACTTCAAGAAAGTTGCGGACTCCAAGGAGTCCTTGGCCAAATTACTTGATGGTCTCACAACCTCCGAGCATTTCGATAAGAGGTTCACTAGAAACCTGGAGGAACTTGACAACGTCCTCGGTAAATTCAAACCTTCGGAATTCGGCGAAGCCAAGAGCCCGTTGCTTCTCGAATCCCTGAGACATGGTTTTACGCCCCTCGTTACAGAGCTGAAGAAAGCATACGTAAATTGTTACTCTGGGAGGCAATGGTATGAGAGTGAACAAGGACGCTATGCAAAAGTATTTTGCAGCATCACTCCAATCTTACACAACACCTTAGAGGAGCTGAAAGAGAAACTTGAAAGCGAATGGAAAGAGTATAAAATATATAATCCAGATGCCTCCCACCACAGCCTACATAAGCTTTTCTTCCGTGAAAACGGGTACGACTTTGGTCTCCCTGACGATGTCCCCAACGGAGAGTTGAATCACAGGGCAGACTGTACTCCCGGCCGTATTCTCAGTCATCTCACCGGCAAAACATATAAGCTGTTTGCTGCCACTCGGCCCTTCGACGTATCGTCGGTGAATGGTGATGATGCGGACAATCTAAAAATAGACGTTATCGAAGGCGAGAGCCTATTAGAAAAGCTTTACTCATTGCTGCACGATTACTTTAATGTTTGCCACACCACTCACATTGCCAAACCGAGAACTCCGTGTAATGTTTATGAGATGCTGCTTTGGTGTTCAGGTTTACAGTTCAATTCCGTGTATCATCCACTTTTAGATCACGTTCGCACCCTATTCCCGGTGGATGATGAATCGCAGCCGCCTCAAAAAATACATCAGCCCATTGTAGCATATCCACATAACTTCACACGTGAGGACGCATGTAGCGCAATTGAGCACGTATCCGAGAATGCTTACTTACTCCTAACCGGCATACTCGGCACCGGCGACGCAGAGTGCAACTATGCATCTGACTTCTCTACCAACTTCCTTAAATTAAAGTATCCCTCCAGAGGTGAGGACTGTTTGCATACATTACTAGATATACTTCGTAGATTGTTCCCAGTGCTTAACTTCATGCATACCCAGTGCACCATTCCCTCCAAGCACTGCGGTTGGCGTGACTGCCTCTACGGCAATGGCGTCGGCCCATCCAGTTGTCAATGTAAGGAGCACTCAAACACTCAACCAACGGACCAACCAAATAGCAAACCTACGTGCCAGGCAAACACCAAACCAAATTGCCAACCAACTTCACCTTTAATGTCCTATCTGAACGATTGCCTGCCAGGGCATCTGCCACATAGATTAGAATCAGTTGGATGTAAGTCCGAATGTAAGACATGTCCTTCCAGTACACCCGGAATGCCGTGCCTTACGCCTCTGGGTTTCCGGGGGTTTCTCTGGCAGCACGAAGACGGGCAAGGACATATGTAGGATACTCGGCCAATTCTTCTCCGACATCTATTTGCCGACACTATTCACCCTTGTTCCTAAACCTCCAAAGACGTTGCCCGAACATTTCGGTTTCGCGTTGTCACTTGCAAACGTGATTAATGATAATAGGATCACTAATGTTGGTGGCACAACAACTTTCAAGAACACGTTTATCGCATCCATTGATGAGCAGTCAATTGAGTTATGTGACGAACCAACTGGTCTTACGGATGCTCTCACCGCTGCTTATAGCTCTCCGCCCCTCATTCCAGCTGCGATGACTCTCACCTTATGCATTTGACAACCACAGCCGCCTGCAAAGGCATGAGTGGCAAAATGGAATGCTCTCCATATCTATCCACGTTGTGCGACGGTGCGTATCTGTATCTCGCGGAGAAGCATTCCAAGTTGTACTTGTCATTCTCCATCTACCTACCTTGGCAATTTTGGAGCTGCCTCAATAACCTATACGAGGCGTTCCTTAATATCTACTGCCAGTACTGGGGATGTAGTAAATGTCTCCGCGGTGAACAATGCAAAAAGGGATCACATGGATCAATGAATGACGACACCAAGAAACCAAGTTGCTCATGTTCTTCATTGGTACAGTGCAGAGGGGTGTCACCCACGTTGTATAAGTACGGCTTCAGGTTTGGTGCAGCATCTTTACTAAATAATAGAGATTCACCAAAAACATGCTCTGACTTCTGCAAACAACTCAAACATGTCCTCCACTCACAGTATTTCAAGGACTTATTCACAAAATGTGACGAATTCCTATGGATCATTCGTACACCCTTCTCCTACCTGTTGTTAGCCCTCTGGTCGCTGTCGCTCCTGTACCTGCTGCACATCGCCGTCGTCCGCCTCGACGTCCTGAGGATACGCTCCCACCTGAGATCACCCTCAAGCCACAGGATCGCCGCGCAGTCACTACTCGCCGCCGCACGCGTCAGGGCACTCGCCAACGTCAAGTACTTCTCACCATAATCGTGCCTTCACGTGTGATCTGTGTATCACCCACCCACCCACTCACCCACCCACTCAACCACCCACCCAACCACTCACTCAACCACCCACTCACCCACCCACTCACCCATTCACTCAACCACTCAACCACTCAACCACCCACTCACCCACTCACCCACTCAACCACCCACTCAACCACTCACCCACTCACCCACTCAACCACCTACTCACCCACTCAACCACCTACTCACTCACATACTCAACTACTCACTCGCTGCCTCCTTGACCTAAAATCGCCTTTCCCCAATTTTCCTCAAATCGCCCTAAAATGTGCCTAAAATAATCTTTCAACAACCTTATTAAATAACCTGTGTTCCGGCCTCGAAAAATTTCTCGGCTACCAGGATGGTAATTACACCGGAGAAGGAATTGTGTACTCGGACCTTGACAGGCTCTGCGACGGGGTGATGGCGTTTTTGCATGGTGTTCTTGAGAGTGTGAAGGATGATGAGAGTGTGAAGAAATATGATGGTTACATTGATAATAAAGATCATAGACTTCAAAAATTACTTGACTCTCTCCAATCTTCAATTGGCCAGGGACGCAGTGCGTTTGGTGCGCGGGTTGATGAGGTAAGTGGATGGTTGAATAAATATTTCTTTCAGGTGGACCAGAAGAATAGAAACGTCACGGATGGATTATCGTCGCTGAGTGGTAAGTTACATGTTAATTCTAATGGTGTTTCAGGTGAATATGTTCAAGAGATCACGAGGCAGCAAGATCAGAGCCTTGAAGCGCAGCTGTTCCAATGGACAACTACGCTCGGGTACATAGCAAAAGACATTCACAACATAACACATGATAATATTAGTGAATTAGACACTGCACTTAGCACACGTATAATGCATGAGATTAAGCCGATTGAGAAATCGGTTGAGGTGCTGCTGCGGGCGGCGGGTAATCCGGATCTCGCCCAGCAGGCTGGGCATGTTGACAGCGAATTAGTGGCGCACAAAACACATATCGTGAATTCTATACATACACAGAGTGATATATTGCAGAAAACATTACTAGATGAGGTCAATAAAATTGGTGCTAAATTGAATGAGCTGAATGATAAGAGGCAAACGCAGTTTGGGTATGTTAGATCAGGCGTAGCCATAGTAAAGGGTACGGTGGAGGATGCGTTTGGAAATTCCGATGACAGTTTCAAAAACCAATTTATTCAGAAATTCAGAGATATAAAATCGGCATTAGATGATGTTAATAAGCATAATTTTAAAAACGGTGATAACGGTATCACAAGGCTTCGAAATGAAGTCAATTTGATAAAGCCGCAACTGGAAAATGTGCGTCGAGAGTTGGAAGTAACAGTTGCGGAGTTGGGAACGTGGATGAATAGTACATCAAAAAATATTAATGATGCAAAGGTGAAGTATGTTGATAAAATCATAAGTAAGGAGGTTGGGAAATACAATAGATATGCCATGATGGAAACTGCGGCAGCGTTGGAAGAATGGAAGGATACGCTGCGGAATCATATTAATCATGTGAAAGATGAATTAAAAGATAGGGTCAGACAGGCGGAGACGGCGGCTAAAGGTTTAGATACTCAGCTTCTAGCGGACTTGGGAAAATTGAGGGGAGGGATAAAGAGTGCGGTCACGGAGTATGCTAAAGGCTACGTGAAGAAAGTGAAGGAGCAAGTTGAAGTAATTAAGGGAAAGTCTAAGGGTCAAGGCCTGCAGGGATTCGTTGAACACGTGAAGGAGAAGTATGCGGAGGAGTTCTTGCAGGGCAAGAAAGGTTTTGGAAATTTAGTGCAGCAATGGATTAATGAGATTTTGCAGAAGGATGAGTTTGTTCAGTACTGTTTAGACGGATATTTTACGGGAAGCAATAATCGTGCTAGGTTTCAGCCACCATATAAGGATTGGACTATCAAAACAGATTATAAGGGTAAGACTGATGGAATTGCAAAGGCCATCAAGGATGCGCTTGCCAAAGATGTTAACATAACAATTAAAGATGCCCAAACTGTACCTGACTCCTCAACCAACAAAATTCAAGATCATGTTAACGTTGCCTATACCTGTGTCAGTGACTTTGCCACTACCTTGGAGAGCAAACTTAACAAGGGAAAAATAAGGTCCACTAACGACGACCCTATTATCAATGATATAGTATCGGCTGTTGAGGGAGCTTTAGAAATGACGCAAGAGTCAGCGGCGGGGAAAACTTCTAAAAGCTATCTCCAGGCCGCCGTCAAACCCATCTTATCAGCTCTACTCTCAACCGCAAAGCATGTTGCTGAGCAGCTGAAATCTTTAACTGGAACGAACGCTGAGGAGATCAAGAAGGTGGACGAAGCATTTGCAAAAGCCGGGGAACTTGCCGGGGAACTCGGGGCGGCCCTCAGCTCCACCGCTGGCACCTATACCGTAGACCACAATGTTTCTATTAAGGAAAACATCCATGAAAAGTTCTCGCAAAAAGTTGAGGAGCAATTTAAAAAGACGCACTCGGGTGTTGGTGGTGATGCTTCAGGCATAACCGTCGAGACGACATTGGAGGCGTACACTGGCTACAAAAAAGGTAACGTTGACACCTCCATCCAAGCTATCAAAACGTATGCCGACAGCGGGTTTGACGTAAATCCAACGACAGAAAAGCTCGGCGCATGGTCCACCAATATAACCAAAAGCCTAAACAGCCTTACGGATGCGTGTGCCCAGACCGGGCAATACATAAATACATATTTGTACGGGTTGAAAACAGAGTACATTGACGTTAAACTCGCCAACATTCGCAGGCAGATTAACACTCTGCAACAGGAGCAGCTGGCGGCTGAAACCGGCAAAATTATGAAAGCTATAAACTCCGTCATTGAGTTGATAAAAAAGCTGGAGGAAACGCCAGGCAGGGTTGACGAGGAACGTGAAGCAGCGGTCAAAATCATGGAGCAGTTGAGAAAACAAGTAATCGATAAAATAAACGACTTAGAATTGGCCGTTAAACAGGCCAAGCGAGAGTTGTACCATGCCATTAATAACAGTAAAAACGCCCTGGCTGACGCGTATCATACAATCAATGATGATGTCACAACTCTAAAAAATGAACTGTTGCGTATCACCGAAAATGGATTTGCATCCATAATTCGAGAAGTGAGAAGGCTGTTTGCGGAAAGGCATAAAGCAGACTTAGAATCCTTAAAATCGCTGATCAAAGAACAGTTGGAGGAAATTAAAGAAATTATCAACGCCGATTTGAACAACGGCACAAAAGGCCTTGTCAAGGCTATGAACTGTAACAAACACAAAATCGATGAAATTAGAACGCTTGTAATTCCTTCAAGATCAGATAGTGCTACAAAGTTCAGAAACATATCAACATATCTACACCACTACCTCACCCCCCTCCTCTCCTACACCACCGAACAGGTCAAGGCGCCGAGCAAGGGGAAGGGAGGCCAAGCCCCGGCCCAGACTCAACATCCCTCCGACGTACCTCCAGGACGCGCTGGCTGGAGTCCTCCAGAACAGTCTCCGGCTCAGCTCAAAAGTCAACAGTCATCAACTCCACCTGACCGCAATGATACAATTGAGAAGTATTTCGCCGGCCTTCAGTACTATGTTGATGGCATTTTTTCTAAGCTTTCTGAGAATCGCTTCAGTAAATCATTCGCAACGAAACGCGCGGATTTCGAAAAGTTCCTTGCTTCAATGCTTCCCCCAAATTTCTCCGGAATCGGAAGCCCTCTGCTAGATAGCTTCAAGTCAGGCCTTCAAAAGTTCTTGATACAACTCAGCCACGCATATATTAGTGCATATGATGGCGCGGCTTATAGCTTTAAATGGGAGCCAGGGGAAAGTGAGAAATGTGCAAATGTGTGTTTGTCCATACTGGAGACGATGAGCAATGACTTGGAAACTTTGAAAGAAAGATGCAAATATGAATGGCATTCAAAACAAATCCACCGCATTAGCGGACTTGGCGCTTTTTTGAAAGATTGTGGTTATATTGTGTCTAATAGGGATAAGCAGGACGGTGAGCTGAGGCGTCATGAAAATATGACGGGCAATCATATACTTCAGAAACTTACTACTACACTTAAGAACACTGGCCAAATTAATGAGCACCTGAAGGAGTGTGAGTCAAACAAAAAGAATGGCACCGATACGCAGCCACAAAATGATGATGTCAAAGTCTTTGCCATCCTTTCGTGCCTCATCACTCACTTCAGTGAATACAATAAAGTCGGCCACATTGCCACTTTCTCTGCTAAAAGAACACCATGCTCCGTCTATGAGATGCTCTGCTGGACAACTGGTCTCATGTACAACAATGCTTACGAGAAGCTTAAGCAGCATTGTCAAAAGCTTTGTGATGATGAGAAAGACAGCCATTTAAAAACTATACTCTCCAAGCTTCACAAGGACGGTTTGCCGTACCTATTTAGTAATTCACGTAACATCCTCACAACTATCCTCGGCACAGGGGATGAACACACTACGTACGCCTCCGATTTTTCTACCAATTCCCTTTCGCTCAAATACCCTGGCAGTGGAGCGGAGTGTCTTGACATGCTTCTCGATATTCTCCGTCGTTTGTTCCTGCCACTTAGATTCCTGGACGCTCAGTGTAGTCTATCAAACAAGCATTATGGCTGGGCCAATTGCCAATATGGCAAGGACATCGCTCCAGTCAACTGGCCATGCAAGGACCATTCAACCAACAAACCAAATGGACAGTCAGCGTCTAAACCAACTTGCCAGGCAAATGACCAACCAAATGGTCAACCAAACTGCCGACCAACTTCACCTTTAATGTCCTACTTAAATGACTGCTTACCAGGGCACTTGCCTCATCAGTTAATCGATGCCGGTTGTAAGTCATCGTGTTACACCTGTAAGACAGCTGCACGTGGCGTGCCTTGTCTCACGCCACTTGGCTTCAGAGGTTTCTCTGGAAGTACGCGCCTGGGCAAAGAGCTATGTATCGTGCTGACCAAATTGCTCGATGACGCTGACCTCAGATCCCTATTCTGCCTTAAACCGAAAACGCCGGCTTCGCTCCCAGAGCACTTCGGTTTTGTGTTATCGCTTGTTAAGGATTGGCGACTAGGTATTTTACCAGGCAAGAATGGTTCGCAGTCAAGTTTCGAAACATCAATAGAGCGCACGTCTATTCACCTTTATGAACACCCCAATAAACTTACCGATGCGCTTCGTAATGCCTACGGTAGCAGCTTAAGCAGCCACGAACCGAAGAAGCATCTTCCCGCTCACGACGATTTATCAAGCCTTTCTATGACAGAGTCATGCACTGATCCTACTATAAAAACACTATGCGCCCCCTACCTTTCATCGTTATCCTGCGACTCCAATTATTACCTGGCACAGAAACATTCTAACACATACCTCTCATGGGCCATTTACCTCCCATGGACGTTCTGGGATTTACTCAACAATCTCTATAACGCTTTCTGTGAAATCACTTGTGCAGACTGGGGATGCCGTGGATGTCTCAGAGGAGACAAGTGTAAAGCAGGGAAACAAGGCGTCGTTGAAGATGATAAGAAAGATGTTACCTGTCAATGTGATTCTATAGTAACCTGCAAAGGCGTGGCACCGACGCTCTACCAGTATGGATTCAGCTTCGGCGAGGCGTCGACGTTGAATGGTAACACGCCGAAGAAGTGTAAGGATTTCTGTACTCAATTATATAAGGTGTTACATTCTGATTACTTTGATAAGCTGTTTGAAGCGTGTGACAATTTCCTATGCATTATCAGATGGCCATTTATGCTAACGTTGTTAGCCCTCTGGTCGCTGTCGCTCCTGTACCTGCTGCACATCGCCGTCGTCCGCCTCGACGTCCTGAGGATTCGCTCCCACCTGCGCTCGCCCTCAAGCCACCGCATCGCCGCGCAGTCCCTCCTCGCCGCCGCACGCGTCAGGGCACTCGCCAGCGTCAAGTACTTCTCACCATAATCGTGCCTTCACGTGTGATCTGTGTATCACCAACTCACTCAACCACCCACTCAGCCACTCACTCACCCACTCACCCACTCAACCACACACTCACCCACTCAACCACTCAACCACCTCCTCTTTCACTCACCCACCCACTCACCCACCCACTCACCCACTCAACCACCTCCTCTTTCACTCATCCACCCACTCAACCACCCACTCACTCAACCACCCACTCACTCAACCACTCAACCACTCAACCACTCAACCACTCAACCACTCAATCACTCAACCACTCACCCACCCAACCAACCACTCAACCACTCACCAACTCACTCACTTCCCTCACCCTCTCCACCCACCTCCCTCACCCCCTCACTGCCTCCTTGACCTAAAATCGCCTTTCCCCAAATTCCCTCAAATCACCCTCAAAATGTGCCTAAAATAATCCACTTAATTCACTTACTAACCTGTGCTCTGGCTTGGAGAAGTTCCTTGGTTACCAAGAAACTTCCAAAGGCTACGATGGCACGGGCATCGTGTACTCGGACCTTGACAGGCTGTGCGACGGGGTGATGTCTTTCCTTCATGGTGTTTTAGATAACATTAAGCCTAAATTAGGCCAGCATAAAGAGACATTAAATACTGCAATTGACTCACTTAACAACAAAAATGATAATGGTATTACTAAATACAGGGCGGCGGTAGCCGCGGTGGCCAAGGGGGTACATACATATAATGAGAGTGTTAGTAAGTCGAATGATGCTGTGAAAAGTGTTATCACTTCACTTCAAGAATACACGAAACAAGAAAAAGGTGCGCTAATTATTGGTCTTAATAATATTCAGGTCTCCGAGAATTCTCGTCCTCAAGATGTTGAGAGGGCCGTCGGCCTTATAAACTCCAAGCTGGAAGAGTGCAAGAAAAATGCTGAGACATTCACTAGCGCACTTGACATCACTATAGATAAAAATCCACTTAACAACGCAATTTCCGACTTAAATGATAAATTACGTGATAAGCTTGAGAACGTGCGTAAGACGGTGGAGTATGAGAGTGAGCGGTTGGAGGGGGTGAAGGAACAAGAGGAGAAGGTGTTGAAAGCAACGACAGATAAAATTAGTGAAGTACTAGACGCACTCAGATGTAATGTCGACAGTAAAATTGGCGAGCAGGTGAAATTGCTTGTTGGTGCGTTGAGGAAAAAATTCGAGCCAATATTGCCACTCTTGAAGCAAATTGATGAGAGCCTCAGGGAGTACGTTCGTAACCTGGCGGACTGGATGGCAACGACTAAAAAATATATTAACGAGGTGAAGGATACGGATGTAAAGAAAATATTGAATGAGGCCGGTGCCGATTTTACGAGTAGAAAGCATAACATTACAGATGCTGTGAAGCTACTGGACAAGAAGAGAGAGGAGCTTGACAACCATATTACTTATGTGAAAGGGGAGCTTGAAAGGATGGCTCGAGAAGTTGAGTCTGCCGTTACCGGTCTGAATGAGCAGCTTAAAGCGGATTTGGGGAGGATGGAGGAGAGTGTTACTGGGCCGCTTGGAGGGATTGTGGAGAAGTCGGGAGACTTTGATAGGGAATTTAAGAAGACGAAAGAGGCGATTTCGGGGGCAATTGAAAATGTGAGACAGGACATCGGGAGGCTTCAGAGCCTTACTGAGCTTGATGAGATAGACGCTGCGTATGGAGGCACTAAAGTCCAAGTTCCCCTTCTCAAGGTTATCAATAAGCGCAATGCATTTCGCACTCTTACAACGTACCTCTCCAAGCTGGAAACTGATATATCGTCAAAACTGCAGGAGGTGATGACGCAGATTGGGACGGGGATAGCGAAATCTGGTGATCTAACCGCCGTGGAAAACGCTTTAGGTGAAAACTTACTTCCGAACAAACTTCAGAATCTTCACAATTCCGTTTTCACCAATCCTCCGAATATCAACATCGTCCAGATTGAGGGCCTTAATATGACTGATGTATACAAACTTATTCTCAAAAGCAAACTTTCTTCATATACATCGGGCATTGGTTCAGTAAAAAGCAAGCTGCTTTCAAGGACCTCTCATACGCTGCAAGCATCCGATCTCCAACACCTCTTTACCGATATTGGCAACGTCGTCGAAGCGGTCGCTGTTCACTGCAATGCGGTAGTTACTAAGGTAATGGAAAAGGTAAGGGAACAAGTGCCGAAGGATATCGGAACGGTTGCGGAGGCTATAGAGGTACGATTTTCCGATTTTGGTCAGCTGGTTTCTCAGCCACGTGGCGGTGTTACACTGCAGCACTTCAAAGACCTCCAAGGTGGTAACGGTCCTTTCACCGGCCTCCCAGCCTTGGACAGTCAATTTGAAAAGACCATCAACCAACCCCTCGGCACACTCCAATCCACCACTCTCCCCGGAGTGTTCAAGAAGAATCCGCCAACTGGAAAAGACATCGACGTCGAAGGGACCTTGACGGACTACGCCAGCCACAAAAGCAAAACGCTCACGCCGGCCGTCGATGCAATCAAAGGTGAAGCGTCAACCATCACCGTTGGTCACATAACGTCAGTTCTCACCACCGTATCTAGCAGTATCACTGAGCATCTTAATCATCTCACTCACGAAATAACAGAGGCTACCAACGTACTGAACTTTAAATTGGGAAAACTGCAAGATGATATTATTGGCACGCCTAAGATAGGCAAGGCAGCTGATGCAGGCACGTTGCAATTAATTTACGAACACTTTGCCAAGCTGCAAGGTCCCGTCTCCAAAGCCCTCAAGGACGCCGAAGCATTCGTCACATACGTCGGACAAGCTGAAACCCACTACATCAGCGAACTCAAAAGCCATACCAAAAAGGCAGCGGAAGATGCGTGCAACAAACTCACCACCCACGCGCGCAGGCAGTACGTCGAGGCCCTCAAGTTCGCGCTCCAGCAGTTCGCGGAAAAGGTGACGGGGGAGCTGGAGCCTTTACCAGGCATGTTTACTGCCGATCTAGAACAGGGCCACAAAAAATTTATGAAGACGTTCCATGACAGTTTCCTTAACAAGCTCAAGGAAATTAGTGCCGTCGATCCCAAGCAGTTCACTGCCGACAAATCTCCACTCAGCAAGGCGTCCGAAATATTTAAGAACGCTTCAACAACGTTCTTCAACGCATTGAAGGAGCAAACAGACTTCACCGAAGACTTCCCGAAAATCGAGCCGTCCACCAAGGCACTTCACACTCTGCTGACTGACCTCGGCAACTCAAAATACTTTGATCCTAAATTTTTTGAAAACTTAGCCGCACTTAACGAACCACTTAGCGCGTTTAATCCCAGAGCATACGGCGAGGGGAATGTCCCTCCCATCCTTAACGCCCTGCGAGCAGGCTTCCAGCCACTGGCCGACGAGCTCAGGAAGCAGTACACGAACGTGTACGAGGGGGCGAAGTCCATTGAAAAGTGGGTGACTGAGGTCGCTGAAAAATCCAAAGTGCCTGCTGAAAAAACATCCCCAATAACGAAGTTGACAGACGACGGCGAGCGTGGCGCGAAGGTGTTGCTCACACTTTTGCGTCATATCTACGTCTCCGTTGTATATCTTAGTAAGCGATTGGAAGATCGCAAGAGTAATTGGTTTAGCCAAAAAATTAATAAGCGTACCCTTATAGGAACATTTTTCTTCAAACGCGGATTTGTTGTCTCCACCGCCGAAGGAAACCAGGACGGTCAGCTGCGCAACCATGATAAAATGAAGGGCGAAAATGTTCACTCTCTACTTACTAACGATTCCGGTATTACTCTCATCCACATTCTGTATGACTACCTAACTACATATAACAAGATATGCCACCACACTCATCATCCAGATGCCAAGCCGCCGCGCCACGTCCGTCATATGCTCCAATGGCTCTCTGGGCTTGAGTACAGTCCCGTATATGGTCCACTGAAGGAGCACATTAAAACATTGTTTCCCAAGTCAAAAGATTCAGATCCTCCTGCCGCCCTTCCACTTCCGCTTTCTGCGTATCCATCTGACATCACCCATGAAAACTTGACGTCTACCCTCGACAAAATCCCTGCTCATTCACACAAAGTGCTGACCAGAATATTAGGCTTTGGGTATGCCAACGGTGTATATGCCTGCGATTTTAATACCAACGCAGATAAACTATCGTATCCGAGTAGCCCTGCTTCATGTCTTGACATGCTTGTAGACGTATTGCGCAGACTATTCTACCAACTCTATTTCTTGTTTAAACAGTGTACCTATGCCACTCACCTCGGCGGCTGGGCCGACTGCTCGTACGGTCGGGGTGTGGGCGGAACCGCTTGGAGCTGTAATGATCTGAAATGCAACGATCATCTCTGTCCTCGCAACTGCAAAGGTCATTCCGATTGCGGCCTCAAATCACCACTCCAATCATACTTGGAAGATGGCCTTCCAGGGTTCCTCCCACACCAAATCAAATCGCCAGGCTGTAAGCCAACCTGCGCGCTGACCAACCACTCAGGCAAACCATGCCTCACGCCCATGGGTTTCACAGAGATCAGCGTGATAGCCTCCCACACAAGTAAGGCTGAACGTATCAAAAAGGTACTTGAAGCATTCTGTGGCAATGAAAATTCTCCGCTAAGTAAGCTGTGTGCTCAATTTTCATGCCTTTTCCCTAGTGCTCCTAAAACTCTGTGCGATATGTTCACGTTCTTCTATAGATTCCTCTATCACTGGGACATGGATGGTAGAGCGCATAGATTAGAAGCATTTAATGCTGCTGCTGCAAAAGCCAATTTCGAAAAGCAATACAATGGTTTTAATCCTGCTATACTATTCGGTAGCCCTAAGCATTCGCATAACCAAGAAAAGGCCGACCTGCGTAGCCTTGTATGCAGCAATGAAACGGCCATCACATGCGGTCCCTATTTGCAGTCCATTAATAATGACGTCACCGGCGTCTTCTCCAAGAAACACGCCGGCAATTACTTGTCGTGGATTGTTTACTTGACAGAGACATTTTATGACCTGCTCAAAAAATTGTATGATGATTGCTGTGGTACGTGTGGCGGAGATAGGCCAAAATGCCGAGTTGCTCGTGGTCAACATACTTGTAATGTTGCCAATCAGCAAAGCTCCGACACTACCAGTGACACATGTATCTCAATAGTTAGCTGCCAGCATACACGTCCAACAATATACACGTATGGCTTCGTGCATAATGACGTGGTACGTCTTGCCGGTCAAACAAAGAGAACATGTAAAGATTTCTGCAACGCACTGAACAAGGTTCTTAACAAGGAAGAGAAAATAGGAGCCACACTGGCGGCATTAATTTACAGGACGATTCCTGAGTTCTTATTCAAAATTCGTGAACCCTTCATCTGGACATTAGTAGCCCTCTGGTCCCTCTCCTTGCTCTACCTGCTGCACATCGCCGTCGTCCGCCTCGACGTCCTGAGGATACGCTCACACCTGAGATCGCCCTCAAGCCACCGCATCGCCGCCCAGTCCCTCCTCGCCGCCGCACGCGTCAAGGCACTCGCCAACGTCAAGTACTTCTCACCATAATCGTGCCTTCACGTGTGATCTGTGTATCACCCACTCACCCACCCACTCAACCACTCACCCACTCACTCAACCACTCACCTCCTCTTTCACTGGTCGCTTCGCTCCCTGCCTTCCTCCTCCATCACCTCCTCCGTCGGCGTCCTTCACCCAAATCCTCATTTTCGACCTTCTCCCTCCACCTCCGAAACCGCCTTACCTCAACCCATCTTCCTCCCTCATCGCCCTCTTTCGCCCCTTCACCTCCCTCACCCTGTCCACCCACCTCCCTCGCTGCCTCACTGCCTCTTTGACCTAATTTGACCTTTTCCGAAATTCCCCCAAATCGCCCTGAAAATGTGCCTAAAATAATTATTTTTTACTTTTCGCAACTTCTTCTCCTACTTATTATTGTCCCTCTGGTCCCTCTCACTGCTCTACCTGCTGCACATCGCCGTCGTCCGCCTCGACGTCCTGAGGATACGCTCCCACCTGAGATCACCAGCATCGCACCGCATCGCCGCGCAGTCCCTCCTCGCCGCCGCACGCGTCAAGGCACTCGCCAACGTCAAGTACTTCTCACCATAATCGTGCCTTCACGTGTGATCTGTGTATCACTCAACCACTCACCAACTCACTCACTCAACCACCCACTCAACCACCCACTCACTCAACCACTCAACCACCCACTCACCTAATCACCCACCCACATACTCACCTCCTCTTTCACTGGTCGCTTCGCTCCCTCCTCCTCCATCACCTCCTCCGTCGGCGTCCTTCACCCAAATCCTCATTTTCCACTTTCCCCCTCCACCTCCGAAACGCCTTACCTCAACCCATCTTCCCCCTTCATCGCCCTCTTTCGCCCCTTCACTTCCCTCACCTTGTCCACCCACCTCCCTCGCTGCCTCCTTGACCTAATTTGACCTTTCTCAAAAAATTCTAAAATTCTTCAAAAGTGTCCCATTTCACCTCCTCTAATATCCTCTTTAACCTTTTTTTTTCACTTTCTTTTCTCACCTTAATTGCCTCGGACATTACACTTTTAATGGCTCTGCTAAGTCCCACTGTCAGTCTCTTGATGACGAAATTGAGTCACTTAAAAACTCTGCTACATCATCTGCTAAATCACAAAATGACTCTAAAATTGCCGACCTTAAATCCCAATTGAAAGATCATGTTGCCAAGTATCATTCCCTTTCTGAGTCTGACAGGACTGCCCAACTCAAGGACATCCACTCCAGGATGGTGTCTCTTGCTGAGCTCAGTGGGAAGCTTGGGGAATTTATTGGCAATTCTGAAGTTATTACTAAAGCAATTAAAGATGCTATTAACAGCATTATTAACAGTGACAATGAATTCAAAAGCCTTAGAAAGTCTCCGTCTTCGACTGCGCAGCCTTCCGCTACCGTGTCTGCTGTGTCCATAGATGATGCTGAGCTTACTCAGAAAATTGAGCATTATAATAAAGAAATTGAGCGTCTTAAACCTACTAAAACTGCCCAAAATCCTCCCCTCTCCTCTGAAGAGTCTCGCCTTTTATCCTCTTATGAGTCCAAGTTGGATGCTCTTGAGACGCTGAGTAAGCTTAATGAGTCTTTTAAATCTCTTAAAAGTCCACAAGATAAACCTTGTGAAACATTATTAAATAACCTGTGCTCTGGCTTGGAGAAGTTCCTTGGTTACCAAGAAACTTCCAAAGGCTACACCGGGAAAGGAATTGTGTACTCAGACCTCGACAGGCTCTGCGACGGGGTGATGTCTTTCCTTCATGGTGTTTTACATAACATTAAGCCTAAATTAGGCCAGCATAAAACACAAATTAGCGTTGCACTTAACTCACTTAACAACAAAAATGATAATGGTATTACTAAATACAGGGCGGCGGTAGCCGCGGTGGCCAGTGGTGTACGTACATATAATGTGAAAGTGGCAGCGTCGAATGAGAGTGTTAGTGGGCCGATTAAAAAGTTTCACAAGGAGATGCAAGAGCTTCAAAACGAGGTGAGTGACTCAAAGACATCTAATGCTTTGCAGGTGACGGATCGTTCTACAAAGGAGGAAGTTGAGGCGGCCAAAAGGGAAGTGGACAAGAAGCTGGAGCAGTGCAAGGAAAACGCCAAGACATTTAATGACGCTTTCAACTTAGACACCAAAAACAACATAGACATGAAAAACGCAATTAATGATCTTAATGCTAAATTACATGAGCGTGTAGTAGTAGCCGCGAAAGCGGTGAAGCATGAGAGTGAGCGGCTCAATGAGCTCTCAACTAAGGAAAGTGAGGAGCTAAGAGAGACGGAAGCAAAAATTAGGAGCGTTCTTCAGGGCCTTAATGACAGCGTGAATCGTAGCATTACCACGCAGGTGAAGAGCCTTGTTGACTTTTTGAAAAATTGTGTTTGCGCGATTAAAGAGAAGCTGGAGGAGATTAACAGAAAGCTCATGGAGTATGTCAACGAGTTGAATAGGTGGATTAGAGAGGCTGACGAAACTGTACACAAGGCCATGCAGGGCGCAAGGAATATCAACATAGGAATGCCCGCTTGGGAAAAAGAAGGTGTAATTAAGAAGCAGGCGGAAGATATGCGAAAGAAAGGTGAACACGTGTATTGGAGTTTTAGCAGTGCGAAAGAGCAAGTTGCCGAGAAAGTCAAAAATGCAAAAGATACAGAGCTTACAAAATTGGAAACCTGGAAAGACGCGGCGACCGCTGTGATCGGAAAGGCGCAGGGGAAGTGTGAAGCAATTTTGGGGAAATCTGATATAAATGATTCCAAGAATGGAAAGAATGTTGTAATTAAACAGCAAGCGGACGAACTGAAGAAGAAAGCCACGGAGCTTTTGAACGCTTACAGCCAGGCGTATCCTAAAGTTACCGGTTTGGTTGATAAAGTTAAAGATGCCGTTTCACAGTTGGAAACCGGCATGAAAGAGGATTTGGAGAGGCTGCAGAGAGAGATTGTGGAGAATATGAAAAAGCATGTTGGTGGGATGCTTAGTGATATTAAGGATAAAGTGGAGAAGATTAAGGGGGATAAAAGTGGCACAGGGTTGGAGGGGATTAAAAAAGGCTTGAAGGATTATGTCAGTGGATTTGGCAATGGGAAGTTGGAAGCGGCGATTAAGTTCATGATCGAGAAGATGGTGGATGACAGTACAGGTATTAGGTTGTACATTAAATGGTATTTCGGCAAAGGGAAGAACACGGCCTTGCAGGGTAAGAATGCGGAAGACGTTAGAGCAGCAATAAAAGAAAAGCTTCCAGGAATTTTGAAAAATGCTGTCCTGACTGTCCCCTCTGCAAAGGGGCTTACATCCGCCATAGAGTTCGATAGTATCGCGAATAGCTTCGAGTCATTTGCGGACGGTATTAAGAATAATATTCTTCATATGGCGGACGATATAGTCCTCGGGGATATTGAAAAACAATTGGGCTTTAATGGATCCAAACCTTCAACAAACTACACAGCATTTCTGCAATACGCCGTCGGAATACTGTCCATAGCCGTATTCACTGCAATTTCTAAAGCAGCGTCGGAACTTCAATCGTTGATTGAAACGTCCAAAATTGCGCAGTTGAAGGAAGCCCACGAAAATGCTAAAAGCCTTCACAGTGATCTCACCACGGCGCATGAACAAACCAGCAAAGATGAAGCGCCCACATCTCCCAGCCCTCCCGGCGCCACCCTCGAAGAAAGAGTCAAGCATATTAAGACGGAAGTCAACAAGGGAATGAAGGACGACGGTTCTGGTATAACCGTCTCAAAAACGATGACAACGTATGAAGCGGCGAAAGGTGAGAGAGTGGGCACAGAGAATAAATATCACAACTTGCTTACTAAAGATATCCCCCAGGCCATGGACGCTTTCAAAACATATGGACTCAACGGAGTTGACAGCGTCGAAGGGAAAAAACGTGAACTTGATCCCATTGTCACCACAATCACCCAAGAGCTCCAGGCCATCGCCTACCATGTTAATAAGGATAAGAAATGGCCGCTTGGGCTGGGTGAAGAACCGAATGAAAAAGATGGCATCACGCAATTGTTAAATGACCTGAAAACCAATGGTCTTAGTGAAGAAGATAAAGCTTGGCATGTTGACGGTGCTCACACTTCCAAAGGCCTCTTGAAGATCAAGCAGGAAATTACCGACGCGCTCGGGGGGATTAAAACGAAGGCGGAAAACGACTTCAACGCTGCGAAAACAGCTATCAGCGAAGTGACCTCTTTCAAAACACTCTCTGACGCAATCTACCAAGATCTCAAATCTCTCGTCGAGGCGTTCCAGAACGCCGGCAAAGATCTCTACCAGCAGTTGAAGCAGTTTAAAGATACAAAAATCAGCTTGAGGAAGAACGACGCCGCAGCTGTGGCAAACAGTCTCCAACAATTTTCGAGAGACCTCAGCCGGCTGCAAAGCAAACTCCAAGACGGTCCCATCGCGCAGTGCACGCGCTTCATTGAGAAGGACGCCGGGTCAATGGAAACATACTGTATTAACGCCCTCAAGCAAAACGTCGACGGTCAAGTTAGAAATGCCACCGAAACCCTCACCACCCTCGCCAAGAAGCAGTACGTTCTCTCCGTCAAGAGTCTATTAACCAAGTTCGCCGAGAAAGTCGAGCAGGAACTGAGAAACCTCCCCCGCGAAATCAGAAACGATTTGACAGTAGGCCACAAGGGCTTTATGTTACGCATGGGAGGCGTGGACAGGCCGGAGACTCCAAGTGGGCAAGAACCTCCGGCACCAAAATCAGAAACATTGCTCGACAAAATTCTGGAACCTGTCGAAACCTACGATCCAAGTAGGCAAGTTTCATCAACTACATCCATGAAGGACACTTTCATAAATTTAGTAAATGCATTCCACAAATACTTCACTCCAATTTACCAGTATATTGAAACACAAATCACTGCTCAACTTAAACCTTTGCCCGAAACTCAGCGCAATGACGACAACCTTAACAAACTCACGGAAATAAACTCTATGTTCAACACACTGCTCACCCACCTTAATGAAACACAGACTAATAAGCCCGATAGAAAATACCTTTTTGACCACGATTTCACCGATAAACTAGACGCACTTAAGACACAACTTCAAACATTCACCTCCCACAAATTTACCAACCCGCACCATCCCGAACTACTTGACGCCCTTAAGTGCGGGCTTGATGACCTTTGCACGCAGCTTGACAAGGCGTACGTAAATGGGTATGATGGGCATAAAGAAACAATAGACTTTACTAGATTAGTTGATAATGATAAATTGAGTGCTAACGGTGAGAAGCTGTCTAAGGTGTGTCTCACGTTAATGGAAACTGTGTTCCATGACCTTGAGGAATTGAGAGTAGCATGTAATAGTACAAATGGCTCTTGGAGAGACAAGCAACTATGCTTGACTGAAAATGATAAGAAGCTCAAGAAGCAAGTCCCCAATGACCTCGGTATTTGGTTGAAGTCACACGGCTTCAAGGTGTCGGAGGATGAGAATACTCAAGATGGTCAGTTAAGATGTCACGACAAAATGATGGGTGAAGACATTTTTAAGAAGCTTATAACTGAAGTTCGCAGTGCGAAATATAATAATCATCTTGAGACATGTATAACCAACAAGCATACATTCAATGTCATCAACATCCTTAGATGTCTCCACGGACACCTCGACGATTATTACCGTGCCACTCACACACGCCATATTCCAAATGCAAAGCCACCGTGCACCGTCAATCAGATGCTAACGTGGATGTGTGGACTCCAATATAATTCCGTGTTTGCTAAACTGCAAGATCACTTAAAGACATTGTTCCCTAAACCTAACGCACACAAAAATGATCCGGACTATTCCAAAATTCCTACCAACTTACTAACACTTCCAGGCACAACCGAAATTAAATATGACGACGTAAAACGCAGACTCCTGCAAGCCTGCCTGTACTCTGAAAAAACACTTATCACTATCCTGGGACACGGCGACGAACACACCAAGTACGCCTGTGACTATTACACAAACTCAGATAAATTATTGTATCCTGAAAGCCCATCACAATGTAGAGATTTACTTCTAGACATTCTTCGTAGAGTGTTTTACGTGTTCACATTCTTGCACAGTAAATGTACTTTTAGCACTCAGCACGGTGGCTGGTCCGATTGTCTGTACGGCAGAGATATCGCTACAGTTAATCAGCCATGTAAAGTGCATATTACCGACAAACCAAATAGCCAACCAACGTGCCAACCAAACTGCCAGGCAAACACCGAACCAAATTGTCAACCAACCTCTCCATTAATGTCTTACCTAAATGACTGCCTACCGGGTCATTTGCCTCATGATGTAACCTCTCTTGGTTGCAAATCATCGTGCAACAGCTGCGCCAAATCTTCGCCTGGAATGCCGTGTCTCCCTCCCCTCGGTTTCAGAGCGTTCTCGGGCAGTACGAGAACAGGCAAAGATATATATGATGAGCTCAGCAGATTCCTAAGAAACAAGCTCCTCTCATCATTGTCTTGTCTGCTGCCCAAACCACCAACCTCATTGCCCGAACACTTCGGTTTTGCTTTATGCTTACTCCAGTATTGGCATTATAGTTTAAAGTTTGGTGGTAATGACGTCAATAAGCCATCATTGCAAGTGGCACTAGAATCCTCCATCACCGATGTGTCGATCAAACTATATGAGAACCCAGCCGGCCTTACCAAAGCCATCATTCAGGCGTACGGTTCTCAGTTTGAGAAACATGTAGAATGCGAACATGCCCACTTGGCGAGTCTCACAAATTTGGAAGCATGCTTCAAACAGAAAGAGCACTGCGCTCCTTACCTCTCATCGCTATGCCACAATTACTATCACCATCTTGCCGTCAAACATTCCAATGCATATTTATCCTGGATCATTTATTTACCATGGACATTCTGGAACTATCTTCAGAATCTATATGATGCATTTACTCAAATAGTCTGCCAGGATTGGGGTTGTCGTACGTGCCTTCACGGCAAACAATGCAAACGTGGACAGCATGGTCTCACCAATGAGAAGACCCAAGCACCGCATTGCAATTGCCCTTCCATGGTCCAGTGCAAAGGCGTAGCACCTACACTGTATAGATATGGATTCTATTTTGGCGATGCAATAGCATTAAATGAAGGTTTGTATTACAAGCGGTGCTCCGATTTCTGCACTCAATTGAACAATTTGCTAAAATCAGAATATTTCAAAAACCTCTTCGACAAATGTGATGAATTCCTATGGATTATTCGCACAACCTTCACTTTCCTCTTGTTAGCCCTCTGGTCCCTCTCTTTGCTCTACCTGCTGCACATCGCCGTCCTCCGCCTGGACGTCCTGAGGATACGCTCCCACCTGAGATCACCCGCAAGCCACCGCATCGCCGCGCAGTCCCTCCTCGCCGCCGCACGCGTCAGGGCACTCGCCAACGTCAAGTACTTCTCACCATAATCGTGCCTTCACGTGTGATCTGTGTATCACTCACCCACTCACCTACTCACTCATCCACCCACTCAACTAATCACTCAACTAATCACCCACTCAACCACCCACTCACCCACCCACTCAACCACTCAATCACCTAATCACCCACTCACCCACTCAACCACCCACTCACTCACTCACCCACTCACCAACTCACCCAACCACCTAACCACCCACCCAACCACTCAACCACCCACCCAACCACTCACCCAACCACCTAACCACCCACCCAACCACCTAACCACCCACCCAACCACTCAACCACCCACCCAACCACTCACCCAACCACCTAACCACCCACCCAACCACTCAACCACCCACCCAACCACTCACTCACCCACTCAACCACCCAACCACCTAACCACTCACTCAACCACCCACTCACCCACTCAACCACCTAATCACCCACTCACCCACTCAACCACCTAATCACCCACTCACCCACTCAACCACCCACTCACTCACCCACTCACCAACTCACCCAACCACCTAACCACCCACCCACCCACTCACATACTCAACCACTCACTCACTCAACCACTCAACCACTCAACCACTCAACCACTCACATACTCAACCACCCACCGACTCACTCAACCACCTAACCACCTACTCACCCACTCAACCACTCACTCACCCACTCACTCACCACCCACCCACTCACATACTCAACCACTCACTCAACCACTCACTCAACCACTCACTCACCCAACCAATCACTCACTCACTCACCCACTCCACCACTCACCCACCTACTCAACCACTCACTCACATAATCACCCACTCACTCAACCACCCACTCACCCACCCACTTACTCACCCAACCACCCAGCCACCCACTCACCCACTCACCCAACCACTCACTCACCCACTCAACCACTCAACCACTCAACCACTCAACCACTCAACCACATACTCACCCACTCACCCAACCACTCAACCACCCACTCACCCACCCACTTACTCACCCAACCACCCAGCCACCCACTCAACCACTCACCCACTCAACCACTCAACCACTCAACCACCCACTCAACCACTCACTCACCCACTCAACCACCCACCCACTCAACCACATAGTCACCCACTCACACACCCACTCACTCACTCACACACCCACCCACTCAACCACTCACCTCCCTCCTTCACTGGTCGCTTCGCTCCCTCCCTCACCCCCTTCATCACCTCCTCCGTCGGCGTCCTTCGCCCAAAACCTCATTTTCCATCTTCCCCCTCCACCCCTAAAATCGCCTTACCTCCACCCATCTTCCCCCTTCATCGCCCTCTCTCACCCCTTCACCTCCCTCACCCTGTCCACCCACCTCCCTCGTTGCCTCACTGCCTCCTTCACCTAAAATCGCCTTTCCCCAAATTCCCCCAAATCGCCCTAAAAATGTGCCTAAAATAATCCTTCAACAACATTATTCAATAATCTCTGTACAGGCCTCGAAAATCTTCTCGGCTACCAGAATGGTAATTACACCGGAGAAGGGATTGTGTACTCCGACCTTGACAGGCTGTGCGACGGGGTGATGTCTTTCCTTCATGGTGTTCTTGAGACTGTGAAGGAGGATGATAACGTTACAACTTATGATAATAATGATATTAACAATGTTATTAACACTCTTAACACTAGTGTAGGTAAAGGCCGTGAGGCCTTCGGGAAGGCGTTGACTCAGGTAAGTGGGTGGTTGGAAAAACATGGTGAGCAGGTGGAGGAGAGGACTGGAGCAGTGAAGACAAAATTAGGTGAGTTGATTGGTAAATTATCATCTGATGCAGGTGGACAATACTTTCAAGAGGTGAAGAACCGTGGAGGCGAGGGCCTGGAGAAGCAACTCAACAAGTGGAAGACAACGATCCAGAGGATCGAGGAGGACGTCACGGACATAGAAAAACAACAAATTAATATACTAGATAAATCACTTAGCACACGAATAATGAATGAATATATGCCTGTGAAAAAAGTGGTTGCGCACTTAGGGGCTGTTGCCACGAACCCGGCATTCGGCCCAGCTGTGAAGGCTGTAGATAGTGAGTTTATGAAACAGGAAGAGCATGTAACTCAGGAAATACAGGCAAAATCTGCAGTGCTCAGAGATGCAGTGACTACTAAATTCGACCTTATAGATAAAAGCATCCGTGCCGTTGAGAAAACGCAGAAAGTTGATTTGAAGCGCTTAATGGAACTGGTGGGTGAGTTGGCGGTGGCAGTTGGAGAGGCTGATAAAGTGTCAGGAACGCTGGTGAGAGATTATCAGCGTATGATTGTTGAGAATTTGGAGAGTATTAATGAGCACGTTCAACCTCTTGCAACGGAGACCATTGCTAATGAACTCAATCAAGTGTACAAAAGTATTACCTCAGAATTGGTAGTGCTTGATGATCAGTTAAGGACAATTGGTAGCGTTGGCCAGAAAGTTACGGGACTGGTGGAGAATAAGTTGGCTTATATTGAATCTGAGTTGAGCGAAAAAATAAAGGTACTTAAGGGGGATATTAGGAATAATGTTGAGGAATATTCGAGAACTTATATTGGCAGCGTTATGCAGCAAATTGGTCTTATCAACGAGAAGGTTGGTGAACCAATGGACGGGCACGCCGATCCGAAGAATAGAACCATATACCACAATTGGGAGGTGCTTGATGCAAGAACAACGGGGCTTATTAAGCGTATTAACGGCAGTGGAACAGATTACAATGGTCTTAAGGGGATCCAACATAGGGTAAAGGGGTATGCTGGAAATTTCACCAGGAAGAAGTTTCAGAGCAGTATTTTGACAGGATGGATTGAAAGGATTCTGCGAAATAATGGGATAGTCAAAAGTGGCTTGGTACATATCTCACAAGAAATCAGAAGCATAGTAGTAAATTTAGTACTACGGATACGGATCTCCTCCTGAACGGTAAGACAGAAACATTGCATAAACCTATAAAGGAACAGATTATGGCAAAGCTTCAGCACGCCGGTGTTATTGACCAAGTTAATGTTGAACCGAAGGAGGATATTATAACCAATGTAATCGCTGTTAAAAGCGCTTGTAACAATTTCGCTAACGCGCTTGATGAGAAAATGAAGGGTGGAGAAATTCAGGCTTCTGAAATCGCCAACACCATCGCGCCAATACTGAAGAATGTTCTTGAAATTAAAATTCGGAATCCACCGAAGTGGACAAAATACAGCTGGAATACGCCGTTCAGGCCGCTATAGCTGCCCTGTCTGCGACCGCAAGACAAAACGCCAAAACAATTTGGTCATTCACTACTAAGAAAACAAATGGATCTAACATGTTTGATTTCAACCTAGGCTTTAATCTAGAAGCAGCTATAGCGCAAGTAGACCAAATTAAAGAGATACACGGCGGCGACGCAGACAATGGCGTTGAGCCAGGAGATAAAATTACCAAGGCGCTGAAGGAGGTGAAGCAAAAGATTGAGACGCTATTAGAGAATCTTACGGATGCGACTAAAAAATCGTTTGCTCCTATTACTTCGTTTCCTCCAACCAAGGCCGTGGCACTCACCGACAAAATCGATGCCAGGGTCCAACATAACGTTGATCCGGTCGACTTCGACACTCCACTAAAAGCCCTGCTGAACAGATCAGCCAAAGAGGGTGTCAACATGTTAGACACTGAGATTAAACAAATCCTGAATGGACAACTTGGCACTGTTAAACCTAACATAGAAGCGGAAATTAATACCCTGAAAAGAGATCACACCGGCGCCACGTCAGGTGAAATTCAACAAAAAATTAGCGAACTTCAGGACAAAATCACGAGGCTCATATCGTCCGTCGGTAATGTTAACAATAAAGCTAAAAGTGAAATAAAATCCCAGGTGACGTCTGTGCAAAAGCAAGTCGGCAACCTTAAAGAGGACATTACGAAAATTAACTTACAAATCACAGCGTTTAATGCGTCTCTTCAAAAGGTCATCGAAGAAGCACAGTCTACTGTCGATGACGCCCGCGAGACCCTGCAACGCCAAATCAATGAAACGCAAACTGCGCTCACCGAAGCAGCCGAACAAGCCTTCAAAGAGGTGTACACGAAGGTAAAATCCACGTTCGCCGAAGGCCATCTGGCCGACTTGGAAGCGCTCCATAAATTAGTCACCGACCAAAAAACTCAAATCGATAAAATAATTGCCAAAGACAATAGAAAAGGCCTGAAAGGTTTTTTCGACAAATTATTACGTACAGTGCTAGATCACGAAAAGGATTTAATATCGAAATCCAAAGTGACTGCAGAAGAACATAAATTCGTCAAAGAAATAAAAGAATTCCTTCATGTGTTCTTCACGTCTGTATATATCCAAAATGATTTTGTGGAATTCGAATCATCATTTAATCCCATCGTGGAAAGTACGCATGATATGCTTCAACAGCTTGAAGAATCTAAGCGCTTCGATCACACTTTTATCAAAAACCTTGACAATCTTAATCTCGCACTGCATAACTTCGAACCTAAGAAATTCTCTGAGCCGTGTTCCATATTGCTTGATGCCTTGAAAGATGGGCTCAATGCCCTGGCCTCTCAGCTAGGCTATGCGTATGTTAGCAGCTATGATGGCGCTCCGCCTATAGCTAGTTGGGAGTACCGCGACCGTAAATCTAAAAAAACTCTACCAACTGAGGAAGCCAAAATGTGCGCCAAAGTCTTCCTTACGTGTCTGCCGATGTGCTTTAACGACCTCACTGAGATTAGAAAGCAGTGTAATCATGATGGTGATTGGCGGAAGAAATGTATTAATTTAAGCAACGAGCTCGGCGCATTTTTCGAGAAGTGCGGGTATCGCGTTTCTGAGGACGATGGTTCCCATAGAGGGGACTTAAAAAATAATGCTGACCTCGACGGCCGGGATATTCATCGTAAACTCATGGCAGACATTGCTGGCGAGGATGACAAAAAATACCACCTCGTTAAAGATGAAGATGATGAGAATCCGAATGGGAAAGCAAATAATAAAAGTCTGCTTAAACAACTTGTCGACCATCTCCACAGTTACTACGCTGTCACCCAGCTCCGCCATATAGACGGTGCCAAACCACCGACAAATATATTCCAGATGCTGTGCTGGGTCACCGGTTTATGGTATAGTCCTGTGCGTCGTTCACTGTGTAGTTACTTTAACGAGCTGTTTGACAAGCCGAAAGGCATGGAGGACAGAGCGTATAAGGACATTGATCCTCGCCTACTTAAACTGGTTGGTACTTCAACCATTAGGCCACGTGATCTCACTGTAGCACTGCACTCAACATGCTCGTATGCCGAGAATGTATTAGTTGCAATACTCGGCACAGGCCACGCTGACGGTATATACGCGTGCGAGTTCAGCACCAATGACATTAACTTACTCTATCCCACGAACATGACAACATTAATATGCTTATTGATGAATGTCGTCAAACGCCTCCATAGCCAGCTACACTTTTTATATACTATGTGTTCATATGAAACCGAGCTCAGTGGCTGGCGTGACTGCACATACGGTAGCAGCGTGGGCGGTTCCAATTGGCAGTGTAATACGTTGACGTATGCTGAACAAACGTATGACCAACAGTGCAACCAAAGAGCCAACCAAAACACTAACCAAACAGCTAACCAACCATGTAACCAACACCCCAAGTGCGGCTTAAAATCTCCTCTCCAGTCGTTCCTGGAGGATGGCCTTCAGGGTTTCCTGCCGCATAATGTAACAGCCAACGGCTCTAGTCTTTCATGTACTAATTGTCCAAAGAGGTCTGGCCAACCGTGTAAAACACCAATGGGCTTTGGTGATATAAGTATTACAGCCTCCCGTAGACATACTGGGCAATTCATATTTGATGCCATTGGTGAATTCTGTGGCGGCGCATCTTCTCACCTTAGTAATCTGTGCAACTTGCTTAATGCTCTTTTGCCAGCTGCGCCGAAGACACTTGGAGAGATGTTTGCATTTTATTATAATTTTGTCGCTATATGGCACGCAAACGGCAGCAATCTCATGGATCATAGAGACACAGCATTTAACAACGCCGTCGTGCAGGCCAATTTCGGAAACCCTAACACGGAGTTGAACATCACTCCATTGTTTATGAGCACGGACCATGGCACCATGCCAGATTTGCCTCACCCCAATGGGGACCTGTACTCTCTGATAGAATGCAAGCGTGCTAAAACTACGACCGCCGTTCACCCCTGCGGTCCATATCTCCGGCCTCTTTGTGTAGACATATGCAGCATATTTTCCGACAAGCACGTCAACAAATACCTTTCGTGGGTTGTATATGTTACTGAAACGTTTTACGATTTACTCAAAAAATTATACGATGATTGTTGTAAGACGTGTGGCGGTGACAAGCCGAAATGCCGTAAGGCTCCTTGTTCACAAAAATGTAATGTTGGCAGAAAGCCAACCAACTCCAATCACAGTGACAGTTGCATATCCATAGTCAATTGCCAAACAACTATGCCTACCTTGTGCAGATATGGATTCACTTTCGGGTACTCATCTGATCTCGCGGGTACATATGAGCCGGTAAACAAGCGTACATGTAGGGATTTCTGCAATTTATTAAATATGGTTTTGCAAAAGGGAAATGCACTTGGCGATTTGACCAATATAACGATTCCGAATTTCCTCCTAGAAATAAGGTGGCCCTTCATGTGTACTCTGTTAGCCCTCTGGTCGCTGTCGCTCCTGTACCTGCTGCACATCGCCGTCGTCCGCCTCGACGTCCTGAGGATACGCTCCCACCTGAGATCACCCTCAAGCCACCGCATCGCCGCACAGTCCCTCCTCGCCGCCGCACGCGTCAAGGCACTCCCCAACGTCAAGTACTTCTCACCATAATCGTGCCTTCACTCACCCACCCACCCAACCACTCAACCACTCAACCACTCAACCACTCACCCACTCAACCACTCACCCACTCAACCACTCAACCACTCAACCACCCACCCAACCACTCATTCACTCACCCAACCACTCACCTACTCACTCAACCACCCACTCACTCAACCACTCACTCACTCAACCACTCACTCACCAACTCACTCAACCACCCACTCAACCACCACTCACCCACTCACTCACCTAATCACCCACCCACTCACTCAACCACCCACTCACCTAACCACCCACTCACCCACCCACCCACTCAACCACTCAACCACCCACCTAATCACCCACTCACCCAACTACTCACCCACTCACCCACTCACCCACTCACTCAACCACTCACCCACCCACTCAACCACTCACTCACTCACCCACTCACTCAACCACCCACTCACCCACTCACCCACTCACCCACTCACTCACCCACCAACTCACTCACTCACTCAACCACCCACTCAACCACTCAACCACCCACCTCCCTCCTTCACTGGTCGCTTCGCTCCCTCTTCCCTCACCCCCTCCATCATTTCCTCCGTCGGCGTCCTTCGCCCAAATCCTCATTTTCCACCTTTCCCCCTCCACCCCTAAAACCGCCTTACCTCAACCCATCTTCCTTTTTCATCGCCCTCCTTCGCCCCTTCACTTCCCTCACCCTGTCCACCCACCTCCCTCGCTGTCTCACTGCCTCCTTGACCTAAAATCGCCTTTCCCCAAATTCCCCCAAATCGCCCTGAAAATGTGCCTAAAATATTCCTTCAACATTTCTCAACTTCTTCACTTTCCTCTTATTAGCCCTCTGGTCCCTCTCTTTCCTCTACCTGCTGCACATCGCCGTCGTCCGCCTCGACGTCCTGAGGATACGCTCCCACCTGCGCTCACCTTCAAGCAACAGGATCGCCGCGCAGTCGCTCCTCGCCGCCGCACGCGTCAAGGCAGTCGCCAACGTCAAGTACTTCTCACCATAATCGTGCCTTCACGTGTGATCTGTGTATCACTCACCCAACCACTCACCCACCCACTCACCCACCCACTCACCCACTCACTCACCTAATCACTCACCCACTCACTCACTCAACCACTCACCTCCCTACTTCACTGGTCGCTTCGCTCCCTCTCCTTCACCCCCTCCATCACCTCCTCCGTCGGCGTCCTTCGCCCAAAACCTCATTTTCCACTTCCTCCCTCCACCTCCAAAATCCCCTTACCTCAACCCATCTTCCCCCTCCATCGCCCTTTTTCGCCTCCTCACTTCCCTCGCCCTGTCCACCCACCTCCCTCGCTGCCTCCTTGACCTAAAATCGCCTTTCCCCAAATTCCCCCAAATCGCCCTAAAATGCCTCTAATAATCCCCCCTTTACTCCTTTTAACTCTCCCTTAAACCACCTTCAATCCACCTACAATGACCATTACAATGATGTCCATTACCTTACTGAGGATGCCAGGGGGAAGGCTCTGGAGGACATTATGGAGCGGACAAAGAATCTTGAAGGTCTTGCAAAAAAGTTGAAAGAATTTATTGGTGAAAACAATTCTGATAATCCTTCAAAAGTTATTTTAGAAAATCTCACAGACGGTTTAGAGAGATTCTTGGGATACGATAAAGAGTCCAAAGGCTACGACGGCACTGGCATCGTGTACTCGGACCTTGACAGGCTCTGCGACGGGGTGATGTCTTTCCTTCATGGAGTTTTAAATGAAGTTCATAGAAATGATAATCTTTCGCCTTATAAAAAGGCATTAAATGAAACTGTAACACTTTTAGAAAGCAAGCGCTATGAAGGCAAAACAGGTTTGCAGTCTGTGATTGACCATGTCAAGCAGGGGATTGGTCAGTGGTTGGGGATGGTTAGAAACCAAGGTAATGCAATTCCCGGTCATTTAAATAAGCTTGATAATGAATATCTCGCACCCATAAAATCCAGAATTGAATCCATGGGCGACCAGGAATATGACACTAAAAAAGATGTATTGGCGACATGGGTAAACGAAACGAATGTGCTCTCCATGTACGGTGATTATGCTTATAGCGCACTGGCACCTTTAGACCAAAACCTCCAAAAAGAATTATCTCCACACGTCTCCCTAATTAAAGACAGAGTGGAGACTTTCGTGGACTCCACTAAAAAGGATCACGAGGGGCTTGTTAAGGTGTGTGAGAAGGTGGATGAAAAGATGAGTGAGATTATTAAAAATTCGGAAAGCGTGTCAGGAAATGCCGCAAATAAAATCGATAGTTTGACAACGTTTCTGAAAGGTGAAATTAACACGCTTCACGAGCATATTAAGAAAGTTGTGCCAGGTGTCAAAAAGGCTATCGAGGAGTTGGAAAAGTGGCTTAAAAACGATAATGGTTCAAACCTTCACAATGCTTTGCAGAAGTGCGATGCTGTAGTGAAGGCGCTGGATGAAAATGCTAACTCCGATTTGAAAAGGCAATTCACGTCGATTGAGGAAGCTAGATCGACAGTTCAAAGTGTTCATGGAGAGCTTGGCGGAATTGACAGTTCCTTGAGTTCGTGGATTCAGAAGGCGGAGCAGACGATGCAGAATGCACTATTGAAGGCTAAACAGATTTTTGATAAAGTTCAAGAGACTAGTACGCTAAACATAACTCACGCAATTAGCGACTTAAAGCAAAAAACGCAAGAGCATTTTTTCAACTTGAAACAAGAAGAACTTAAGGGATACGCCAGCGAGGCCACTGAGCATCTTAATAAGATGGTGGATGCGGTTGAGAGCTTGGTGGATGAGAAACTGGCGGATGCGTTTGACAAATACAAACTTTGGGTGGAAAACGGTGTCGTAACGGGGAGCCGTGGTAATCAAATGACATCCCAAATTCGTCAATTGCCAAATGTTATCCAGTCTCTCAAGGAGATGTCAAATACCGTAAAGCAGGCTGCGCAAAGTGTTGAGCAGAACAGTGCAGTACGATCTACTCCGTTTTATCCTTATACACTTCCTCTTTCAGGCCCATCACCGTTACAGACGTCACTTACTGACTTGGAGCAAAATGTGCAAGCAGTTCAGTCGATTGAAGCTGAGGTTCGAAGTCTACAAATGCAACGCACAGGGCAGCCCACTGCAGCCAATGTCAGTTCCTCGCATCTCAACACGCTGTCCACTCTTGCCTCTACAACACGAAAAGTCGTAAACGATATTGTCGCCGTCTTGAAGGACCGAATCCGAAGTGGCGTGATGAGCATTGGTAGGTTGACCATTAGTTCAGATTTAAGTAAATCAACTATTACATTTCATGGTTCTCTACAAAACGCTGTGGGAATCGCCCAGTCACTTTATAGCCAACTCCAGTCGATTAATGGACGCCTTCCTTCTCGTAACGGAACTGTAAGTAATAACTTAAGTGTTATTCAAAATGTGTCACAAGACCTCGGCGGTTTGGTGCAAAATGTTCAGCGGCTGAGCACAGCATTCAATGATCAAAAATCCCTGTTTAGCAAGTTTGATAATAATGTATCTACGCCCTTCAACAAAATTGTACAAGACGTCAGGAACGCTGCTGGACAGGACCAGACGAATGGTCTTCAGTCAACTTTGCAAACGTTCAAGGAAACTACTATTCAAGGCAATGATTCCACGGATAAACTAGGTAAAATTAGGACTGATATTCACAGCCAGATGAGTCAGTTGTTTCCCAAGATTTCTGCCATAAACTCAGCCGTCGAAGCAATTAAGTCACAGCTTTCCAAAATATCCAAAATGGTGAAAAAAGGAAGCGAAAAAGAGACAATTAACGGTTTTCTCGAATCACTCAAGGGAGAGATCTCTTCTCTTAAACAGTCTCTCACAGATTTAAAAGCAGGTGACTTGACATCGATGATTGCCAACGTTCAACATGAATTTGATGAAGCCAAAAAATTCATCGTAAAGTACATTCAAAGCACTTGTAATGAAGCTATTAGTAATGCTAAGGTTGCTGGAAAAGAAATCAAACGCCAAGCCCTCTCCCAGTTCGCCGCGTCCAAGGCCCGCGCGCTCGAGCAGCTCAAGGCGCTGGTGGAAGAACAAAACGAGATAATTCAGAATAAAATTCATATAGACACCGAAACGGGATTAAAAGGATTCATGAAATTGTTTAATACCAACTTTATCCCGAAGATTGAAGAGATTGGAGGCATTAAGCCTAATTCCTTTACACCAGAAAAGTCTCCGCTGAACCAAGCTGCCGAAAAAGTATGCGTCGGCTTCGAGATGTTTTTCAAAAATTTGGAAAAACAAAGAAAGGAGTTCGAAGATTTCCCACCAGGCGTCATTCAGCCTGACGCCATGCTCCCTGAGGTGTCCAAATATGAGAGTGTAACTAACGCCCTGCTGAAACTTCTTGAAGGACTTCATACATCCAAACACTTCGACCACAATTTCAGTGATCACCTTAAATCCCTCAACAATGCATTATCTACATTCTCCCCCGCCAAATTCACTGACTCCTCCAGTCCCATCCTGCAAGCGCTCAAGGACGGAATCGGCGCCCTGGCCCAGCAACTCGGCTACGCATATGTAAGCGCGTACTGCTGTAAGAAGTTTGACGGTGCGTTGCTTGATCCTCAGGATCCTCCTAAGACGTCAGACGACAAACGCAAATTGACTGAGTACGGCAAGAAGCTGTCTAAGGTTTTCATGACCTGTCTCCCTGATTGGGGTAAACATCTCGATTGGCTGAGGAGGCATTGTGATCAGCAGCCGAAAAAAGGCCCATGGAATGGTCTGCAGATTACTAAATTAAAAAATAATCCCCTCGGACTCTGGTTTGACTCCCGAGGCTACCGTGTTTCCACAGGCCGGGACAATCGGGACGGGGAGTTGCGGAACACAGAAAAATGCATTGGCAATCATATTCATGGTTTCCTCGTCGACAACCGGAAAGACCAAAAACGTCTCTACAGAAACGATGATGAAAAGCAAGATCCCGGCACACTTAGGGAGGTATGCAAATACCTCCCCCTCTATTTCCAGGTCCGTCATCATGAGCACTTTGACTCACCAAAGCCTCCAACGACAGTATCTCATATGCTGCAGTGGATTACCGGACTGACGTATAATCCCATGCTTGAAAAACTCGACTCACATTTTACCACAATGTTTCAAGGCCTGAAAAAAGCGTATAAATTAGACAATCCGCACATAGCTATCACTAAGCCGTTCAGACTAAACCTCGGTGCCAACGAGGACATTGTCGGATCCGGCCACTTAAACGCTGTACTTCGCAGGGTTTGCGAAACGGCCGAAACTGTGTTAATTTCCTTGCAGGGCCACGGCCACGCGGCTGGCCGCTACGCCTGTGAGTACAGTAGTAACGTAGATAAACTGGACTATACAACTAGCCCATCTAGGTGTTTCGATTTGCTATGCGAAATATGCCTTAAATTACACGATCAGCTTAACTTCCTTTATAGGCATTGTTCTCATCCAAGTAAACTCGGTGGGTGGCAAGACTGCTGGTATGGCAACGGCGTCGCTGGTACAAGTTGGCAGTGCAATAACTTGCAATGCCCAGACCAACCATACAACCAAGAGGGCAACCAAACACATAGGCAAAGCTGCAACCAAAGCTGTAACCAAAGTGCTGACTGCGGTCTCAAGTCGCCGCTTCAATCATACTTAGAAGATGGTCTCCCTGGTTTCCTTCCACACCACCTTAAAAAGCTTGGTTGTGGAGTGGAATGTTCCCTCGGTAAGCATAGGGGTTACCATGCCTAACTCCCATGGGTTTCTCCGAAATTGGCACGGTGGCATCGCACAGGCAAAAGGCGAAGATCTTAAGAAAGTTCTTGAGAAATTCTGTGGTCAACCAAGCAAACCGCTCACGCTATTCTGCTCTTACGTCAAATGCTTGCTACATATTCCGCCTCAAACACTTGGTGATATGTTTGCGTTTTACTACGGTTTCCTCAACGGGTGGAACGGCAGTGGCATCCACAGGAAGGGAGCATTTGAACAGGCTGTTCAAAATGCCGATTTCGAAAACACAAACACAACGCTTAATGTTGGTACAATGTTCCAGAGCAGTGATCATACAGGTACCTCAACAACCCATGCGAAAGGAGACCTGTGCAGCCTCGTCACCTGCGATGGAGGAATCGCTACTCTGGACCCTGTCGGCACCTGCGGACCGTATCTCAGACCGCTTTGTATGGACAACCGCGGTATTTATTCTTCCACGTTCAAAAACTATTACCTGTCTTGGATTGTTTATGCCACTGAAACATTTTCCAGGTTGCTGAAGGACCTATTGGAGGAGTGCCGTCAGAGTTGCGGGCTGCCCAAATCTAAGTGTCATACAACAAGCTGCGTTACAAATTGCCGTACAGTTGTCTCTGACATTACATCTCCGAATAGAAATCACCAACAAGGCTGCAAATCAATTGTGAAATGCAAGTCAACATTACCCAATTTGTATAAATATGGATTCTATTTTGGTAACACGGATAATCTAAGCGGCACAGAAGATATTAGAACTAAGCGGACATGTAACGATTTCTGCGACGCATTGGATAGAGTCCTCAGCGAAGTGAAGGACAAGAATGATGTACTAGCCAAATTGATATATAAAACTATTCCAAAATTCTTATGGGACATCAGGAGTAAATTCTCATACCTCCTCCTAGCCCTCTGGTCGCTGTCGCTCCTCTACCTGCTGCACATCGCCGTCGTCCGCCTCGACGTGCTGAGGATACGCTCACACCTGCGCTCGCCCTCAAGCCACCGCATCGCCGCGCAGTCGCTACTCGCCGTTGCACGCGTCAAGGCACTCGCCAACGTCAAGTACTTCTCACCATAATCGTGCCTTCACGTGTGATCTGTGTATCACTCACACACTCACACACTCAACCACTCAACCACCCACCCAACCACATACTCACTCAACCACCTACTCAACCACTCACTCAACCACCCACCCACTCACCCACTCAACCACTCACCCACTCAACCACTCACCCACCCACTCACTCACTCACCAACTCAACCACTCACCCACTCACTCAACCACTCACTCACTCACCTAATCACTCACCTAATCACCCACCCACTCACTCACTCACCCACCCACTCACTCACTCACTCACCTCCTCCTTCACTGGTCGCTTCGCTCCCTCCCTCACCCCCTCCATCACCTCCTCCGTCGGCGTCCTTCACCCAAATCCTCATTTTCCACTTTCTCCCTCCACCTCCTAAACCGCCTTATCCCAACCCATCTTCCTCCCTCATCGCCCTCTTTCGCCCCTTCACTTCCCTCACCCTGTCCACCCACCTCCCTCGCTGCCTCCTCCACCTATAATCGCCTTTCCCCAAATTCCCCCAAATCGCCCTGAAAATGTGCCTAAAATAATCTTTCAACAACATTATTAAATAACCTCTGCACAGGCCTCGAAAAATTTCTCGGCTTCAGTAATGGTAATTACACCGGCTCCGGCATCGTGTACTCGGACCTCGACAGGCTCTGCGACGGGGTGATGTCTTTCCTTCATGGAGTTCTTGAGAGTGTGAAGGATGATGAGAGCGTTACAACTTATGATATTGATAGGTCAAATGACATTAATAATGTTCTTCGCATTTTACATGATAGTGTAGGTAAAGGCCGTAAGGCCTTCCCGGAGGCCGTGCGTCAGGTAAGTGAGTGGTTGAAAAAACATGCGGTGCAGGTGGACACATTTACTGGGAGAGTTACAGGGCATTTAGGTAGGTTGATTGGTGACTTACATTTTGTATCAGGTAAATATTATCAAGAAGTTGAGAAGAAGCAAGGCGAGGACTTAACCACCCAGTTGTCTGGGTGGAAGGGGACCGTAGGGAAGATCCAAGACGAAGTAAACAATATTGAAACTTACAACGTTAATGTTCTAGATAGTACATTGAAAAATAGACTGATGCATGAAATGAGTGTCATTCATAGTAGTGTGTTGTTGCTAAAGAACTCGGCTAATGAGGAGGTGTTCGGGTTACAGGTGAAACAAGTGGATTCCACTTTGGTGAAGCAGCGCGATGATGTGTTGCAGAAAATTAATGAGGAATGTGCAGTGCTGCAAACGAGGGTAGAAAACGGATTTAAAAGTATAGACAATAGAATAATAGAGCTTACTCAGACCGCGATGACGCAGTTTAGATTGATGAGGATGCCATTGCATTTTGCAGGGACTCGGTTAATTATAATTTTGACGACGATTATCGGATTAAAATATTAGATAATTTCGACGCTATAAAAATTAAGGTTAGCGGTTTTTATAACAAATTGCAACAGACAAAAAACGACCTTGGTGAATTGGTGAACAGCGCTTGGTCGGAATTTGGGGCGTTGAAAACCAACGTTCAAGTGGGCTCGAGACATGATGATAAGAGTGTATCGTTCAATTGGAATCAGCTTCAGGATGAAGTACAAATCATCGTCAGCAATGTTGCGAAAATGACAGGGGAAACAAGTCTAAAAGATGTCGTAGACGGCGTGGGAAATTACGCCAAGGGTTTGGCGAGGATGCATTTAAGACGGCGGTGACGCAGTGGGTTAAGGATATTGTAAACACAGATGAGAGTATTGTGAGTAGCAAAATATATGATTATGTTATGCATAACAAGAGCGTTGGACTATTAGCAAGTGAAAATAGCATTCCGGATAAAGTCAAAAAAGTTAAAGCGGCCATTATAGAACATCTTCCAGGCCACATGCTTACTGATATTCAAGCTATTGCACAGGAAACGCTGAGAGGGGCAACCGTGAAAAACATCGACATGAAGTTTGGACTGTTCGCTAATCAGATTGGAAACAAACTTACGGGCGATGGTTCATCAATCGCTGAGGCAGTTCGGAAGATTCGGCAACACTTGAATATAACGCAAATGGGTCATCTCATGCCTAACTCCACAGATCCTCGTCTCACAAACGCCCTTAATGCTATTGCAAAATCTCTAATAAACAACTTCAAGCAAGTCGCCGAGGAGCTTAAGCGGTTCCTCGAAAAGTCCAAACTCCACCCAAACCTGGAAAAGGCTATAGAGAAAGTCAAGGAAATCGGAGAAAAAATTAGTATCGATGAGCTTGCAAACGGTCCTGGTAAAAATATTAATGATGCGTTGAAGATTGTTAATGGAAAGATTACTGTGCTCAATAAACTATTAAAAGACACGGAGATCCAGGTTCAATGGTCGAAAAGCTTAATGAAATTCAAGATGGACTCGTTAAGTTGTATAATCTCAAGGAAGAAAAGGAAGGCAGTGGAATTTGGGATGAAAGGAAGAAAGCCGATGAGAAAATGGAAAAGTTGAAAGAAAGCATAATGGAGCACATTAATTACATAGACAATAGTGTCACCAATGCTGACAAAGAGTTAAATAAGACAATCTTAGGCATCACCAAAACATTTTCCGAAGCTTACAGGAAGCCATGAGAGACATTACGGGTCTCCAAACTAATCTCGTCAAAAAAGCCACAGAAGCTTTCGAAACCGTAATAATCGAAGTTAAAATCTTTTTGCCAGGCGAAAGCTGGCCGACCTAAAATCCTGCAGACATTAATTACCAAGCAATTGAGGAACGTTGAATGGATAATCGACAAGGATGCGCGAAACGGCGTAAAAGGCCTTTTGAAAAGGATGCTTGACAGGAAAATGTCGGCGCTACGGAGAATAACAATGCGCTTTATAAAATCAAAGATTTCACGCCATTCATAAATAATGACTTCACAACGTTATCAGCCAATTTTAAAACGTACATAGATGGCATTCTAAAATTCATTAGCATCCAAGTCACCACCCTGCCGCCCGCCACGCAGACCAATAAGGTCAACGAAATCCAGGACAAATTGGACAAATTACTCGACCATCTCGCCAAAGGCGGCAAAAAATGCAATTTCAATCACGACTTCGTCAACTTGCTGGAAAGGCTTAAGTCGTCCGTCAATAACTTGTCGCCTCCCACGTTCGACGGCTACAATAATGCGTTCCTATTGGATATCATTAAGGCCGGAATGAATGGTTTCACCAGTGAGTTAGACAAAGCATACGTGAATAAGTATTCCGACAGAGTCTTTGATTGGAACGACAGCAAAGAAACGAAATACTCCGCCGAAATATGTTTGAGTATTTTGCCAACGATTTACAACAAACTGCATTACATGTTTTACAGTTGCTGTAAAAAATGGAACGAGTGTACTATCCAGGCGGAAAGCGGTAAAAAGCATTTGAAAGCTTTCCTCGAAAAATACGGTTACGATATGCCCGAGCTTATTAACAAGCAGCACACAGGGCATGACGTCGCAGTTAAATTGAGTAAAAGCTTTAAAAGTCACAAGGAATTCAAGAGTCCTCCAAATAGCAATCATCTCAACTACCAATTATATCTTAATTACGCCAAGGACACTAAGGATCCCGGCGTGCTTGCAGAGCTTCTCGGCCATCTCACAACATACAACAACGTATGTCACTTAACTATTCAACCTAAGCCTAGAATGCCTTGTAGCGTTTTCGAAATGTTGGTGTGGCTCAACGGTCTCACGTATAACCGCGTTTATGAGCGCCTTATGGATCACATTAAAACGTGTTTCCCTAAACCTAAGGGCAAGGAGACGGCGGAATATTCCGATTTGTATCCGCACCAATTATCGTTGGATGCATATCCCTTTAGCGTTACTGCTGAGGACGTGCACTGCGCTGTTCAGCATATTTGCTCGAACTCAGCGACCGTGCTCACCACCATACTCGGAACCGGCAACGCTCTCACTATATATGCCTGCAGGTTCTCGAACAACTCATTTAATTTCAAATACCCTAATTCGGGAGACGATTGTTTTCAAACGTTGCTTGATGTGTTACGTAGAGTGTTTCCCGTTTTCCGATTCCTGAATAGTGTCTGTAAGTTGAGTTCTGAACACCACGGCTGGCGTGACTGTCAGTACGGGAGGCTTATCCGACGGCCATGTCACCATGTGACAAGCAATCAAATGACCACTCAACCGACCAACCAAATGGGCAGTCAACGCATAAACCAAATGGTCAACCAAACACACAACCAAATTGTCAACCAACATCTCCACTAATGAGTTACCTTAACGACTGTCTTCCCGGTCACTTACCTCATGACCTATCATCCATTGGCTGTCGATCTGTGTGTTTAACGTGTCCAAATGGCAAGAAAGGCATGCCCTGTCTCACGCCATTAGGGTTTAGAGCGTTCTCAGGATCCACCAAGACGGGTAGTGACATATGTGATGTGTTGAGCAAATTCTTTGACAACGTATATCTTCCATCCATCTTTTGCCTCGTTGCCAAAGCACCATCCACACTGCCTGAACTGTTCTGTTTTGCGCTGTCACTTGTTAATAAGTGGAATGACTCTGGTAATCACCTATTAAGAGATGCATTCACATCGTCTATCACTGATGCCTCCATTAGTCTCTATGAGCATCCCAACGAGCTGACAGATGCGTTGCGCAATGCATATGGTAGTAGCCAGAAATCTCATGGCAGTGATAACCACACTCCCAAATCGGCCGACCTATCAAGTCTGGCAATGACGAACGGGTGTCCAGATCAGCTGTGCGGTCCCTTCCTTCAATCCATGTGGAACGATACGTATAAGCATCTCGCCAAAAGCCACTCCAACTCGTACCTTTCCTGGGCGGTTTATCTACCATGGACGTTCCACAGTTACCTCCAACTGCTGCTTGCCGAGTTTCAAAAGATATTCTGCCGGGACTGGGGATGCCACAAATGTCAACATGGCATAAGTTGTAGGCCAGGGCAGCATGGTAGCTTTGATATCCCTTGTCACTGCAAATCAGTTGTGACATGTAACGGCGTCATGCCAACACTGTACAAATGCGGATTTGCATTTGGTGACGCATCGGTATTGAATGATAAAAACAAACCAAAAACCTGTACAAAATTCAGTGTATTGCTAAGTCGAATAACAGGCAGTAAACATTTTAAAACGCTACTGGAGGAGTGCGACAGATTTTTGTGGATCATCCGAACACCCTTCTCATACCTGCTGCTAGCCCTCTGGTCGCTGTCGCTCCTGTACCTGCTGCACATCGCCGTCGTCCGCCTCGACGTCCTCCGCATCCGCTCCCACCTGCGCTCGCCCTCAAGCCACCGCATCGCCGCGCAGTCCCTCCTCGCCGCCGCACGCGTCAAGGCACTCGCCAACGTCAAGTACTTCTCACCATAATCGTGTTCACTTCTACTCACGCATCACATCAACCACTCACTCAACCGCATACCACTCACTCACCATCGCCATCATTCCCCACATCGCCACTCACCCTCCCACTCATCGCCATCGCTCACTCGCCCGCCCATCACTTATCACCCCTCGCTCCATGCATCACCAATCATCAACCATCATCGCCCGCCTGCTCATCTAACCATCATTACTCGCCCGCCCGCTCATCATTTAATCGACCACTCCTTACTCATCACTCACTCGCTCACCTAATCATCACCTAATCGACCCACTCGCTCATCGCGCCCGCTCATCATCACTCACATCATCATTCCTGGTTATTTCTCCATCATCGCCCATCCTCCATCATCGGTCGTCATTCCCAAATCCTCATTTTCCTCATTCTCCCTCTTCCTCCTAAATCGCCTGTTTCCACCCATCTTCCTCCTTCGTCGCCCTCTTTGCCCCTTCACCTCCCTCACCCTGTCCACCCACCTCCGTCACCCCTCGCTGCCTCCTTCACCTAAAATCGCCTTTCCCCAAATTCCCCCAAATCGCTCTAAAAATGTGCCTAAAATAATCCTTCAACATCATTATTAAATAACCTCTGCACAGGCCTCGAAAATTTTCTCGGCCACAAGAATGGTAATTACACCGGAGAAGGCATCGTGTACTCGGACCTTGATAGGCTGTGCGACGGGGTGATGTCTTTCCTTCATGGAGTTCTTGAGACTGTGAAAGATGATGAGAGTGTGAAGAAATATGATGTTAATGTTTCAAATAAGATTTCTACACTCCCTGAAAAATTAGGTAAGTTGATGCATAATGGTTCTCATCGTTTTCAGACAGCCACCACAGAAGTCTCCGAGGCGCTGCAGGCGTGGAGCGGTGAGCTCGAAGAGCGAACCGATAAAACACAAAATACCTTCAAAGAACTTAGAGATATTAATATTGGTAGTATAGAGAGTTCTTTACATTTTCTTAATCAATGTTCACCTGAAAATGTTGTAACCATGTTAGAGAATTGCATCCTTGATAGCGTGAAACTTGACAATGCATTCGTAGTTGCTGAAGAAGCCTACAAAAACCTAGACCCCAAACTTAAAGATAAGTTGAAAGACGCCGTGAATAACATAAAGTTGCAGGTGCGGGAGTTTGCGGCTGCGGCGCGGAACGATGAGTTGAAGGGGCTCCTCGAGGAGGGGGAGAGGCAGCTTGGAACTCTTGAAACTGCACTAAGGGAAGAATGTAAGAGAGAAATTAACGTATATAAAGATTATTTAGAGAATCAGTTTAAAACGCAAATTAAGGAGCGTATAACTGAAATCAATGGAGCATTGAAAACGCACATTTCGACACTGCTTAGTTGGATTGACAAGGCAAACCCATTTGTTAGGGAATGTCTGGAGGTAGTAGAAGAGATTCTGAACGATCTAAATGGGAACGTTAAAAATAGTAGGAATTATCCAAAAGAAATTAGGGACCACGCCAGAAAATTAAAAGATGACGCAAAGGCGCTTTATGAAACCATGCAGGCAACGCATAGATATATTACGTATCAAATTGAAACGGCCTTGGGGGCGGTAAAATATGAACTTACGGACTGTGTTAAAGCCGATTTTGCAAAGCTTAGAGACGCGATTAAAGGAACGGTTGGAATGTATGTGAGTCAGTTGGGAGAAAAGGTTAAGAGTCAGCTTACGACTCTGACTAAAAAGATTGCGGATGATGATGCAGCAGATGATGACATGAAGCAATATGAAGGTCTCCTTGATGAAGTTGAGAACGGCGTTGGGATGTATGCGCAGCAGTTCACTGAGGGGAATTTTGAACGAAAAGTTGGTGAGTGGATAAAAGATATTTTAAAAAACTACCCTGTTAAGGGGTATATTGATGCATATGTTGACACTAAGAATGGAAGGATGAACGGAAAGACGCCGGAAATGTTGCGTGATGCCGTTGAACACCATATAAAGAATGAACTTAGAAGTGAAATAGGCGCAGGCAATATAAATACCACGGCTAAAATTCAGGGGAATGTTGAAGCTGTCATAAGAGGTATCGAAGCATTCGTAGCAAAGCTTGAGGGAAGGTTCCAGTCTCCCGGAATCGGCGCACTTGCCTCTAGTGTAGTCACCGCAATTGTCAGTACGACACATCCTAATGTGTTTAACGGATTTCCTGTTGACACGGAGAAATATCTTCAACCTGCCGTCCAACTAAATCTGCATCAATTACTCGGCGTGACAAGGCAAACAGCTAAGGAACTTAGCTCATTTGCTCTAAAAAAGTGGTCTGGTGATAACACTCTTGCATCCAACGTAACTCAGGCTATCGATAAAGTTAAGGCGCTTGCCCAGGACCTTGCAGATAAACTAAAACCCGACCAGGCATCCGGTCCTAGCACAAATCTCGGCGCTGAACTTCAACAGGAGGTTGAAAAGCAGGTTGGTGATACGTATGGGCAGAATGGTCAAGAGGTTTCAACCAATAGAAACGGCTTTACTACGTCGTATGACGGAAAAGACGGAACAGTGAAGGTGACCGGCTTTTTGGATAAAGCAAAGGGGTCTGACGGTCTGGAGAGAATTAAGAACGTCCATGGGGTGAACGGTGCTATAACCGTGAAAACTATCAGAGATTTGTACGTGGAACTAATCCGAAACTTTGACAACCTTATAGATGTTATAAAATACAAGGTGGGAGAAACTGATACTAAAGAAAGTTGTCTCAAATATAAATTGGATAGGGTCAAATGTTTGATTAATAATAATACAGATGACGAGCAAGTCTACGGTCAGGTTGGACTTACGAAAATATACACGGACCTTAGCATTCAACGAGGTAATCTAGAACAACTGATAACCACCGCCGAAAATTTTATTACAGATATAATCCAAGCCGAGGCTGCCCGAACAATCTCCCGACTTCAGCAATTCGTCACTGAGAAAATTACGAAGGTGAAGAAGCATCTCCAGGTGACAGCCAAAGAGGAATATCACTATAAGATTAATAAACTCTTCACCTCCATGAAACAGCAAGTCTCCTCCAACATCCTTACCATCGAACAGACCATCCGCCAAGATCTCAACTCCGGCGTCAAGGGGCTGCTGCGCAAGGTGATGGATAAGGAGAGGAAGGATAAAGTGGCTGAAAATATGTTGCTTAAGTTGAATGAGCATCAGAACAAGAATGCTAATGAAAAGTTTACAACATTATCTAAGAATTTACGAGAATATTTAAAACCCATTGTGAATCATGTCGAAAATGAAGCGATGACTGCGGTAGCCGGTAAGGCGACGCACCCAAATGATGAGTCTGACAATGTTCGTAAAACTCGTGAAAAATTAGATGACTTGATTGACCATCTCGGCAGAGAAAAAGATCGTAAAAGCTATAATTATGATTATCAATTCTCCGAAAAACTAGAAAATCTCAAATCCCAAGTCACTTCCCTCTCCCCCTCCAACTTCCACGGCTTCCACAACCCGCTTCTCCTCGACGCCCTCAAGGCCGGCATGACCAAATTCACCGAGCAACTCCGACACGCGTATGTGAACGCTTATAGCGGGAAAACGGTAACGTGGGAGGAAACTAAAAAACCAGGTGACACATCCTCCGAAACTGTCCTTTCCACCGAGGGCCGCAACTGCGCCAAGGTGTGCCTGACCATACTGGAGAGAGTGTTCCATGACCTTAATGATTTAAGGAAGAAATGTATTCCAAATACCGGTCAGTGGAAAGATGATACAGTTTTTCTCTATGACGCAGCCAATACAGCAGATAATCTTCTTGGCGCCTGGTTGAATGGGCGCGGTTACCGTGTGTCCAAGAAAAAGCAAGATGGCCAATTGAACCGAAAGAAAACAGGCGGCGATATTCATGGTCTCCTTGTTAGCATGATTCATCATAATCGCGTATTCCGAGATGATGATGCCAATTATGATAATGACGGCTCACTCAGGACGGTCCACTACTACCTTGACACATATTATTACGTCACTCACCTAGAATATCATCCATCACCTAGAGCACCCTGTAATATTTACCAGATGCTTCAATGGCTTCTCGGATTGTACTACAATCCGATCTGCAAAAAATTGGAAGCGCACATTAAGACACTGTTCGACAAGCCCAACGGGAAGAATGATACCAGAGACTACAAGGAGATTCCCGCAAAGGAACTAAAACTGTCCGCAACCACAACATTTTCAGCTGAGAATGTAACGCACAATCTCGCGTATGTTAGTGACCTGGCCGAAAAAGCACTCGTTGCCATCATGGGCCACGGCCACGCGGACGGTGTATACGCGTGTGACTTCTATACCAACAATGCTAATTTATTGTATCCAAGCAACCCAGCTTCATGCTTAGACATGCTTACAGACATTTCATTGAGAGTGTATCATCAGCTCGAATTTTTATTTACTCAGTGTCAACGCACTTCGGACACTAATAGCTGGCGTGACTGTTGGTACGGTAGGCACATTGGTGGGTCATCCTGGACGTGCAACTCTATCCAATGTCCCACCCAAAACGCTGACCAAAAAGGTAACCAAAACCATGACCAAATGTGTAACCAAAAGTGTGGTCTGCAAGTAAATTGCGGCCTGAAATCGCCGCTCCAGTCGTTCTTGGAAGATGGTTTACAAGGCTTTCTGCCTCATCAATTTAAGAATCCAGGCTGCAAACTGGAATGCACTGTAAGCAATCACAGAGGACTCCCATGTAAGACGCCGATGGGATTTACTGATATTAGCAATGCTGCATCACATACTAAGAACGGTGCGTACCTCAGGAAGGTTCTGATAGGAGTCTGCGGCAGGCCAAATACTCCCCTTGCTTTGCTCTGCGCTCAACTCACATGCCTATTACAGCGAACGCCTCAGACGTTAGATGATTTGTTCTCGTTCTACTACTATTTCCTTAGTGAGTGGAGCAGGGACACAGAGCACAAGCAGACAGCTTTTAACGAGGCCCTCACCAGGGCGTACTTCGGCCAATCCTACGCTGACTTTAACGCAAATTCAATTTGGTTCAGTAGCCATCATTCGCATAGAACCCATCTCAAAGGTGACCTGTATAGTCTCCACCGGTGTGACTATGAAGGAAACTCTGAAATTTCGTGCGGACGATACCTACAGCCTATGGGCATGAATATATGGAATACGTTCTCGAACAAAAATGCCGACAAATACCTTTCATGGGTTGTGTATTTGACAGAAACCTTCTATGATCTGCTGAAAAAGTTGTATGACGATTGCTGTGAAAAATGTGATAAGCAGGGGACTAAGTGCTATGAAAAATGCTGTGATAAAATGTGCCCAGTAAAATCTTCTTACGAATCTAAACAATCCGATAGTGACACAAAACAATCCCAAGCAGTCACAAATGTGCATCACATCAAAGACTGCAAATCCATTGCTAATTGCCCATTCACTCGGCCGACACTAGCTAAATATGGTTTTGTATTTCAGAGTTCATATAATCTGAGCGGAAATGACGACGTCAATATGAGACGTACGTGCAGAGATTTCTGCCAAACATTAGAAAGAGCCTTGGACAAAACAGAAGCAAAAGGACACGCACTTGCCAGGTTAATTTATCGTACAATTCCTAATTACCTCTGGGCTATAAGATCCAAATTCTCCATCACTCTCGTAGCCCTCTGGTCCCTCTCTTTGCTCTACCTGCTGCACATCGCCGTCGTCCGCCTCGACGTCCTGAGGATACGCTCCCACCTGAGATCACCCGCAAGCCACCGCATCGCCGCACAGTCCCTCCTCGCCGCCGCACGCGTCAAGGCACTCGCAAACGTCAAGTACTTCTCACCATAATCGTGCCTTCACGTGTGATCTGTGTATCACTCAACCACCCACCCACTCAACCACTCACCCACCCACTCAACCACTCACCCACCCACTCAACCACCCACCCACTCAACCACTCAACCACCCAGATACTCACATACTCACTCAACCACTCACCTCACTCACTCAACCACCCACCCACTCAACCACTCACCCACTCACTCACTCAACCACCCACCCACTCACTCACCCACCCACCCACTCAACCACCCACTCAACCACTCAACCACTCACTCAACCACATACTCACCCACCCACTCACCCACTCACCCACCCACTCAACCACTCAACCACCCACTCACCCACTCAACCACTCACCAACTCACTCAACCACTCAACCACTCAACCACCCACCTACTCACTCAACCACTCAACCACCCACTCAACCACCCACCTACTCACCCACCCACCCACTCACCCACTCAACCACCCACCTACTCACCCACTCACCTAACCACTCAACCACCCACCCACCCACTCAACCACCTCCCTCCTTCACTGGTCGCTTCGCTCCCTGCCTCCCTCCTCCATCACCTCCTCCGTCGGCGTCCTTCACCCAAATCCCTAATTTCCACCCTTCCCCCTCCACCCCTTAAATCCCCTTACCTCAACCCATCTTCCTCCCTCATCGCCCTCTTTCGCCCCTTCACCTCCCTCACCCTGTCCACCCACCTCCCTCGCTCCCTCGCTGCCTCCTTGACCTAAAATCGCCCTTCTCCAAATTCCCCCAAATCGCCCTGAAAATGTGCCTAAAATAATGCTTCAACAACATTATTAAATAACCTCTGCACAGGCCTCGAAAAATTTCTCGGCTACGAGAAGGGGAATTACACCGGAGAGGGCATCGTGTACTCGGACCTTGACAGGCTGTGCGACGGGGTGATGGCTTTCCTTCATGGTGTTCTCAAAGATGTCCACGATAAACAGCCTTACAAAGTAGGCATGGAGAACCTTAAAAGGCTTGTTGATGAGCAAATTAAGCCTAAATTGTGTCAAGGTCATAAGGGTTTTCAGAGTGTCATTGCCGAGGTGGCCAAGGGTGTCGGGAGGTATAATAGGGAAGTGGAGAGTTCTAATAGGGATGTCAAGCGTTGCGTAGATTTCTTGGTAGGGAAAACAAGAGATGATTTTCCCAGGGAATTTAATGAATTGTTTCCTAAGGACAAAAATGTTGAAAAAATGAATGCTGTGCAAGTTGCAGATAAAGTGACGCCGAGTAGAGAGCTGGTGGAGAAGTATGTCAAATATGGGCAAAGGTTTGAGAAGGGTATGAACAAATTTCCGGAGCAGATTAAGGATTTAAATTATACATTACGTGGCAGAGTAAATAATGTTTGTGTTAATATTTCTCATGAGACTAAGCGTCTCGGCAACATGTCCAAGAAGGAAAGAGAGAATTTTGAAGCCATGATGAAGATAGTAAACAAGCTTGAAGACATTAAAAGCTGCGTTAAAACGAAAATAAAAGAGGATGTTAATAGGCTTGTCGAGAGGTTGAAGGAGGATGTCAGAAAGATTTTGAAAAAATTGGAAGAAATTAGTAAGTCATTGGAGGATCATCTTAGGAAATTGGACACAAAAATTTGGAATGTCGATGGGATTGTTATGGAAGTGGAACAGAAGGTGGAAATGATATTGGATGAAGTTTACAAGAGCAGTGACAAGAAGAAAGCGATTGAGGAGGCGGCTACGCAAATTAGGGTGCAAGCTGCGATGCTTCATGGTCAGTTTGAGGCGGTGAAAAAGGAGTATGAGGAGGTGTATGAAAAAATAAAGGGAAAGAGTGGAAAAGGGACAGAACCAGACAGCGTGGTGTATTTGCTCCAGGAGGCAGATCAGCAGGTTAAAGAGCCGGAAACATTGGAAGGATTTAAAAAGGGGAGTGATTGGAATTTAAGTGGACAGATTGAGCCTCTCACAAAAGCCATACAAAAGAACGTTGGGGACTATTTGGAGAATCTGAAGGAGGCGGTGGCGGCGGGAATTGAGGAGCAGAGTAGTTCTTGGAATAGTGCAAATATTCCTCGGCTCAATGCTATGATAAAGAAGCTGGGAGAAAATGAGTTGAGTGATAAGTTGGGAACGTTTGGAGGATTGCTTACAACGGCGCAGGGTGCGAAGGAAAAAGGGAATCTCGGTTATTGTTTTGAACTTGTCTTATACTATCTGAATTCGGTAAAGAATATGGGCGATTCGGGTTGGGCAGACTTTGCAAAAAGAGCTGGCACATATCTCAAAACATCAATGGAAACGAAGGCCGCGGAAGGCAAAGAATTCGAAAGCAAACTCGCCACTCTCCTTAACGCTGCCGCCATTAGTGGTGTGGGAAATCTTCAATCGGTCGTCGATGACATCGTTGAGAGTAAACTGCAAACAATCGATGAGTTAGAGAAAAGCGTTATCGAAGCCGCAAAATCAGCCGAATCCGCGCTCTATCAGCAATCCTACGCCGTCACCAACAACCTGCAGCAGCTATGTAAGGCTGTCAAGGAGGCTTCTGAAGGCGATCCGAAAAGCGCCAAGGAAAAAATATTTGAATTGAGAAGGAACATTGGTAGAGTGGTAGAGGGGGATGAAGAGAGCCTACAGAAACTTCATGGCAAACTTCACAGCCTCCGAACAGGCGATCTACAGACTGCCATACAGCAATGTGAGCAATTCCTCAAACCAGACGCCGACAGAGCCGGCGAACACGTCATTAGGGATCTCACCCAAGACGTTGACGATAAGCTTACAGAAATCAAACAGGATCTCACCAAGCAGGCAAACAAGCATTACGTGTCCACTATGCAATTCATACTGGAACAATTTGTGGACAAGGTGAAAAAGGAGTTGGAAGGGTTGCTGGAAGAAATCGAAGAAGACAAGCACGTTGGCTTCAAGGGCTTCATGGAGATCCTTCAGACTAGTTTTGACAGTTCTATTGTTCCTAATAAAGAGGATTTGAAACTCGACGCATTAGCCTCTGCCTTCCTTAGTTTTTTCGCTGTGCTGAAGAACCACTTGGACGGTGAGATTAAGAGGGTGCACGAGGAGGAAAACAAGAAAAAGAATCCTTCACTGTCTCCGTCTAAAGATGCCTACATGTCTAAGCTTCAATGCATTCTTGACGCAGTTGCAGCTCTACTCAAGCACATTACTCATCAAAGAAGGTACGGCCACCAAGTTCCCACTCTACTTGATAACCTAGCTGATGCAGTTTCCACCCTCAAACCATCAGCCTTCGACAACTCAAACAGTCCGATACTTGACGGGATCTCTGCTGGGCTTACCAAATTCGTCGACGAGCTCAGAAAAGTCTACGTCAGTAAGTATGACGGTCTAAAATGGGATGATCAACATGAAAGCAACTACGCCAAAATACTTCTCACCAGTTTAGTGATCACGCATCGTGATATGCATGAGCTTTACGAGAATTGTGAATCAAATTGGAGTGACAAGAAACTCTGTCTACTTGAAAGACGTCAGCAGAATCCCCTCGGTGCTCTCCTATATAACTGTGGTTATGAAGTCGCTAAGGATGAAAATTCTAAGAGCGGCGAATTGAACTTTTACTCCACTGGATACGACGGTGGGAAAATTAATGAGAAGCTTTCTAAGGAGAAATATGAAAGCGAAAATATTGTTGCGCACTTCAAAGCCTGCGAATCAAATAACGATATGAAGACAGGGCAGCCGAAGAAAGAAACAGACTTCAGTCTCCTGGACATCATGAAATGCGTTCACCATCACTTTGACGATTTGTTCCGAATCGGTCACTTAGCTTCATTCACATCTAATAAGCATCCGTGTTCTGTGTTCGAGATGTGTAATTGGCTGTCAGGTTTACAGTATAATTCCGTTTACCATGATTTGTTACGCGATGGTGTAAGTAACTTACTTGATGCTCCAGCTAGGCCAGTTGGCGCCGCCGATGGCCTTGTTTCATATGACATGAACTCCTCATACCTGGACACTTATCCACATAATGTCACGTATAAAGATATCGACACGGCGATCGATAACATTTGCTCCTATGCGTATGACGTCGTAACCACTGTCGTGGGCTTCGGCGATGAATTCACAACGTACGGCTGCGACTACTACACCAATTCGTTAAAATTGTACTATCCTAAAGGCGGAATAGATTGCCTCAATATGATGCTCGACATCATGCGCAGACTGTTTCCGATCTTTAGATTTTTGCATAATCGCTGTGGCTTCAGCGCTGAACATCACGGCTGGGGAGATTGCCGTTACGGTAAAGATATCCCTACAACCAAATCACAATGTAACAATCAATCAAGCGAGAAAGCAAAGTGCCAATCAAAATGCCAGTCAACGTGCCGACCAAGCGATGAACCAAATTGCCAACCAACGTCTCCATTAATGTCTTACTTAAACGATTGCCTACCTGGGCAGCTACCGCATCAACTGATATCGGTTGGTTGCACGGCGAAATGTATTACGTGTTCACCCGGTTCGCGGGGAATGCCGTGTTTAACGCCTCTTGGTTTTAGGGCGTTTTCTGGTTCGACAAAAATGGGTTCGGATTTATGGGAACCCCTTGACGCAATGTTCGCCGATGAATATATTTCGTCCCTATTCTGCCTTATTCCCAAACCGCCTAGGACGTTACCAGAGCATTTCAGTTTTGCTCTATTCCTTGTTAGGGACTGGCAGACTAATCGCAGCCATGCACTCAGAGACAAAATCACATCATCTATTAATGACGTCTCCATCCGCCTATTTGAAACGCCAGACAACTTGACAGATTCACTTCGTGATGCATATGGCAGTAGCCAGATCAGTCATAACGCAGATAATCATGCGGCGGGAAATGCCGACGTGTCAAGTCTGTCAATGACCAACACATGTTCCGGCGAACAGTGCGCCCCTTACCTGTATTCCTTATCCGATGACGTATATCGTCACATTGCCGTGAAAAATTCCGGCTTGTGTCTGTCGTGGGCCCTTTACCTCCCTTGGGATTTCCACAAATATCTCCAAAATCTTCTTAAGGCGTTTTATGATATTTTTTGCCAGGATTGGGGTTGCCGTGGATGCCTGCGTGCTGACAGCTGTAAAAAGGGCAAGCATGGCGATGAAGAGCATTCTTGTAAATGTTCATCCATCGTCGACTGCAAAGGAGTCTCATCAACGATGTACCAATACGGCTTTGCATTTGGCAACCCAATTAAATTAAATCATGGAAAATCGGCAAAGAAATGTTACGATTTTTGTAGCCAGCTAAAGCGTGTTATTGAGTCAAACTATTTCACAAAATTGTTCGAGCAGTGCGACGATTTCATCTGGGCGATTCGTACACCCTTCACATATCTTTTGTTAGCCCTCTGGTCGCTCTCGCTCCTGTACCTGCTGCACATCACCGTCGTCCGCCTCGACGTTTTGAGGATACGCTCACACCTGAAATCACCCTCAAGCCACCGCATCGCAGCGCAGTCGCTGCTCGCCGCCGCACGCGTCAGGGCGCTCGCCAACGTCAAGTACTTCTCACCATAATCGTGCCTTCACGTGTGATCTGTGTATCACCTACTCACTCAACCACTCAACCACTCACCCACTCAACCACTCACTCACCTAATCACCCACCCACTCACATACCCACTCAATAACTCAACTAATTTAACTACTTCACTTACTCGACCACTACTTTACTTAATTACTACCGCACTTATATTTCACCTATTCAACTACTTTATCTTTTATTGCAAGCTTTTTCTTCTCTATCATTTCCTTCATTGGTGTCTCTTTACCTAAATTTTATTTCTTTTTCTCTTCTCCACTCTTTAGTCTGTTTTCTCTAACCCATCTGTTTCTTTTCATCGCTTTGCCTCTTTTGCCTTTCTTCACCTCTCACTCCTGTCTAATTCTCACCTCCTTCATCACTGACTTGGAACCGCTCTCTAAATTCTAAATCGCTCCTGAATGTGCCTAAATCTCTTCAAAGTTTCAACTTCTTTCATACCTCCTCCTAGTTCTTGTCGCTGTCGCTCCTCACCTGTTGCATCGTTGTCGTCTGCCTTGACGTCCTGAGGATACGCTCCCACCTGAGATCACCTGCACTGCAGACGCTGCGTAGTCCTCCTCGCTGCAGCACGTAAGGCACTTCGCTAACGTCGGTACTTTCACTATAATCAGTTTCACGTGTGGATCTAGACATTTCACTACACCCAATTCACTCCATTTCACCTACTCTAACCCACTTACTTAACTACTTAATTCATTTACCCACATACTTACTCACTTTCAATTCACTTACTTCAACCACTTACAACTCTACATATTTACACTAACGCATTTCAATCTTCATTTACTCTTAACACTCTAATTTCAAATTTACTTCACTTGTACTTCCAACTATCTAACCTACTTACTTAATCTTCAACTACTTCACTCTATTTCCTACTTTCACTCCTCTTAACTATTTCAATCTTACTTACTTTAATCTATATATTTACTGCTATTTCACTTCCTTCTACTTGCATTTCCATTTAACGATTCAATTTACTCCATTCTTACCTATTTCCTTATTTATTTCTTTACTAATTCTTACTTAATTTTTCACCCATTTCATTTTGTTACCTACTCAACTACTCAACTACTCAATCCACTTACTTCACCCACTAATCACTTAACTACTTCCACTTCACTCACTCACTTCCTCCGTCGGTGTCTGTTACTGATCTTTATTGCCCTCTTTCGCCCCTTCACCTCCCTCACCCTGTCCACCCACCTCCCTCGCTGCCTCCTTGACCTAGAACGCCTTTCTCTAAAAATTCTAAAATTCTCCAAAAGTGTCCCATTTCACCTCCTCTAATCGCCCTCTTACCTTTTTCTATTTTCTTATCTCACCTTAATTGACCTCCCTCCTTGGCCTCCTTCGTCGGCCTCCATTGACTGGTTGATCCAGGTTAAGCATGGGAATGGTAACAAAAATGGTCTCGACAACTTGGCCAATGCTTTGAAAAAGTTGATTAGTGATGCTATTAATAAGGCTACAACTTCCCTTCAACACAAATCCTCCAAGCTCTCTTGCTCTCCAAATCCACATGACCCTGACTCCTACTGTAGTCAGCTTGATAAGGCCATTAAGTCCAAAAATGAAGAACTTAAAAACACTAATAAAGACTCTAATAAATCTCTAATATCCTCTTTAGAATCACAAATCAATGACTTAAAGTCAAAAAAAGATGACTGCACTAAGTCCCATTACATGGATGAGCAGCGTATGTCCTCCCTTGAGGGGGAAGTGCATGATGGCATTGATGTTATTGTGAAGCTTACACAGTTTAGTGGCGGTGAAGATGGCGTTAAAACACTAATTGATAAAGAAATTAAGAGGCTTCGGAAGAAGCTTTCTGAGCATGTTGATACATGGAATGCTATGCAGTGTTGTGCAGCCAAAATGTCAGCAATTGGGAAACTTAAGGGAAACCTTAAATCCTCTGAAAATCTTAAAACAGATACTATTGATGATCTATTACGTGTAATTCAAGACTTAAAAAATAAGTGTTTATCACATAATCACATTGACTCTCCTAGCAGTAAAACCTTTGATGACATGGCGTCCATGTTTTCCAAGCTTTGTGAGCATAAAAAATCTCTTGATACAAATAAAAGTAATAGTCCAACAACATTATTAAATAACCTCTGCACAGGCCTCGAAAAATTTCTCGGCTACGAGAAGGGGAATTACACCGGAGAGGGCATCGTGTACTCGGACCTCGACAGGCTGTGCGACGGGGTGATGGCGTTCTTGCACGGGGTGCTTAAAGATGTCCACGATAAACAGCCTTACAAAGCAGGAAAAGAAAGCCATTTGAAGAGTGTTGTTGATGCTTTACATAGTAAATTATGTTCAGGTCATAAGGGTTTTAAAGAGGTCATTGAGAAGGTGGCCGCCGGTGTCGGGGGGTACAATAGGGAGGTGGAGAGGTCTAATGAAGATGTCAAGACAATTATAACTACGATGCAAGGAAACATGGAGAGTCTTCAAAAACAGGTGAGTGAAATTTTAAAGGATCATTCTGATGCAGGTACGCGGAAGGAATTTAGTGAGCAAGATGTCAAGACGGCCATGGAGACCATGAGCAGCAAAGTGGAGGCGGCTAAAAAGCACGCCGGAGCTTTCTGTACCGACATTACTAATGCACATAATAACATTGCACAATTTAATAATAATTGTAGAAACACTGTAGAGACAGCACATAGAATTATAACACATGAGTCGGCGATTGTTCATAGAATTTCAGAGAGAGCATCTGAAGACTTCTGGAGTATGGAGAAAGAAATTAGTATAACTCTGAAGAAGGTTGGACAAGACGTAAACAAGGAGCTCCGTAAGAAGATATCATCCTTGGTAAAGCAGCTGAAATCCCTAGTCGAAAGAATAAGAGACAGGCTTAACGAGATTAGTATAAAGCTATGGGACTATGTCAAGAATCTGCAGGAGTGGATGAATGAGGTTAAGAAAATCGTTGCACCGGCAATTGGCCAGTGCGATTCTATTCTTGCAGAAGCTAAGGGATACGATGGTAGTAGAAAGCAAACCATCAAACATGAAGCTGTAAAGCTACAAGAATGGAAACATAAGCTGGATGACTATATTAACAACACCGTTAGACCATCGATTAAAAGTTTAGCTAATGCAGCCCATGAAGCAGTCAAAAGCTTAAATACCGAGCTGAAGAAAGATTTGGAGAGGATGAAATTAGCGATTAGTGGGATACTCGACCCGCTTGTAAGTAGGTCTGTGACATTTTCAGAGCGCTGTGTGAGTACTAAATATGTGCTAACGCAAGCAATAGAGCAGGTGGAAGTTCAACTTACGAATCTGCAGAGTACTTCGAATGTTGACGGCGTTACAATGAAATTTCTCACGGCTCTCAAAAAGAGCCCCCTGAACTGTGTCAAGACGTATTTTACTGCACTTGATGAGAAGGTTATGGAGCCTTTAAAAACAGTTATGCAAAGAATAGGAGATGGGATTAGGAGAGGCGTTCAACAAGTCAAAATGGATGTGCTGGGGGGTGAGGTGAACGCAGCTAAGTTACAACTTACTGAACTTCAGCATGTTGTTAAAAATCCACAGACTGTAGCAAATTTAGTAACGCTCACAAGCGAGCTCAAAACGTATGGCATGACCATATCAGTCCATGAGCTTAATCTAAATTCCCACACTGGTGCCATCCAAGCTGTTACCAATAAGCTCACAACATCTAAGCCCACCGTGACGATATCTGAAGCGACAGATCTCTTGACCTCTCTCGGAGCTATCGCCCAAGCTATCTCAGACCACGCCAAGCAGGTTGTAGAAAAAGTCATAGAAGCTATTCAAAGTAAAATTAAAGGAGAAGTTAACGTCGTGGCGAGCGCCATTAAGGCAAGGGTCAACAGGATTAAAGAGAGTATAAATGAGTCTACGAAGGATGAATGTGTACAGTACAGTGAAGCAGGCCCTAAAGCCGACGGCCTCGCAAAATTGGTGAGTGAGTTTGACATTCATATTAATAAGGCGCTTGGGAGGCTTCAAAAAAATGTTGATACGGTAGCATTTAAGAAGAATGGGTGGACATCCGACATGAAGGTGGACGACACATTGGAGGCGTATGCTAAACACAGAAAAGGAAAGGTTGAGACGTCACTTGGCGATATCACCTTATATGCCTCCGAGGGGTTCGATGTGAATGCCACTACACGAGCCCTCAATGATCTTTCCGGGAATATCATCAAGTATCTTGAAGATCTTATGACGACTGTTTCTGACGCGGGCGGAAACATACACTCGAGATTAATAACACTAAGAGATATTAAAATTGACATCCATCTTAACGCAATTAAGAGCCGTCTACACAAACTTCACAATGAGATGGCTGATGCCATCGAGTTGACGAACTCTTTCATTACCAGAGAAGCCGACGAAGCTGGACAAGCAACCATCACAGCACTCGAAACATTCGTCGACAACCAAATTGAAAATACTAAAACCCAACTCACCACCCGCGCCCGCCGCAACTACGTCACCTCCGTCAAGGCGCTGCTCCAGGCCTTCGCCGCGAAGGTCACGCAGGAGCTGCAGCCGTTGCCCGCCGCGATCGACGAGGACCTGCGCATAGGATTCAAGGGGTTTATGAGGAAGGTGCAGGGGGAGTTTAATGGTAATGAAACATCTGATGTTAATATCAAGAGGCTTCAGAATGGTTACGATCTACAATCACTCTGCAATGGCTTCGAAAGATTTTATGCGCCACTCCACACATATCTCCTAGCAGAGGTTAAGAGACTTCACAAGGAAGAATGTGAGAAGAATCAGAAAACTACAACCGAAGAAGCTCACTACAGTGACAAACTTACTGCCATTTATTCTGCACTTACCGCACTAACTTCCCACATTCACAGTACGAATAGATACGACTATCAGCTACCTAGTAAACTTACAGCAGTACAATCAGCAATTAACGCCCTCACTCCAAATGGCTTCTCTAACCCTAACACTGCTATACTTGACGGCCTCACAGAAGGGCTTAGGAAATTTGTTGAACAGCTAAACAAGGCGTACATCAGCAGGTATGACGGTGCGACGGCGATTAAGGAGTGGGAGGCTGATGGTCCCAAGAAGGAAGATGGCTCTGATAATAAGATCCTGACGCAGGACGGAAGAAACGGCGCGAAGGTGTTTTTGACCTGTGTGAGGACGCTCTTCAATGAGTTGTATAATGTGTATTACCACGGCGGTCATAAATGGAGATCGCAGGAAATCCAAGGCAAAGGGAATGAAACAAAATACAAAGAGTTCTTGCACAACTCGGGTTACGACGTCGTGAACCTTATCACCAAAGACAACACCGGTTGGAATGTTTCAATCAGATTGGCTAAAGCATTCAAAAAGCACCAAGAATTTAGTGAGTATCCAGATAAATTCAACTCAGTCAATGACTGCATGGACCATTTCAGTAAACATCAAGGTCTTCTATCAAGGCTCTTCGATCACCTTGAACAGTATTACCAAGTATGCCAGCATATTCATATCCCTTCACCGAAGTCACCATCCAACATCTACGAAATGCTTGAATGGCTTAGTGGCCTGCGGTATAATCCCATGTATGAGAAGCTGCAGGGGCATTTCACAAAAATATTCACTGCCCTACAGAAACAGTATAACTTGCCGAGCGCCGAATTACCAGCCGCGCTGCATCCCAGAATGAGCGACACAATTCAATCACCTCTAAAGCCTAGCCACCTAATAGATGCACTTGGCAGATCGTGTGCCTACGCCCAAGACTCTCTAATCGCAATCCTCGGTCACGGCCACGAAGGTGGCCGGTACGCCGTCGAGTTTAATACTAATACAGATAACTTAGATTATCCAAGCAGCCCAGCTAAATGCTTTGACTTACTGTTAGAAATATCATCTAGGGTATATAATCAAATGCGTTTCCTATATAGCCAGTGTCAGAACGGTCCTAGTCGTGGTGGCTGGGCGGACTGCTGGTACGGCAGGGGAGTCGCCGGTTCATCGTGGAACTGCAACACCCTGCAATGTCCAGACCAACCATACAACCAAATAGGTGAACAAAAGCATAACCAAACATGTAGTCAAAAGTGTAACCAAACTGTTGAGTGCGGTTTGAAATCGCCACTCCAGTCGTTCCTCGAAGACGGCTTACAAGGTTTCCTTCCACATACCCTTACCAAGCTTGGCTGTGGAGTAGAATGTTCAGTTGGTAAGCACAGGGGTTACCGTGTAAGACGCCTATGGGATTTGGAGACATCTGTGTAACAGCGTCACATACTAAAAATGGTGAATTTCTCAAGAAGGTGCTTCACAGTTTCTGTGGCCAAGAAAAATCTCACCTCAGTAAGTTCTGCGGCATAGTAAATTGCCTCATGCAACGTCCACCTCAAACCCTGGGAGACATGTTTGCGTTCTACTATGGCTACCTTGAGAACTGGGAAGGAGGTGACAAAGGAAAAGACACCCTTAGTAAGAAGCATAAACATGACGCATTTGAAAAGGCAGTCAAGGAAGCATGTTTCGGATCGACCTTCGAGTTTAATCTCATATCAATTTTCGAAAGCACTCGCCATAGCGGCAAGCATATTACCCACGAAAAAGGTGACTTGTTCAGGATTGTCCAATGCCCGTATAGCTTGGAAGATACATGCGGGTTTTTCGTAAGTTCACTAAGCTTCTATATTTATAACATGTACAGTGAGTGCTTTAGAAGCTTCTACCTCTCATGTGTCGTGTATATTACCGAAGCGTTCTACAACATGCTATGTCAGTTGCGTGACGAATGCTGTACCAACTGCACATCACCAGCATCTAAATGCAACGGCAATGTCTGTGCTAACGAGTGTAAGTTAACTGTACCGGAGCCAAATTATAAGAACCATAACCACCATAAGGATTGCAAATCCATCGCTCAGTGTCCCCTCACATTGCCAACCTTGACCAAATATGGATTAATGTTCAATAGCGCCTACAGACTCACCGGTGAAGGTAAGGAATCGAGACACAAGAGAACATGCAAAGATTTTTGCGATGCACTGAAAAATGTTCTGAATAATAAGAAAGCAGACGAATATGTGCTTGCGCAATTGGTATTCAACAAAATACCATCATTCCTCTGGAAAATCAGGGAACCCTTCTCCTACCTCTTACTCGCCCTCTGGTCCCTCTCTTTGCTCTACCTGCTGCACATCCTCGTCGTCCGTCTCGACGTCCTCCGCATCCGCTCCCACCTGAGATCACCTTCAAGCCACCGCATCGCCGCCCAGTCCCTCCTCGCCGCCGCACGCGTCAAGGCGCTCGCCAACGTCAAGTACTTCTCACCATAATCGTGCCTTCACGTGTGATCTGTGTACACCCAACCACCCACCCAAC